TGCTTACATATAATTGCTTGTAATAAAGTATTACTACTTTATTACAAGTAAATATACTCTATACTAACCTTATTAAGAATATCTACTTTTCTAGGATTTAATTCATATCTAAGGTCAAAAAATATAATATAATTTACGGAATCCTTATAATTTCGTCATGTTTATTTATCTCGTGACAATACAAGAAAAATACCTATACAGGCTGCTTGATCATAAGACGTCCATAAAACCTCCCTAAGTTTTACAAGTGTTTTACGATCAGAAATATGCGTATGACTCCCTAGTTATATAAATGTTTCTTCGCACATTTTGACTTTTATTGTATTCTAAAATCTTTATTGTACATACTTTTACATTGGACACATTCATATATTTAACATACTTCTATTTCGATTTCGTTTCTCTAAAAGTCCGATAATTTTGTTGTTTAGATGTTTAGTATCTACTATACCAGTACAAGACTAAACATAAATTAACGTAGATATAGAACAAAAATAGTCAAATTATGAGTAAAAATCTCCTTTTGAAATCGGTTGATAAAGATAATAATATTCTTTATCCAAATTTAATTCTAGATATACACCCTGCCTGTTGTGCACAAAGTTAAATGTCATCGTAACTTCATCTTCAATTCGATTCAATTCGAATCCAAATGACTCTAGATCTATGATACGAAAGAATGATAATATGAAAATGCCTAGAGATTTACAATTATGCACAGGGATCCTAATCTGGAGACTATAGAGGACGTTACATAACCTGTAGAGATCTAAGAAATGAAGTTTCGCTATAGATATGATATATATAAATACATAAGCATGCATTTTTTATACTTGATCAAGGTTTAATCAACTCCAAACGGTAACTCTACCTAGAGTACCTATTCTTGATTTCAATTAAACTGTTCTCAATTATCTTCGCAACAAAAAAAAAAAAAGAATGTTGTGGTACGGCTGGTATAGCCGTATGAATAACAACAAATGTTATCATTAGACAACACATCGTTGATATAAAGAAGGAATAGAACATATTATAGACTGCATGTAACATATCAGATTGTAACGAACATGTATAATGTGTACAATAAATGCAGTATCTTATTAAAGTTTTTATAGTTAAAGTCTCTTAAAGTCAGTCGATAAATTTAATTCGAAAATAAAAGAATACTAATACATATTATCCAGTCAATCTTTGAAACAGATCATCTGAACATCTGTACCTACTTAGGTATTCTAAGACCTATATCTAATCCGCGAACTTGAATTAATAGATAAAATGACATAATACATTTATCTATTTCATTAAATATCATATCTGTATAACGCATATTAATTGGATTACAACAATTATTAGCATAATAGTTTTGTGTTTGTGATTTTATCGTAAACAATAAAACCACTTTAAACAATATATCAATGTAATTAAGAATGGCTACTACCTAATAATATTTCAAGTTTGCTTATAATATTATCTAATTAATTAAATTATATAATCAACATTAAAGTAATCGTAAGTAGCTAACCAAAATATTTACCTGCTATAAAATTGGATATTAGGAAAGCTATACAAAATACAGGGTTTTCTAAAAGGTATAATAGCCCAAAACCCGGTGATTCAATAAAATGAATTTTTGTAATATTCATACAAGCCACAGAGTTTGGAAAAGTATTATCAAATTTTGACTATTTTTTACAAGGCAAAGTGTTGCAGTTTCAATAGTTCGGGCATTGGCTTTCAGCTGAATAAACATTTACGATGACTCTGTATATTTTTATAGTATGTAATGGATCTGGAGGAGGAAGAATTTAAAAATGACAGTGTCAATTAGGTCAACTAATTTATTAATAAATATACTTAATCATTAGACCATTTTAATTTCCTGCAACTGATATCCGAAATATCGTAGGTACAGCGCTGAGTAATTCTCTCTCTCTCTCTCTTTAATATTTATTCATATACGATATCAACGAAGACAGAGACAATCAAAATCTCAGATGTGGTAGTAAATATGTCGCTGATATTCTTCAACTTTATCAGTTGATTTTGCCCAGTAGATCAATCTTTGAGGATCGGTTTGGAAACTTGATTCTGCCCGATTTCCTATGAATACATTTACTCCCTTATTCATAAATGTTACAACCTCCTACAAACTATTTTAGCTATTGAAATGTTTTTTAAGTCAGTCTTTTAAATTAAGAATTTAGCACAAAAAAAAATAAGACAAAATACTTCAATAGTTAAAATAGGTTCATGGAGGCTTGACGTTTTTATGAATAGGAGGGATAAAATTTAACTTACACGCTGTATACACTTAGAAGATGCGGGTAATTTTATATATTCCAACGTAGGCATCTAAGATTAGGTCCACATTTCATACATTTCCATCGTGAAATCTTATGTGTGATTAAATGATTATGATTTTCAAAGTGTTTTTGTGCCTCGAGGCCCGCAAATCGTTACCGTTTATATCATTAGCTGCTTTATACTCTACACAAATATGTACCTGTGTATAAATGACTAATTGTTATTTCCTTAAATCTTTTAACAATATATATATATATATATATATATATATATATATATATATGCATGAGAATATTAAAATAGATACGAGTAAATAGTGATACATTAAAGATAGTTTTTTTTTTCTTTTCTGAGTGGATGTAATAAGAATAATGCATCGTATACTAATAGTATAAAATGGCGAGACCTCAGTAATAAATAAAATGATGAAGTTTATATTCATGTCACTTAGCCTCTCGTTTCAAGGGGGAACTCATAGGGGGCGACCTGATAAAATATAATTTCCTTTACTCTCTTAGAGATAGAGTCACATGGTGGCACTATTAAAAATTATACCATAGGAACATTTTTATTATTCTCTTCGCATTCAAAAGGATGACTAGAATTTTTTAATAGTAAGATTGACCTTGACCCAGAAATTATGTTAAATGAATGCGACGCGATAGAATGTCTCTTCGAGTTTCATTATAGAATGCGAGCGCTGCACGTTGTACGCTAAGTCAATTTTGAACATCACGCGAATATTATCATAATAAAGTGAAACCCGCTATTTTGATTTACAAAAAAAGACTGAGATAACAAAATTTTTTAAGTGATTTCGAAGAGTAAAGGAGGCGATTACCAATAATACTGAACCATTTTTGAAAAATATTATTGCAATCGATTGATTCGCTCCGTTTTTTTTATTCTTTTTTTTTTGCAATAATATTACCTATATTATAATAACATATATTATTATAACAAATAATATTGCCGAAATATATATTGTAAATATTAAGTACCTAATTACCTATACATATCAGACTATGCGTGGAGTACCAATGGCACTTTACGTAAAATTAAATAAATAAAAAAAAATTAAATCACTTACCTTTACTAATTACCCTCACGTTGCGTAGACGGCCACGCACTCCATAATGTTACCATTACCTGTAAATAAACATACCATTAATAACAAGACACACTAGGCATACATATAATTAAGTGATCCTAATACATATCATCTTTTTGCTGCTGGAAAAGATAAGCACGCGAAGCACTATTAAAATAAATTACGCGTGCAAGAATTAAATAGCTATTAGAGATTTATGTTGTATCAAATCGCAGCTTAAGTCAACTAAGACGCTTAAGCTTAATACTCATCTCCCAATGGCGAACCAAATAATTTTGGAAAAAAAAAGAAATATGCATATAAAAGTAATATATAGGTAGAAACTGATCACACTATTTCCCCATTATAAATCTTTTCTCTCCAGTCTCTTTTCAATTTTCCATAACAGCCATATAGACAGTTTCGTTAGGTAAATGCAACCTCACAGCGATACTAGTGACCTCAGCGGCTCGATTATATTATACTTTATTATATTGAGTAGATGAATTAGTTCCGAAATAAAAACAAAATGTCTTTTTGACGTATCATTATTTTAAAAGTGATTAATTTTAAAATAATTTAAATATATCAGAAAAAACCCAGGTTACCTATATATAGACCTACATAAGTAAGGGACTTTTATTGTCTAAAATACTTTAAAAATCTTTTAAATTATGATGCACTATAATAAACTAAATTTAATTGTCTTAATTTTTTTCGTACCTATCTATAACTTTTATTAAAATAATACCTAAGTATTTAAGACATCTGTAGATATGAAAGTTTTGAATACGAACAATTTCTCCTTCGTCTTTATTTCATGATAAATAGGTACGTACAAAATACATTTTAAAATGAAATTCATGGTTTTTATAAACGAATATTATAATTGTAGATTGTCTCTCGTTAGAAATAAAAGCCGGACGAACTAGACAAACATTAAAAACAAGGTAAAAATTTGCTCACGAACACAATCTCTTTGTTCTACGCAAACCAATAAGTTATTTTTATCTTATTAGAGAATCTCATCTTTTTCTTGTTCTAAGTTTGCATTTTCATTAAAAAGATGTGCAAGTAGGTATACGAGTACGATTTCCAAAAGTTAATTAACCCTTTCCATACAATATTTTTATTTATTTATTATAACGTTTACATTACCCATAATAATGCCTAACTTAATATTGTTTTAATTCCATAAAAGCTATAAAAGTAAATAAAGAAATTATAAATAACTTAAGTTTAATTTGTTAATTTTGATCGCACCCATTGTGCAATTCCATCCGGGATCACACCCATTCCGCCATCCGCATAGTCTTCTAATAAACGCCATCTGGCGATCGTAGTTGAAACGTCAGTGTCGATGATTGGAATACGAATCTGATGTCTAACCTAATTTTATGTTTAAATTTCCTGTCTAAATGTGAATGAATTTAAATTTTAAGTAAAAACTACAACAAAATATTGTTTTTTTACTTAACATGTGTTTAATTTAATGTTTTCTAGTGTTTTTTTAATAAGGTTATCAATCATTTATGTTATTCATCTGACCATCTATTAGAATTAATCGTTCGTTTGTTTTACTTAATTATTTTTCTATTGTTTTCAGAAATCACCAACAATGTCATTAATACTACAGTATTTAGATGATATGCACGTTTTCATGGACAAAAATGGAGGTTAGTAATATAATATGCCAATTAGGTAATAAATACTTTAGCTGCTTGTCCTATTCGATGACCTAGTTATAAAACCTAAGTCTATAAAAATATTTTTTTCACAGTCTAAAGTTGAATAGTAAGTAGTCATATAAAAAGTAATGTTTTATATGTTTATACTATAACATGAATCAATTATAATTTTCATAAGAAATTGATAAAAAATATTTTTACTATTTACTTAAATATATTTATTGCAATTACTATTTTATCTAACTAATAAATTAAAAACTTGCTTAGGCATTACAATATTAAATTAATACCTACTTGTATAAAGCAATTAATGCTGTGAAATTACTATTTAATAAAATCATAAAATTAAAGTCCAAAATTAGATGAATTACTAAATTTTGTGAAAATAAAAGTGACAATAAAATAGGTATTAATTATATTATTTTAATATTGTATGTAATTGTTACAGATCCTCGAACAAATCCATGGTTCCTGATGAGTTCCCCCTTTCCTACACTAATAATATGTCTAAGTTATGTATATCTAGTCAAGGTATGTATATTTTAATTACATCACATCTCAGCTTTACAATTCGACTAATTTTATTAATATAATTTGTATACGTCTTTGCATATTTGCTACTCAATCATCATGGCTGAATGCATTTTAATTATATTTTATACACAGATAGACTATATCATAGATACAGGATACTTTCTGCACTTTTCTACATGAGTAAATCTGTTACAACTAGTAATTGCAAAACATATGGCATATAGATGGATATGGCTATTAATAAATTGATTCTTAATAATATTTTATTAGAACACCATCTCCAAAATATCCAAGCAGAGTATATATTTAGCAGTATTATATATATGTATATGTATAAATTTAAGAAGATCAAAATTCATATCCCCCTCTAAAGAAAAGGAGATGAACTATTATTATAATTTGTTTTATTGTAATAATAATAGATTAAAATAGGTGTCAATAGATATCAAGTGTATTTAATATGAGAACCATCATAGAATGCCTACAAAAATGCAGCCAGTACATAAGTTCTATACAGTTTAAAAAATTAATATTGATTCAAAGATTACATTTATTTATTTAATTCTTTATTGTACACACTAGTTTTAAGAATAAGACAGAGGTAATCAAAAGTACAAAGGCGATTGTCAATAATAATGTAAATTGTCAATAGAAATGTTGACAATCATTGAGAAGTTACTTTGACAATAACAGATCTTTGTTTACATTTTTCATTTTAAATTCCATTTCAAACTATACATACACTTAATTTTAAGAAATGTTTTTTATTATGTTTATGCATGTAATAAAAGTTTATTTTTATTTTCAGGTTTTAGGGCCCAGGATTATGGCCAATAGAAAACCATATGAATTAAAAAATATTTTAATATTTTATAACTTTTGCCAAGTAATATTCAGTGCATGGTTATTCTATGAGGTAAGATATTACTATAGTTTTATTTAATCTTTCAAATATATTAAAGATTAAAAAGCAATTATTATCAAGTCATATTGACACATTGACAATCTTCTATAATTCTATACAGTTAATTGACCAAAACAATCTTTTGATTAGTTTTATGAATATATTTAGGTACATAATTTAACTTTTAAAATTTACTTACATAAATATATTAATAAACTTACAGGAAATGTGATTGATTATTGCAATTATTAACAATAACATTTCTATAAAATATAAACATAATAAATTAATATGAATCTTTAAATAATGCCCAGCACAAGGGATTGATTTTAGTCCAATTATTTTAGTAGTAGTTTATTAAATATATTTAAATAAATATAACATGACACTTTTACCTCAAAGAAAAATTTAAGTATCTAACATTATGCTTCCAATCTTATATGAAACATACTTAATTTGAATGATTTGTTACATTTATGATGTTACACATACAATAGACACATACTAAGCAAATCAGTGGCATTTTTGGTTGATTTTAAATCGGTCACCTGAATTCTGTATTTTGCTAATTCAAGAAGGGCCATTTTCTTATTGGTACAGCTCTTCCTACTTACCACAGTCCTTGCTAAACCTTAAAATTATAACTTTTTTTAATATTTATGCTTAATTTAAGGTAATAAGAAATTATATATTCATGTTATGCAAGAAATAAATAAGTAAGACCAAGTGGGGTAATTGAAACAGTGATAGTTAGGGGCAAGATAAACTTGTATCCAAGCATTACATACTTTGAAATTTTAATGCAAGATTCTTTCAAATAAAAAAAAAGAATTTTGAATAGATAATTTAAACAATAGAATTTGAAATTCAATATAGTAATTTAAAATAATTAGCAGTCTACAGTTATTTATTATTTAAAAAGATTTTGCTTCATCTTAAAAAATATTTATATACTCAAGAAATTATTCCCTAATGGGGTAGTCAAAGACATTCGTCAACTATCGACGTTGTGGTGAACGTAACAGTCGATACGTCCGTCAATATGTTTCGTCAAGCTTAGTGGAACGGGGTCGCGCAGGGGCCCAAACAACTACCGTCACTTAGGATTAATTTGGTTTATAATTGTTAATGATCCTTTCCTTCACCAGAGTATTAGGTTTTTTTTTAAATGATGATAATGGAATGGTAACCCCGCCTGCGCTAAGAATAATTATAATTAGCCCATCTTGATAATTACGCCTGGAATTCAGCACGATGGATGGATGGAGGACCACGAGGACTCGACCTGATAGAGTATATTGCTAGCAAGGAGGCTGAGAGTTCATATTACTAACAATCTTTCCCTTCCCCCTCTAAAGTGTTAGTTGCAATTTAAACTTCACGGTTATGGTACCCAATACAAATTTTCTTTCTTTTTCCGATTTATTTAAACACACTTCGAAATATTTAATTAATATTGCTTCTCACCTGATCGAGAAATTACGAAATAAATGTACCTAATATTAAAAGTGAAAAACATACTTTAAATACCTAATTTTTCTATAAAAAAAATGACAAAAATAATTTAGACTTTTAAACCTGTATATGTTTGCTTGTATAGTACTTCACATTTATTACTCTTAAAATTAAAAATCTTATTCATGACCTAATTTTGTAAAATTAAAAGTCTATTTCATTTACCCCCCTTAGTCTTACTTAAAAAAAATATTTTATATACAAAAATATATTTTCGCGAAAAATGTCCCTAAGACTAAGAATATAAGATCTAAAATTCCTATTAACTCTAATAAAATATTCACACATTTGGATCTCCTTGGTTTATACACCTTCTACTTATATTTTAATATACCTTGCCCAGAGCTTGATGGGAGGTTGGCTGAAACATTACAACTTAAGATGTCAGCCTGTGGACTACACAGACAATCCTATAGCTACTAGAGTAAGTGATAAAAGGGTACTCTTACTCTCAAAGACAGTATGCTAATAAGCAAAATAAACTAACCAATATTCATTGTAAATAGACATATTACTTATTTGTTTTTGTTTTCAGGACATGTAAATAGACTTGTATATACACGTAATATAATTATTTCAGGGAAATCATGGTATTTTACATAGTAGAACACTGTGTTGCTAAATATTTTTATTGTTTATATTCTAGTTTTTAGAAGCACTAACAAGATAAATCTATAAAGTGTAGTCGTAATTATGAATCAATTATTAGTTTAACAAGTTGATAGCACCAACAATATAACATGAAAGTGTATGTAAATATAAAATTAACAGGTTCCGGTGACGGTATATTGTTTCAGATCGGGTCAGGTGGCTGGTTCACAGGCAGGTATAGCTATCGATGTCAGCCTGTCGACCACTCCAAAAATCCACAAACGATGAGGGTGAATGACTACTTGAATATATTAATGATCCAGTAGTTTTGTTATTATTACATATAAAAATCCTATTTTGTGTGTATGTGTGTATCTAGTTCATATATAATCAACGCATATCACCAATATCACACTTCTATTTAACTCATATTAAAAATAAACGCTTCTTATTAAAATTGTGAACCCTAGATCCCTAATGACTTGCTCTCTCAATTTGTTTCGTGTTTATAGGAGACAAATTCGCATTATTTACTAGCGACTCGAAGATGTCACAAAGCATTACAAGACAATGTTAAACAACTACATGTTTAAATATCATAGAAATAATGTTTATTTAAATAGACTTATTTACAAGTTTGTCATCACTTTATGATTCTATTGCGGGGTTCAAAATATTGTATCTGCTGATAACCCATAAGAAACTAGATAGCCTCTGTTTTCAAATAATTTTGCAAGATTTTTTTTAACATGATAAACAATAAGAATAATGAACATATAGATTTGTATGTGTTGTTTATATTGTATTGCATTAGTGTCAAATCATGTCTAACAAATTACTATGTAATTATTCATAATTCATTAACCATTATTCCATCCATACATTTCAATTTATAGATAAATATAATAAACCTGTATTTTTATGTAATTAATTACATAAAATGCAGGTTTACTAATAACGCAGAAAATATATGATTAAAAATGAATTTTAGAAATAACTGTTATAAATGTTTTTTAACCATAAGGTTAAAAAAAATTTAAAAGAATAACTTGTCATCGATATAGAAGTGCCCTTTATCTGTTTCACTTATGTTACCATAGATTAACCTGTCAAGATATTAGAGATAATTGAGCAATGTTTGGAAAACCTCCTATAAAATAGATTGGACATAATAACGTACATATATAGTTAAAACAGGGGGCGTCGCTGGATCGATGACAGTCCTCGTAATACTTCATTACCATCAAACATATCTTTAGTATTATATAACACGAGTAAACGTAGATGTCGACAACTCATGCATTATTAACAATATCACATTGTACCTAACAAGTTGTTTTCTATTCAATATTCCTTCATCTCATCTTAATTTAGCTATTAAGTCAAAATATTAAAATTTGAAAAACAACATCTAAGTATAATTTGAAGTGTGCGAGATTTGAACCTGAACATTTTCCTCATCACTTGTGCTTTTATTAAGCAATAAAAATACTTAATCCTTAAATACCACTTTTAAATTTGTTAATCGCTGTCTTTTACATACTTGGCGGCGCTCATAGACGCCATCATATACGCTGTAATATAGACCGTAGACAACAGAACAGGTAGTTGTTACTAAAATTAAGTACTTGAATTTTTGCAAAATTGTAAATACATTATTATATTACTAATTGATAATAAAAAAAAATTACAAAGCTTATCTATCATACACAATTATAGCTGTAAAATATGAGAATTATATGAATAATACGACGTATTATATTACAGATGGTTCATGCATGTTGGTGGTACTACTTTTCAAAGTTCACTGAATTTTTCGATACGGTAAGTACATATAGTCGTAACTATATAGATCCATTATATTAGCAATAATGTTAAATTCAACAATAACAAATATTTCTTACTGCAATTTAATTTATGTATAATGTTTACCAAGTCAGTATAAACTGTAAAAGAAGTATACAATAAGAAATTTTCATAATTTAAGATATTGAAATTTACTTGTAATAAATAAAAATTTCATTAGCTCATTCTAGAGACAGCACGAGTTAACCAGACCTGCAATTTTATATGGCTCCATACATATTATCCGTAGGCAGTTAATAGCGAAACTAATATCAATGAACCCATAAATTTGGTACTTTCTTCTACCGTCTAGTTTAGCTTAGGGCTTAACTTCACTGTGATTTGCACCTAAATTTTATTTCAAGCCCAACCAAAAACATGAATTAAAATATGGATACTTTACATAGAAAGTACAGAGGAATAATAAAATTAAATACATATATTCCTAACATTTAAGAAATACCGACAACAAAATCGTACAAAAATATTAGTTTTGTGCAGCATTACGTTTTTCAAGGTCTTCAAAAAAGAGGTAATATGGTTGATTCATGGTCACTAACTCACGTGGCCTTCAACCACAAAATGATGTATACAGGCTAACTATAACTTAGTTGCTACCATTGTAATTTAAAAAATACATAATGTTTTATCATTATTTGTTCATAGATCTTCTTTGTACTACGAAAGAAGTTTGACCATGTGTCTACCCTCCATGTTATCCATCATGGCGTGATGCCGATGTCCGTGTGGTTTGGTGTCAAGTTCAGTCCAGGTGGTCACTCGACATTTTTCGGGCTGCTCAACACTTTCGTACATATCATAATGTACACGTATTACATGTTGGCAGCTATGGGCCCACAAATGAGGAGATACTTGTGGTGGAAGAAATATCTCACTACTCTACAAATGGTAATTATACATTTGTTATTATCTTAAATAAAATAATAAATAAGCTCACAAATTTAATTACCAATAAAGTAGTTAGAATAATTTGTTAACCGTTTGCGCTAAATAGAGCATACATGCCCACATTTCGCCAAACACTTATTTTTATCCAACGTAGCAGGAGTAGCCTAGTACCGTCTCCCGGTACCTAAATAGATTTGATAATGGTATCCGTCACCGGAGATTAGAAATATCCTTCCGAGTCTACGCTCGACGCGACGACGGCGCACCGCGGCAATGCTCTGTTAAAGCTAATACGAGTTCACACTAAACTGCAGCTGGCACGATGAAAATTTTTTTTTATGCAAAAAACATCCTGAATTTGTAGTGGACTATTTTGCGGTGTCTCTTAGAAAATTACCAATTAGATTATTTACAAAAATTTAGTTTAAATTTAGATTACTACAAATAAACAGCTCTTATATCATTTATATTGTTCATACATAGTTGTTATAAATACTTATCTATTTAATTATAAATTTGAGTATGTAATTTCAAAAATCAGAATATAATGAGAATTGTATGTTATATTAAAACTGTTCTTTTCTTTGTTCTCCAGATACAATTCATCTGTGTTATCGTCCACGCGTTCCAGCTGCTATTTATCGAGTGCGACTACCCACGTGGGTTCGTCTGGTGGATTGGAATGCACGGTGTTATGTTCTTCTTCCTATTCAAAGACTTCTACAACCAACAATATAACAAACCCAAGGTACAAACCAATTATTCTTATATTTTTCTAATTAAATAGGTGATATTTTCAATTCTCTGAATTTTTTGTTACAAATAAATTTCTCGTAAAATAGATGATTTTGGAAATCTTTACACCGTTATGGTAAACGACAACGCTTAAAATGTACACATTTCGCCCCGTATATTAAAATCAAACGTGACGGCGACAAACATACTGCCGTCACTTGGAATTAAATTGGTTTCATAATGAATTTGTAGTTTTTGATGTTGGCCATATTCAAAATCAGGACCTTTGGTATCTGTAATTATGATTCTCTCGTTATTATTGTGTACTTAATGTATCATACTACTACATATATATATATATATATATATATATATATATACACATTTACCATTTCAGTTTCATCAATTATTAAAAAAATAAATGCTTATTTATATACTATATTGCAGGTACGTGCAAAGTCGCCGCCACCTTCCGCTACGATATTTGAAAAACAAGTGACATACAAGAATGGGTCAGTGAAGAACGGGTACATAGCGAGCAATGGACATACGAACGGCGGAACGACCGCGCGGGCGCGGCCAGTACTGCCAGCCGGCAACTGACGCCGTACGAAGACGAGGCGTCCACCTTAGCATTCCGTAGTACTCTGTGATTCGTAGCCTCAACTTTCACAGGACATTACCTGTTTGATTTGTGGACATTTACGGGGTGACGGTATATAAATTACGCGCGAACCCACGAATGCCGGTCTCGTGTCTCCGCCGCGACTCTTCTATAAATATCCCTAGAATTTTTAGTGTTAAATGTGATTTATCTAGTGTACATATAAGTAGGCGGTATATATGGTGTAAATTTTATTTTAAATATATAATTAGGTTTGTGATTGATCGCATAGCGTTTTGTACTTTTATTAGGCTTTAGTAGGCTTTAAAGCAAATTCGCTTTTAAGATCTGAAGAAATTAAATGAATACAGTCATAACGATAACGGCTCCTGTATATTTTATTTGGTGCTTTTAATAGTACCAAATTATTTTAAACAAACACAAGTACCTTGCCGCTGTTTTGAGTGATTTATGTAGTATTTTATTTTCATTATGACCCAGAACAAAATGCTATGATTATATTATTTACAAACTAGCAGAAATTATAAAATGAAACAAACTAGTAGTAAATGTATGAGTCATTTGTGTTATTTTTGTAGCACATTGTTTCTTTACGACAGATTATGTTGTATAGTTGAATTAACATATATTGAATATAATTATTATTCACATGTTTTTTAAGTACAATAACTATGTTTTATGTATACATAGATTGTTCACTGTGTTTTTAGATATTATGACACCTGAAGTGGTTGTGTTGATTATTATTTATTTTGTTTAATTTATATTTTATTTAATACCAAAATTATCTATATATAAGATGAATTAACGGGTTTAATAGCATTAGCCAACAAAGCTCTTCCTTTGTTTTAGTCTTCCGTTTGTTTCTGTACTTACCAAGAACGGTGCTTCACGTAGCAAACAATTTACATCAAACATAAACTGAAGTTGGCCATGTTGAATTTATTTTCATGCGTATTGAAATCAGTTTATGTAACTACTGTAATTTTTATACAAAATATGGAAATAAATAATAAGTATAAATTAAATCTTTTTTTTCACTAATCCAATGTTTTCCAACCTTTTATAACGGCAACCCTTCAAGGAGAAACAAACAAAAAATTGCATAATAAAAGACTTAAATGGCAGATGAAACTCAAAAACTATAAACTAAATTCTATGCTCAATTAATAATGACAGCTAATAAAATAAATCGTTACTATAACAGCACTAAAATTTCCATATGGCGATTGGTACTCTTATCATGTTGTTTGATTACCGTCACTATCGATATATGTTTGTATATGATTTATTATTTATTTTTGTATATTCATATATCCATCACATCCTGGTCATTTTGAGACAATATTTGCTTATTTGTGACGTAATTGAAAACAGTTAATGTCAATTAATGAATAAGTACTAAAAGGTCTCGACACTGCTATATAATTACTGTTCATTAGGACTACGCAAGTAGTGAAGTAGGGAGTGTAGTAGTTTATATTTAAAAGTAGCTGTATCCAGCGGCTTTACCCACGTGAATTAGTATATATACCAGTAGTGGCCAACTGATCGATCGCGACAATTTTTTTTTAATGGTAACGAAATAGTAACCCCGCCCGCGCTATCGGTATACACTGACGGGGCTTCGGTGAGAGATGATAGTGAGGGTAATATCAGGTCAGTTGGCCCATCGCGACAAACTTAACAATTAACCACAATGATTTCCATGGTGAACCGTGTGGAGGTCTTGCTAGCAATGGGGATTAATATCCCCATTACTAACAATCCTTCTAAACCCAATCGCGACTATTAATTCAGTCGATCGTGGCAAGGCAAAAAATATAAATACGTAGAACAAAAAGGTTGTTTAAGGTTGGCAATTTCTAACTACAAACCTAATTTTGCTAATCTAGCGGTAGATGTTCAAACCCAATGCTCACAATAATATAAATAAGTAGTTACTAATTTTCATTTTTATGTTTTTCCTCTTAATAAAATAAAAAATACTACATAATTGTCTACTGAACTGTGTTGTTTCATTTGAGATATCAAGAAATATGTAATTGGTAGATCGCACAGGGTTTCGTCAGTGAACAGTAGATCTTGGGTCAAGTTAGCCACCCCTGCTATATACTAAGTTATAACCTAATCCTATACCAAATTTCATTCAAATCCGTTCAGTAGTTTTTGCATGAAAGAGTTACAAAGAGCCATCCACCTATCCTTACAAACTTATCGCATTTATGTGGTACATCATATTAAACCGAAAACGACAGTTTCTGAAAATTTACTCTATGTATTTAACAACATCTTGTGGGATAAAAATAGAATAGTAACCCTGTCTACGCCATTGGTACACGGGCGGACACAAGTAGTTAAGTAATACAAGGTGAGTATGAAGTCAGATCAAGCAATCGTGACGAATATACGGGGGTAGATTGAGGAGTACTCGGCCTAACATAGGTCCTGTATGGACCTGTCTGGCCGAGTTAGTCGTTAGTTAGTTAAAGTCAGTAGAAATTTTCACAATATAATTAAGCTTGGGGGGGAAGGGACTTTTAGTAATAGAGAGCATTATCTATCATTCATTAAAAAAACCTATTGACTATGGGATCCTAAACGGAAATGTTGAAAGACGAGGAAATGAAAAATATAAAATAATTTTGAACTTCCGACAATATATTAAAAATAGTCTTACAAATTTTAATTAAGTACCAAACTATCAAAATTTTATGACATAATTCACAATAAAAACGGCAAAACTATACATACATGTGTATGCCATCTGATACTCATCCTATTTAGTTTATTCTTGTGTATCTATCACTTGTCTAGCGTTCTTTTGTTCATTATCACTAGTCTAATCACGACTCGCACAATTCCATGGTCGACAGTTGAATACTATTTACCTATTACATTACAATATAATTATATATGTGTACAGGAAAAGTAATAGTATACAAATATATATCGTCTAATCGATTCTAACAAGTTTTTCCTAAAATCTGTTTCTACCGAATTTAATTAAAATGTAAACAAATAAACACTAGAGTCAACTCCATATTTCTAAATCCCTCTAAAATTAAAAATTCAGTATCATATCACATCGAAATCTTTATTCTAAGGACCATATAAACTAAATTTCTAATATGTCTTCATTTATAAATAATTTCATTTGGAGGAAACAATAAAGAGTATCTATCTATCTATTTATGTCAAAATTATTATAAATTTAGTTTATGATGATCTACAAAACAATAATTTCGCGAAACTATCATTGATTAAATTTTTCAATTGGTCTTTACAACAACAAACAATAAAACACAGACCATATGTATCTTAACACCATTTCAGCTGTATATGATTTAAGAAAATTTAGTCTCGCCATAGTATCCGAGTGCCTTGTGTGGTTTGCACACTTTATAGCCTAAGATCCCGCCACTGATTTCAGTTCAAGACTTTTCAATGAAACTTTGCAACTAACGCAAGATGAACAAAAATATGACTCTAAAATATCACTGACTTTTGCATGTATAAGACTTTTTAATGAAACTCGTGTTTAAATGAAAGATGAGCTAAATTACAAACTCGAGTAACCTGTTCTCAGTTAGCCGCAACCTTTAAGATATAATTAAATTATACCATCATGCGAGAATTTGGATCAACAACAAAATGTGGATTATAACAAAAATCTTTCCTCAGCATATGCCTTAAGCGAATAGGTAAATCATTTTATTAACTAATTATAACACCTTCATTAATATTTTAACGCGTGTAAGCCAGTATAGGTAAATGGAAATTATACCAAACATCTATAATCTCATTCAGGGAAGTTGTTACACCTACTGTTTATATGGTAAACAGGACCGCTATTGGCGTTATGGTATATGGCAAATGTTATAGTTAAGTGCTATTAAGTATCACTTATTATAGTTACACGATCTTTACTTACAATTAATTAAAAATAAGTTGCTAACAAAAATAACAAGGAACATTCAATATTACCAAAGTGTTTAATTTAAAGAATGTACTGTACATTTTATTAAATCAAAACACTAATTAAAATAATAACAATTAAAGTTTTTAACTCACTTTTTAAAGCCTCGGTGCCGCCAGGAATAATTGTAGCTCGAGGATAACTAAAATAACTTGATTTTTAACTGTCATGTCTTGACTTTAAGTGTGACAATGTTATATCGACTTATATATTATATATACTGTAAAAGTACGAATTACAGTAAACCCTAAGATTTATCAATTATTAATGGTAAAAGTCCCAAATGTTGTGCTCATCGTTCAATTCGAATTTTAACTACCTCTCACAAAGTAAGTCATAGGTTTTCGAAAAATAGACATATTTTACCACTGGACATATCTAGACGTATCTGTTGCTCGTACTTGTCGTACTTGTGCACATAACAGTAGGGTTTTTCAAACCCTAAAACACCAACTCGATGATTAGAGTGCCCCTTACCTTTTCTCCATATTCATTTACATTCATTTATTTATCATTATTCTTTTATTATTTTGCCAACCATCATTGGTAAAACTACATGTTTAGTTTTACAAACTATAATTGTAAAAGCCCTAAAAACATATCAACTTATCTCTTTTTTATAAAGTCTTATGTTTACTAATAGTAAATACTAAAATTTTCCAAGGTTTTTACAGTAACATATATATAATATGTATCATGATATATATTATACATAATACATCTTCAATAAACAGACATCCATCAATTTAATTCCAGTATATGCAGGGTAAGACATATTTTAAGTACTTTGATATAATATTCAATAATTCTCAATATTACTATTCACTTAACTAAGAGACTTGGCGCAACGAAATCCTAAATTGCCCGCCGAACTATCCTCAGTATTGTGTGACCGAGCTGAACATCTATAACGGTAGCAATAGGAACGATGACACAAATATGATCCACCTTTTTTTACCTTCTCTTGAGGCTAAAAAAGGAAAAAGAAATATCAATAACGTCTAAATCTTTAAACGCCTTATAATCTCATAGTGGTATATATTACTAATATTGATGTTACAATCACAAATTATATACACTATTACATCATTATTTTACTTCTCATGTAGTAACCAAAAATAATGATTTAAAAAAGTATAAATATTTTTTTTATTAAATTGATTAAAATAATAATTTGTTATTATTATTATTGTGACGACCTCGTTTTTAAAATACTCGTTTTGCTAAAAAACCATCAAGACTCTGAGATTAAACTAGCCAAGCAAGAAAAAACTAGTTACTTACTAGTAAATATATACTACTTACTTGATCTTTGGACCAAGTGTCTTGTGTCCACTCCCACACATTTCCAGCCATGTTATATAATCCAAAATCATTTTGCAAAAATAATTTAACTGGATTTGTGCCAACATACCCATCTTTAGCTGAATTGTAATTTGGAAAATTACCTTGCCAAATATTAGCCCTGCAAAAATATTTTATACTTTAATATTATTTGTGACTTTTCGCCTTTTTGATGCATCTATACTAATAACAACATTAGTAATTGGTCACTGACATACATCATCCTTTGCATCACCACACTCATCACTTAAAAATCGTTATCATTTTATGACATCCACAAGCCCTCTAACCAATCAGCCTAGAATGAGTGGGGCATCACATATGGCATGAGAGAATAACCCTTCCAACTCTTCTTGTTCCATTATTTGAGTTTTTCTACTCAGCATTAATTACCACGACCAGTTTAGAAATCACTTAATAGCCTTCGGACCCAGATCAGGTGCAGCAAAGATAATATGTATAGCTGGGGATTCTCCATAGAACTATCCTTCACATGTATATGTGATGAAACATAAACCATAGCACAGAAACTATCTTGTCCTGCCTTCGCTAGTAGCAGTTCATTGCAAGACTTGATGGATGCCACAGAAAATACAGTCTAGGCGGCCAAGTTCTGGGTTGCAAAAGTCTAGTTAATTGTTTTACAATTGATTTGCTAAGAAATAGAATCACTTTAATAACTGAACAATTTTTTATTTAGTTCTAGTATTTGTAATTGTAATAACACTTTTATAGTGATTGACATGAGAAAAAATTAAGGTTACAAATAATACAAAGTAAAGACTGCAATATGTAAGAAATAATTACATATGTTTTCTATCAGGAAACAACTTATCACCCCATGGATACTTTGTATCCCGGTGACCACCACGGCAAGCTGCCTCCCACTCAGCCTCTGTTGGTAATCTAGCATTCCTCCATTTACAATATGCCACAGCATCTCTCCATGAAACATGTATAACTGGGTGGTCCATGGCATCTAGAAAGTAAAAAATAACTAATAAAAAAATATTTCTTAGCAATAATTAACACATGTAAACAGATGACATAATAATAGTAAGACAATATCCTCCTATAAAGAAATTAAGAACTATGTCCAGTAGTAGGATTTTAAAGACAAATTGAATTATTGAACTCTAAAGAAAAGTAATATCAGTGGAAACTTAGTGAAGTGGCCTTTTGGCCACTTCTTTACCTGTTATATTTGAATCTGGACCATAAGGATGTCTCCAATCTGCACCATCCACTTTATACCACCATGGGGCCTGTGCAACGCGGTAATCTTTCAGCTCTTCTTTAAATGTTCTATTTAGAAAGAGTCCAAATACGAAACTATCTCCAAAAACTTCTGCCTCAGTCTTATAATTTGTGCTTGTGACGAAATGAAAAAAGTCAATGTTTGATACTTCATATTTGTCTAAATAAAAACTGTTAATTTTAATAATCCTCCTAGGTCCTTCACTGTCCGTTTCTATAATTATATCATCTGTACCAATCTGATATTCACCACCGGGCACTAAAACCATTTCATTCACTGAACTCTTCTGAAATTTTTCAATTGTATTATCACTTTTCAAAAAACATTGCTCAGACGAAAAATCCTTATTAAAGTGGTTTGAAAATAAATTATTTTCAAAGTTGTTTCTGTTAAAATTACTGCACCCACAACTGGTTCCTTCTTCATTATAAATATGGCCGAAAAAAAATGAAAAAATGATTAAGAAAATTCCCAAAATCATGGCATAGATCTTGTATCACAGGTACTTCGTAAGTTTTGTTTAATTGTTTACAAGCATATATACTATTTCTTATTATTCTATAGTTACTTTAATCTCTTAATATTATGATAATTAATAATCCTTACAGTTAATAATTTTTCATTTATTAAACGTTATAGGGATTCATAAATAAACAAAAACAAACTTTTATAAAATTGACGTCGGTTCATTTGTTGACATTGCCAATTTGACGTTGACATTGATTGACGTAACGACGTATCAAGACTTGTCGATTTTGAGTTCGTCCTACTCAAAGGTCTTTTTTTTAATGGGTGATAATGCAATGGTAACCCCACCCGCACTATCGTAGATGAAAATGAAGCAGATCAATTAACCCATCGTGACGAATTCAACAAGAACTATTCACGATGGTTTCCAGGGGGAACTACGTGGAGGTCGACCAAATAGGGCATATTTTTTTACTTATAAACTTTACTTATAAGTAATCATATTTTTAAATAAATTATAACTGGCCAGTGTCACGTACATAAAAACTTTAGTTAAAAATATAGGGGTGGTTTTTAATGGCTATGTCGTATGTTGAGGTACACCGACCAAAAAAAAATACATATATTGAGTACATATGTAACTATAATACGTAATAATTGCATAGATGTGTGATGGGTGGAACATATTTAAAAAAAAAATTGTATGTAAGTAGACATAATATGTATTGCTTTTTTCTTTTTCTCAATGTCCTCTACCCAAAAGTTGTCTGGAAAAGATTGCTTAGCGATAAGATCACCTTTTATATCATTTCTCATTACAATTAAATATATTTACTATTATATAAATGGTGCAATAAATAAACATGGTAAACTGATACTAATTGAGACCCGTAATATGAGCTAATGAACTTCCTTCGTCGATTTCTTCTTCCAATATAATTACGTCTTCCATAGCGATGCGGCCATGAAACTACTTATAAAAGAATGCCAACTACAATCGAGGTATGGAAAGGTATTGTTTACCCCCGTGGTATGACCTAATTCTAATAAAAAGATCCCGATTCTAATAAATAAAATGCTTTAAATTTTTTAGACGGTATATTTTAAATTATTGACTTAACCAAACAAAAGTTTGTAAAAAAAAGAAAATACTAAAAAATAAAATGTGAATTTTAATCCCTTTTTGAGCAGCACTGTATAATATGGCGGAGGGGGAACACTGAAAAAAAGTAAAGATAAAAGCTAAAACCTTATATACTGTCCAAGGTTAGACAAACGTTGGCTAAAACAGCAGAACGTTAATGTAAATATTGAAATTTGAAAACGAAATGTAAAGTATCACACACAAGTCCAAGAGGTTGAATTGGTACTAAAAAATCTATAGTTTTTCGAATGCATTTGCATGTTAATTAAATAAAATAATTAATCTCTATCTCTATATTTATTTATTTGTTCATTGGTTTGTATTATATATCTAGGTAAATCCTATAAATAAGCAATATAATAGTGATGTAATATAAAAGAAAACTGCTTTTGAATAACTGCATTTCTACAAAGTGCACTGTGACCAAAGCCAAATACAACTCATCGGTAGCATAAAAAATGTATACTTAAATTAAATTTTTAACCACATCTTTAACGATAGTAAACAATGTTAAAGCTAAATAAATCTGCGCGATTGACAATAGACCTTCATGCTCTTCACTTATATAGATAAAATACTTTACATCTGTAAAGCGGCATTTATTGCCCTATTATATATATATATATATATATATATATATATATATATATATATATATATATATATATATATATATATATATATATATATATATATATATATATATATATATATATATATATATATATATATATATATATATATATATATATATATATATATATATAATTGAATGGTCCATTTATAAATATCTAATAACTTAATTTACTAAAACTCCTCACCTTTATAACATTTCGATACTATATATAGCTAATGAGGACTAATCGTGTGGTAATCATGTTACAAAAATCTAGGCGCTGAAAATAAGAAATAAAGTTATTACATCATTTTTATATATATTATTACATACTACATCATTATTATATATACTTAATAATTGTTTGATAATACTTATTTACTTGATCATTTCGGTATTTTTTATGGGTGATAAAGAAATGGTAACCACCCGCGCTATCGGTATACACCGGCGGGGCACCAATGAAAGATGATAGGTGAGGATGAAGCAGGTCAGTTAACCCATCGTGACGAATTCAACAAGTTGTGTTCACGATGGTTTCCAGGGAGAACCACGTGGAGGTCTACCTGATAGGGCGTATTGCTAGCAATGAGGCTGTCAAACTCCATTGCTAACAATCCCTTTCCCCCTGATCATTTCGGTTAAGTGCTCAAGTATTAATGTAATATACCCACTATAACTTATCTACCTTCCATACCTAATATTGTATTTACTTAATTGTACACAATAATCTAGGTACATTAATCATAATAATCTATATTAAAAATACAAACTTCACATTTAGGCACGAGTATACTTAAGTACTAGTTAAATATTTATTTTCCAACATGAATAATATCTATACGTACTTATGTAAAAGTATTCGTATAATTGATATACAAAACAAACTAATCCAACACAAAGTATGTAACATCTAAATTAAATATATAGAAGGGTGTATAAACTTACAATAATAAAGGTACAATATCTTCTTGTCTCATTTTTCCATAGTATTTTACTATACCATCTACATGACCCATTCCCACTACAGCCAGAACACGCGGATTGTCGGCTACTAAAATAATTAAATGGTATTAGTGCGATGTTGGAGGTATAACATAAACGTACTGGGGGGTAAGGGTTTGTTAGTAATAGAGCGTAACAACCCCATTACTAGCAATATACCCTATTAGGTCGATCTCCACGTGGTTGACCTGATCTGACTTTATCTTCACCTATCATCTGTTACTGTTGTCCCACCTATGTATACCGATAGCGCGGGCGGAGTTAATTTTCACTCATTAAAAACATATACATACTACGTCTTGGAGAAGAAGAGATTGTAATGCGAACTACCAGTCCCATTGCTAGCAACCCCTCCTGGATACCATCGTGCTGAATCTCAGGTGTATTCATCCCGACGAACTAACTGACCTGCCTTTTCATTCTCGCCTGTTATCCCTCATTGGTGCCCCGCCAATATATTGTTAGCGCGAGCAGGGTTGCCATACTATTATTATTCATTACAAAAAAAATATACTCATATGCACCTTTGTAAAGGGGCCAACAAACCCGGGGGGGTTTGTTGGCCCTTTTACAAAGGTGCATATGAGTATATTTTTTTTAGTATTTATTATTATTTACGGGGGGGCACCCCCGTAAATAATAATCTTATTTTTTTTTAATTCTAATCCAAAAATATTTATTTACTCTCCACAATACTGTACGAAAAAACTATTTGGTTAAGAATATTGGTATGTATCAGTATATGTATTGGTATGTATTATAGAGACTGATGGCTGTGCTAGAGCCACCAGGCCACAAACCCCAGATGACTTGTAACATTTAAATAAATAACATTCGAAAAATAAACTGTCTAACGTTAACTATACATTTTTATTTGTGCGTGCGGGCGTGTGAGTATGCTTGTTGTACATGTGCCTGCGTGTATCCGTGCGTGAGTGCATGCTTACATGCGTGCATGCGTGCATAGAGGTATGTGTGGGTAAATATGGATATATTTGTTGGTAAATACGTTAATTTCGAAGGATAAAGTTGAATCAAGCAGTCTTTGTAACGAACAGAAAATAAAATTCTTCAGTTCAAAAGTGTTAAGATACTGTACCCTCAACATACTGTAAGTATCATGTACGTATCATATGGATACGTGCTATTTATTTTATACGAAACGAACGATATAGTAATTAATACGAACCAGTACGCACACATTCTTGCAACGAATACGCAAGACACTTATCACGTTCGTCGACAAATACATGGAATATTTTTTTAAATGCTGGTACATCTTTAGTGATTTCCTCGAATTGCGCATGTACAAAATCTTTATCTTTGTATCGTTCTAGTTGAAATTTACTGAAATCAGTTGGCGATCTTTAGGTATAAACTATAAAACAATAATTATCGTTTGCACAGTAGACTGCACACCATTCATGTGTAGGATGACACATTATGTGCCTTCGCAAGTTTAAGTACAAGTAGGTATAATTACACATCGGCTATATACATAAATATTTTAATATATTAAATATAGTTGAGTGCTTACTCCAATGGTTTAGGATTTGAAGTGGTAAGATGATAGAGCACTTGACCCAATTCGTAAACGCTCAATGACTGAAAAGCTCTAGCAATTGTAATTTGAATAGGTCGATCGCCAAGAAATAACTTGCAGTCAGGAATCTTTTTCATCTGAAATTTTTTTTAATTAATTATTGCATGTCATACTTGCTAGATAATATAACTTTATCTACGTAAACTGAGTAAAGTCATAAACTAGTAAATTCAAACTGATTTTTTATAAGTTGCTGTCATTATTTACTAAAATGTTGATAATTTTGTTGTTTTAATGATTAGTGTTTTTTTTTTTAATTGGCATAAAGTTATTGAATAAATTACATAAATAACATTTTAACTTTGAAATGAGTGGCTATTCTGATTGTCACATTCAATTTGGTATTGATACTTTTAATTTAATTGCGTATCATAATACAAATTATGCTCACTGTAATGTCCATAGTGGCGGCGGCGAGTCAGGTCATCGGGCTTTGTTGTAAACCTAACTTTTATTTTAAAAAGCAACAGCTCAGTTTCTCAGCTCTAAAATTTTTTTCCGAACTGGACGACTCTTAAAAAAATTATTCAAAAATGCCTATAATTAAGATTTTTAAGACTATCTATTGATAGCGTATTTAATGTAGTTTTTATGCTTTCCTACCTCCAAAGGAAAAACTGAATACTTACGGGATCACTTCGTTGTCCGTCAGTCCGTCCGTCTGTTCGTCCATCTGTCTGTCCGTCTGTCAAGACCCTTTTTCTTAAGTACGCGTAAAGGTATCAAGTTAAAATTAATATCATATACTCAGGTCTACAATCTCTTAAAGCAGTGAAAAAAATAAGCTTGTAAATCGACGCAATCAAAAGATACGGCCTTTATGTTCCGTTTATATCGCATATTTTGATATTTACAAAGGAAATCGAAACCAATAGGGTACTTCCTGTTGACCTAGAATCATGAAATTTGGCAAGAAGCAATACCATGTAGCACAAGTAAAAGAAACATCCGGAAATCGTAAATTTGCAGTTATTTTACAAAAAAAATGAAATTTGATGATTTTATACGAAACCCTCGTTGCGTGAATCCGACTCACACTTGACAGGCTTTTTTATAATATTATTACATAAACTTAGTATTATATTGTATACAGAGCCCAAACATAGTAGAGGCTAGCGGGTAAAAAATAAGGGCCAACAAAATTAAGATTATGGCCTGCTGGCGGTTAAAAAGGTTTGAACAATCCGCTTATTATCTATCACTCACGTACTTATATACTCATTGCCAATAAAATACAATAGGTAGTTAGTTTAAAAAATTTCATTGCTAAGGGCAGCAATTTTTATATATTTATTTCATCATCTACATCGTATATGTGCGGAGCTACGAAACAACCAAATCGGATACAGATATTTCGATAATTATAGATGTACCTCATGATATGCTCTTCGAAATTCACCTCCTGGCGCGACTCCCAACTCTTTAGCAATGTCTGCATATGTTTTCAACAGCATGGCATGCAACATACCAGACACAAAATTTTGGCCTCTTACCACTTGTCTGTAAATATGTACAAAATATTCATTAATCAACAGACACAACATGTTTATTAGGGCAGTCTGCTTATTATTTATTGTTTTTACATGCAATAAAGCTTTTTTTTTTTAATACATATAATTTAATTAATTTAAATTATAGTTGTTCAATAAATATCATTAAATATTGTATTTACTAATCCAAAAAGAATGGGTAAAAACTCAGCAACTGCTATTTTAAAATATAAGTTGAATTTTACAAGGGTTAATATAAACTACTAAGTAACAGTCTTAATGTAATAGATATTTCAGAGTACGGAGGTATAACATATTTGGTTTAAAAAATAACAGCACTGTAAAATACTTGCCTTCTTATTTATAAAAACCTCAAATCTCTTATAAACCTATTCTAAGTATTGAACTCTTTTATCTTTTTCTTTTTAGCTAAACTCCCAATTTAAAAGAAACTTTTATTTTTAATGAATAAAGGGTTTGGGCATTATAGTATATCCTGTAATATCAATTCCCTGGTGCTATCTATTATTACTTTCCATCAGATGAGTCTTCACCTTGTTTGAATGTTCTTCGAAGCTGCATAAAAATATAACAAAGTTAGGTATGCCATTTACATATGTGTTGACTTACTTCATTTTCCTAGAATCAAAATTTTTCACGTCTTCTAGAAACTTTTTGTCATCCAGCTCAAGTAACGATACTCTTTGGCGACATAATTCCACTAAGATAGCATTTGGATTCAACACCTTAACTATCTAAATAAAAAAAAATATTTATATTAATAATTAGAATCTTTTTAAAAGAAACATACCTACATAAACAAACATACCTACAGGGAGCATCCTTACCTGAGAAACATCTTCCACTGACTGTTTGCTAAAGTGGACAGTACCAAGAAGCACAACAGTCGCTTGCCTGTCATTTTGTAGGAGTGTCGCAGAAGGAGGTAATTTTATGTTAGAATAGCCGCTATCGTTTCTTGAATAAACGGAACATAAGGCTGCAAAGTCGTATAGTTTATAAAAGGTAGTATTTCGACTAGAAACCATTAACTTGCGTACAGCGGTAACGGTAGTGACTCAAAAAGGGTCCCTTCAATTATATAATAGTATGTGCATTCCACTGCTAATTATAACTGGGGACCACGTAGAGATCGACCTGACAGGGTATATTGCTAGCATTGAGATTTGAAGTCCATATTAATAACAATCCCTTCCCCCCAGCCCATCGTGATGAATACGCCTGGAATTCAGCACGATTGTTTAGAGAGGGACCACTGAGAGGTCAACCTGATAGGATATATTGTTAATAGAGGAACCGTTAGTCCGTATTGCTAACAATCCCTTATCCCCCTCATGCTCTACCTTTAACCTGACCGCTATCTTGGTTAAGAATGACGGAGCCGCTAGGGACTGGAGAGGATATTTCCAGTTTGCCAGTAGTTGCAAAGCTTGGCAGGAGAGTTTGCAATCGAAGTAAGGCTTTTCGTGATTGTTTTAAGTGAGGTGCTACTGCTTATATAAATATCATCATCACATCAGCTATTAACCTCCTGCTGAACATAGGCTTCTCCTTATTGAGGGATTTTGCCAATAGTTGCCACGCTTGGCACGCGGGTTGGAAACCGCAATTAGCTTTGGTCATGTTTATAGATGGATTCTGCTGCCGATCTTTCGACCATTTAGTTCCCTTAGTCGCCTCTTACGACAGCCACAGGAAAAGATGGACACCCGTAACATGATATTATTAAGTACATTTTTCGATCAATAGTTAATCTTGAAATTTTGTGGTAACTATCCCGGCCACTTATTTATACCTTATAGCTTATAAAAGAATTAATATACCATATCAGTTCTAGGGTAGGTACATTTCTAAGCTATTCAATTCAAAACATAATTAACTTACTCTGAGATCTTTCTACTCGCTTATTTAGGACAGTTTCAAGACTTTTGCACAACTGTCTTACGATTATATATGTTTGATATCTCATATCGCCGAATAATTTTGATGTACAAAAAATTTCATTATGATATACAGAACATTTTATTGAATATATTATTGATATAATAGATATCGGCTTCTATCCATGATTAACTGTAATTTTAAACTGTCATATTTGTTTTATTCCTCTAATTTTAAGCGATGAGAACAAATAAAAAATATGCATTTATAATTTGATAGCCAGGTAATTTAATACCTATTTAAATAAGTATTTACTTGCTTTGCTTGTAAAATTAAGTTATTCGCACAACGAATTTCTGAGTTTTTCCATAGGTAATAAGAAAGTATTATGATAAATTAATAGTGATACTAAGGTATATAACAATAGAAATCACATCGTAAATCTATCAGTCTTTGTAAAGATTTTTATTTTTGTAAAATAAAATATATTTTATCTCCATTTTTTATAAAATAATTTTGAAAATCATTCAAACTAATGGCCTATCTAATTTTTTTTTTGTGTCTATAGGTGTTATCTAATCATAAATCAATCATAAAGAAATGTATTTATTCTTCTAAAACGATTAAATGACATTATAAAACAAGCAGACTTGGTCGCTGTAGATTACTATCGTAACCTTGTTTGGTATTATTTTTTGTCCTGCTATTATCTATAAGAAATGCATGAAAAGGTAGGTATGTGTGGTAAAAATGTATTGAGTTATCGTTTTTAAAACAATTTGAATATAAGTTTACAGCTAAATAATAAAAATATATATAGGCTTCACAAACTTTATATAGTATATATTTATTGACACAATAAAATTCGTTAAGTCTTAGAACATAAGATCATATATATCAAGAGTGATCGAGTTGACAAAATCTAAGATCTACTGTTTACTGACGAAACCCTGTGCGATCTATCAATTACATACTTCTTGAAATTTCAAAAACAACAGTTTAATACACAATTATGTAATATTGTAGTATTTTTTTTATTCTATTAAGATAAAACTGAAAATTATTCATAGTAACTACTTATTTATATTAGCATGAACATTGCGTCTGAGCATCTTCCACTAGAATAGCAAAATATTATATTTTTTGCCTTGCCACGATCGACTGGACTAATAGTCGCGATCGATCGATTGCCACGCCACGACCACGAACACGCCTATAATATATATACAACAGTAGGTACCTACCTGCCAGTTCTAACTTTTAAACTACTTAGCATCATTATCTTTCATTCACTTGAGTTCACACAATTAAAATTATAATATTCCAAACTTATGCATATCAATTAAAAAATTCAACTAAAATATACTACCTCGATATACAAATTATGTGATATCATCACATTAGGGTAAGTGTATTGAAAAAAAAGAAACAAGTAAATACATGCTCAAAACTGTTTTACATAGCATTATTGAAAAAATAGTAGCTTTGCTTCATGTAAAAAATATTAACGAATAGTATATTAATGTTCATGAATTTCAATAGTAGAATAATGAAAAGATTAATGGCAATTATATTAAAAATGTTTTAAAAATACGCGTATGTTTCTATTCGCTTCGCATGTTACACAATGACCCTCCTAGATAACTGTCAAATGAATCTATTGTTGAAGTCTTTCCGTCAACGTGTGCATAAGAAAGCACAAGATATACGTAGCGGTCTCATTTTCTCATGCATTCGGAAGCGATGACATGTCTACCGATAGATTCATTTCATTACTTCCTTCCGTACATCTATCGATATTAAAAGACTTGTTTGAAATAAATTAGATAGCGCCATTAATATGTTGTACTCATTTAGTCGTTTATCCTCGCATATTTAATTCCTCGTTGTATCTGCCAATGATTTACCATTGACTAGTGGACGAATTTTATGCGTCCAATTTTAATGGAGCAAACTCACGTCAATGCTGCCCCTTGTCCAAATAAGCTTTTTATAATATGTTATAGGTCATTGTAAACACAGGCAGAAGTGTCATACTTATTTTATCACACTTTGTAAATCACAATGAACAATAATTTCGGCCCACACGAATTTATTAAAAATTTGTAAAACAAACCTTTAATAATAAACTAGGACTTAACTATATACATCAACACATTATAATCTAGCATTTTATATATAAATCTAATGCTGACATACAGTAATTTTTGAAAAAAAAATATATCGACAATTTTCCTTCATATTTTAGCAAATCTTCAATCACGTAACAATTTTTATGTCTGACAAAAATTTATTAGACTTACCTATCTACCACTATATTCTAATTACGATAATATTATTTTTAATAAATAAAGTAGTACCTATTGCTATTGGTGTCGACTCTAATATACAAAAAAAAAACTAATTTAATAATTCGAAACTGGAACTACTATCATCTGACTGTATTTATATATAGTAAAAAAAGACGTACGTTTTATTGTTAATTTATAATTAATAGTACTAAAGAATTTGCATCATTACTTCATATTAATAAACATGAATGTAGATAAGTTTAACATAGAGTAATACTTTCAATTTAGGTACTTTTTAGTACTGTACATATTTTAGTAATATAATTGTCATCTTCCCTCTCACAACCCAATACACGTACGATTTGATGCTATATGTACATTCTTTAGATTACCACTTTGGTATTAAAATTAGTCGTAATATCGTTCGTGTAAATTTTAGAAGTAGGTAACCTAAATGACGTATCAAAGCTAAAATAAAAACCAGTTTTTAAACTAGATCTTTACGAACACAACTGTAAAAAGTTAATTCAATTTGGCGCAGTAGTATATGCGTGATGCCGGAAAAAAATAGAGACAGAAAAAAATCTCTAAATTATTGTTTTAGCTTCTTTTCCTTCCATATTTTTTTTTTATTAAAAATCTTTACTGTACAGACATGACCTAGTTATTATACAGTTTTATTATATTAGTAAGATAACTGACACAAATCACATGCTCATATACAAAAAAACCTTTACTACATTTAATTTTAATATAAGCTCTATATAAAAATATGTAGTATTTAGAGAACATAATTTTAGACGAAAAACGAGTGCCTATTATCATTATCTTATCATAAATTACTTTCAATATACATAATATCTAAATCTTTAATTATTTAATCTTACCATCCTGTAATAGTACAGTTATTTTAGTTTTCATGTTTCTTATATTTTTTGATATAATTTTTACAAGTACCAATAAATACTAATTAAATTAAATATCGAAATCCGCAATAATCTAATAGTATAAATTAATTAGAAATCAACATATAAGCTATGCATTTAGCAGAAAAATCGAAAGTTAGATACAACGATAATAAATAAATATATATATATATATATATATATATATATATATATATATATATATATATATATATATATATATATATATATATATATATATATATATATATATATATATATATATATATATATGCAATTCAAATATTAATTAAAGATTCGTAATTACTAAATGTTTACAAACAAAATTTAAATATTTATTTTAAACAATTGTCCTTTTTAGTTAATAAAGAAATCACAAGATATTAATTATTTACAAAATAGGATATTTTTTTAAAATTAATTTGGTAGGAAGGACCAAATTAAACAACAAACAAGACAAAAATACAACCAAATTTTTTGTGACGATATTTTTATAATCACAAATGAAACCCATTAAAGTTCTATACTGTAGGTAAGATTATTATATATTTAAGTCACACTAGATTAAAATTGCATGTAGACGTATTTTATAATTCTTATAAATAATAAATTCTTAACACTTCCTTCCACAGGCTTCAGCGAAATTATTATGCAGATGGTCCTGAAAACATTCATTCTTACTTTAATATTAGGTATAAGAATTTTCTTAATCTATAAAAATGACATACCACAATGTTCCTTTACGTTAATCTCAACATTTTATAACAAAACCGCTTGGTTGACTCACACCTCATTATAAACCTTAATGAAATTTTGTAAATGTGTTTTATTATCCCAACTTCGAAGATAGTATAACAGAGAAAAAATTTACGTGACGTTAAGAGGAAAAATAACATTGGTCGGATCAGCTAGTATTAATCGAATATATTTTTATCTGTCCTTACGCAAAATCCTTATAAGATAGGCATAGAAAATAATATATATATATATAAATAATATATATATATATATATATATATATATATATATATATATATATATATATATATATATACACAATGGAATAGCAATCCCACCCTTACTACCGATGTATGATGATGTAAGTGGACTTGGATTACCGTGATAACTGACAATGAGGCCTGTTGGCGGCCTGAGGTGTAAGGAATTGTACACGATTGTACCTTTCTCAATGAACGATTCCCTCTCGCTTCTATAGGCATAATTGATAAAAAGGCAATAATACAAATAAATATTTTCACTGACCAGCATTGACGGAGAGGCAAGACGATCAAATAAAGACCGGGCAACGATCAAGGCAGCCAGCGACGCGGCAACAAGCGCCACGTGACCCACACTAGTGCGCCCACGCACGCCACGCGCGCCGTCACGCGAACCACGCGGGTCGACACCGACGGCGGCGGTACCCTGCCGCCACGCGACATATTTATATTATACTCTAATTAAACAAGCTGTACGATAAATGTATAGAAATACCACACAAACATCTTTACAAAGATTCATTAGCAAATAAAATTAAATAACTATTTCTTAACCTTGTAATATTTTACATATTTCCTTTTTATATAAACCAATATTATTATGCTATGTATGTAAATCCAATCTTTCATAACTAAATTTTATAACTAAACAAAGTGTCGCCATGGTATTATTTTAAATCTATCATAAATTCGTTTTACTTTAAAATTACATACTCATGAATATAATAATCAGAAGGAATCATAAAAATAAAAGAAACTTACTCTAACAGTGGTGATATGTCTTGAGGCGTAATCTTGCCCCAATGCTCCACTATGCCAGCAACATGACCGATACCCACAACGCCCACTATGCGACAAGGTTCTCTACCTGTTAAATATTTTATTAAAATTAATACCAGAGGTTTCCAAAGTTTAAGTAAAGTCATACTTTCTTTTTATTTTAAAAAATAAATTAACCACTTTCTAATATAAGTGAATGTAAAAATATTTTGATGATATGTAAAGCGGGAGGGATTCACGGTACTCCAAAGCACCGAGACGTACTCTTTGGGAACATCTGACCCCTGTAGTAATGACATGTGCAATGATGCAGTAAACAATGAAAATATGTTTTCAGCTCTCAATTAACCATGAACCTTATTAATTCATTTTAGTGAATGCCTCTTTAATTATAAACTCTACTAACGGGGTTGCAAAGCTGCAACTTGCAAGGAGTGACAAAGGTACATATCCCTCTCGACAACAAATACACGCTCGAGAGCCGGAAACTCTTGAGCCATCTCTTCCAACATATCCTCCAGCATCTTTTTCTGTTTACATTTCTCTACTTCTTCGGCACTGAAAAAAAAACATGAATAATTAATTCAAACTAAAAATGTAAAAATAAAAGAACTGATATAAAGAATATTTTTTTAAAAAGTACCAATAGTTCCAGCTATAATTGCATTCACTATTTACTAATTATTACATATAAATCACGATCCAGAAATAATAAATTTAAATTAAACCAATAATAAACAATTTTATGTCTTACTACAAGTATGTACCTCAGTAACTACTAGCGATATAACAAATGTTCTAAATATTTTATTAATACTTTGCTTTATAAAATTGGTCTCTAATAAGAAATAAAAACCTATAAAAAGGCGTTGAATACATCACACTCCAAATAATAACGTGTATTTCTATATATATGTGTATTTATATATGTGTATTAACACCTAATTTGAGGCACGAGCCTCAAATCAGGTGTTAATTCTAATAATATTAAAATTATATTTTATATCAAAAATTACTAGTACCGCATTCGAGTATTCTGACACTTCTCTATGGTTAACTGGGAGAGAATGCTTTTAGCATTAAGTCCGCCATGTACACATATTTGTACTAATGAATAAATAAATATATAAATAATAATAAACATCTAATTTAATTTATATATGAAATAATTTATAATGATGATTTATAAGTTAATTCTTACTAAAGTATCATATAAAAAAAAAGTAGTCGATCAAGATCAGTAATTAATTATAGACTTCTAAATAAAAATGAGCAAAACATAATTACCATACCTAATTGTCTGATTAGAGGTGAGCAAATGCCAAATGAATCGTATTGTCTGTCCCCAAGATAATGATGCTATCGCTCTATGAAGAGTGATATCTATTGCTCTGTCACCAAGTTGCACAATGCAGTTCGGAATTTTTTTGGCCTAAAACAAATCAAACGATTTATTCCATTATTAAATATAATACATCTAGTGTATGTCTGCCGGATCACTGAGCTGTTCAATCTTAATAGTCTCATAATGTTGTTTTAATTATGGAAGTACCCAACAATATAAAACAAAAATCTCAGACATGATCACACACAGACTTCTAATAATTACAAATTTACCATTTCATCACACAGCTGTCTACTATTCTAAGTTTATAAATGGAAATAAAATATTCCTTAGTATGGAATATGCAAAAATTTACAGTTCCTATAATAATAATAAATTAATTTTGGGCCACTTTTAAATAGGCATTTTAAAAATAACTAGCCAACTTCATGACCTCTATTAATTTCAGTAATAATAAAATTACAAAGCAATATGTAGCAAATACCTCAGCCATAGCGCGTCGAAATTCTCCACCTGGTGCCATACCCAACTCCCTAGTGATATGAGCGGACATATTTAGTAACAAAATATACATAAGGCCATTGAACACTCCATTTTGAGCCATTGTTGCCCTGCAATATAGTATTTAATAGAATAAATTATAAACATATCTCAATCTATCTACGAGGTTTGCTACTCAATAAGAACTAACTGTGTACATGATGCAGTGTGTTTAGATTAAACACTGCCAATTAATTAATAAAATTTTGCTTATATAAACATATACGTAGAAAATCGTAAATAAATTATATACACATTTATGTGGAGGCCAAATGAGTATGCCTACCCCAAATTTTAAATATATCAATGGTTGCATTCTTAATAAACAACAACTTGTGATCATTTAGTTCTATTAACCAGTCTTAAAAAAAGAACTTAAATTTAACAAAGAGTAAAATTATTGTAAACTGATTTGATGTTTATTTTTAAACTTAAAAAAGTTACCCTCTTGTAAAACCCACACAAATTTTGGACAAGAATGAAGTTGGTTATTCCTGGAAAACATAGTATTTTATCATTATTATTATTTCAGCTGTTAACTGTCTACTGCTGAGCATAAGCCTAAATCCTCCCCATAACAGGAGTTTTGCCCGTAGTCGCCATGCTTGGCATGCAGATTAACAACCGCAGTTAGGCTTTTAAAGATGTTTTTAGAAGGATGCTACTGCCCATCCCTCGCCCTCTTTTAGTCGTCTTTTACGACACCCATGGGAAAGAAAGGGGTGGCCCATTCTATGCCAGAGCACACATGACAAAAAGTTACTATACATAATGAAATACACTCTACTTAATAGAAAAAGTAATTTACCTTATTTTCTTTATATTTATATTCTTAGCTTCTCTTAGTATTACCTCCTCATCCAAGAGTAATATATTAGTCCTTTGTTGACACAATTCCACCATGACTATATGTGGGTTAACTTCCTGAATGACCTTTAAATAAATAAAAAAAAACATGGAAGTGGATGAAACAAGAAATGCATGTAAAGACAAAGACCTATAACTCAACACTCGACCTCTACACTCAACTTTCTTTACCTATCCTATAAGACTAATATAAAGATTAAATATGAAATAACTAAGAAATATTAAATAATGTGATTTTTACCTTTGATACATCATCCTGAGATTGCAAACTAAAATGAGCAGTGCCCACTACATAAACTTTCCCACCATCTGGGGCATCTAACACTGTCACTGTGTTTGGCAAACTATCATCCACAGGTAAATCTGGAATTTTTAAATAATCATACTTTTTTCATACAATATAACCTATATTTTAGACATTATTTTTAATTAATAATTTCAACAGTCATCAAATTACTTATAATATTATTAATCATCTAATCATACAAATGTAAATGTTTACATTCATCATTATAAAATCCATTAATAAATAAATATTACTTTGAATTTTATTTCAAGATTTCATTATCTTTCATAGGTGTTCTGTACCATGTTCTCTTCGTAACCTCATACAGTATCTTAAAGATGAAATTTAATATTTCTACTAACATATTATATCCTTACTTTTATATTTATTAATTAACATTTACCTTCTATGTTGCTTTCTAAATTAGAATTTGTAATCTGGTTTTCTGATGTACAGTCCTTCTTTTGATCTGGTGTTGAAGTAACAAACTTTGGCTTTTCTGAAGAATAATTATTATCAACTTAAGAACTTAAGTTATATTTAATTTGACACCTAATTACATTAGCTAATAAGTAAACAAAACATTAAAATTGTGTTTTAACTTATTTCTAATAAAAACATATCCTAATTCTATTAAAAAATCTTTAAAGAAATGAACCATATCTGAAAACCATATTTATTGTTCACATTTTATATTAAACATCATGTTCATATTAAACACCAATACAAGAAACTTGGACACCTATTGTATCATTTCTCAGTGCTGATTTTGAAACCTTATAAATACACTTACTCCATTCAGTTTACACTGAAGCAGCTTATTTTATAATACATAATTGGTCAGTGTATACATTACAAATTAACATTTTTAAAATGACGACACACTGCTAGGGAAGACCAAAGAACCCTTCCTAACATCTGAAGAATATATCTAGCATAGCAAATTTTTATGTAAATATATAGGACATGCATAAGCTATTGGATGACTGGTTGTTCCTTACTCTATGCTGATAACATCATTAATGACTACCTTTCCTACTGTGTTACCTACAAATTTACATTTAGTTTATCACATTTTATTGTATTTATAATACATCCACAACCATTCTATTAAAAATAACAATAACATCAATTAAAAGATTATTGCATTGCAAATTAATTGCAAATACCTGCTTTTCCTTCGCCCACACTTCCCACTGTGTTTATATGCGTATCTCCACTTCCATCTTCAGCCTTTAAAAACATCTGACATTCATTAAGAATGTCACACTTCAAACCTGGTGATTTCGACTTCATTAACAATGGATCTTCATCCATGTTCAGGTTTTTATTTCCTAAAGCAAGATCTGTTGTATTCATTGCAGTGAACAGGTAACACTTCTGGAATAAAAATTATGTATTTAATGATAGAAGACATTATGTCAACCCTTATATTACGTATGCAAAAAACAAGAGAAGTTAAATAAATATGCATAATAATAAACAAGTTTAGGATGTATTTTTATTAAAATAACTATAATAACATAATCTAATAGATTATCTATTTAAGTTAATAATATGTAATAAAAAATTTCTCAGTATATTACATTTTTTTTAATTACTAAATTTGATAAATATTTAATATGATGAATACAAAAAATAAACTATAAATATCTGTATCTACAAATCAGATGATTTAAACATTTTAGTGTAAGACTTTATAAATTACTGATTACTTTGATTTCTACTGTATAAAGTAATAACCAGCCCCTTTCATCCATATTCACTTCATATTTTAAGAGATTAGGGAACAAGAGACATTAGTATTAAATGAATTATATTAAAAGGCGAGGGGAACTCAACACTAAGCCATCTAGCTAGCGTGCTAAGTAGGCCAATCCTCTTCTCATAGAGTTTATACATAGCAGTGGACCTAAAGGACAGTTGTCGTAGGAGTCCATTATTCACAAGTATATTAATATTTATTTTAATACGTACGATACTTACTACTACGATCGTAAAATTGAGAAAATAAAGATATAGTTGCAGTGGCACATCAAGAAAAACAACGTTTTTATTGGAGCATCGATAACAGTAGACAAAATTTTTGTTGATTCGAAAAAAACAATAAATGTTATTTAAATTTCAAAATGAGTCCCTAAAATTTTATAATAAATCGCATTAAAACATTAAATAGATTATAAATTATAACAATGTTGATCAATGATGACAAGACGGACATTTGGATTCAGAGAGAGGAAAGAGGAGGAAATGACATTTTACTTCATCTTGGATTATAATATAGTCTTTCTAATCTGTGGAACAAACAATATACCGTAAAATGGGGTAAAAAGGAATGGGTATATAAATAGGGACGAAACCAGGAATGAGATTTGGGGTAGAAAAAATAAAAATTATTAATTTCATATATTACTATTAGGTGTTTTAGCCAATAGTACAAAATTTAATCTTTCATTCTTTCACATAAAACAATGTGAAGTTTTATAAATTGGCATCATTATTATTTTCTAAATGGGTCGTCGAAATTTAGTATTTTTTAGGTTTCTAAACTTATGATATACAGAGATTATACAAAATCAAATGTATGTTTATCAAGAGTACTCAAATATTTAAGCCTTTTTAGAGGTGCACTAATTCAGCCAAACGACGTTTGACTAAAACATATAATGATTTAGTCAAACGTCATACACCGATTAGATTCCATATTTTATACAAACGTATTAAATCCTTATATAATTATAAACCGTAAAACCTTATTTAATACATTTTGTAATTCCAAAACACGGAAAATCATACATTTGACAATTAAATTCTTTCACACGGTGTTATTAAATGCTTGATTCCATATAACTAAGTGAAATGTGAAAAAGTTTTATATATTTATTGTTAAATAAAGTTTATTTAACTATTATGTATATGTACAATATACTTTGACAACCTTATGCTTTTTTCCTGTTCGATCCGGTTGAGAAACGGATATATTTTATCAGTATGGTGCAGTTACAAAAAAAATATATGCGTTACTTCTACCCTGATTATTTATTGTTATGAAACAAATCTATAATTTTTTTTTTTGCAACTTAGAATATTATTTAATAAATATTATTTTATGGTAATAATGGTTACATAGATTAATTTTCTTATTTTCTCAGTATAAAAGTAATTTCGACTACATTTTATCTTGACATGTCAAGTTATCAAATTTTTTCCCAATATTTATAACAATTTTTATTCATTTATTTATTTTCATATCCATATTATCTATATATTTAGGAATGAAGTAGTTTAAATATTATAAGAAAATTATCAAAACTCGATTTTATTAAAATTTACTAATTCACTTTAACTGCTGCAATTTATTATATTTTAGAAAATGTTACTTTTATGTAGTATGTTTTCTACGTATTCCAAAGGCCTTAAAAGCACGTTATTGATTGGAAATTCAAGATATTTAAGTAAAGCTAAAGTAACTATTTTAGGGATTGAAACTTCTTGTGATGATACTGGTTGTGCTGTTGTTGATGATACTGGTAAAATATTAGGTGAATCTTTGTACTCTCAAAACGATATTCACATAAGGTATGGTGGTGTAAATCCACTTATTGCTTATGAACTTCATCGTAATAATATTGAATTGGCTGTTAATAAAGCAATACAATCATCTAATTTAAAAATAAGTAATATAGATGCAATTGCTGTAACTACAAAACCAGGTATGCTCATAAATCTGCAAGTTGGAGTAAAATATGCAAAATATCTTGCAAGAAAATTTCACAAGCCTTTAATACCTATTCATCATATGGAAGCTCATGCCTTAGTTACTAGAATGTATCAAACCATAGCATTTCCATTTATAGTTTTACTTATATCAGGAGGACACTGCCTTTTAGCTGTTGCTAAAGATGTTGACGAATTTCTTTTACTTGGAGAAGGATTAGATAATGCACCAGGTGAAATTATGGACAAAGTTGCTAGAAGATTAAAATTAAAAAATGTAACAGAATACTCATTAATGCCTGGAGGAAAAGCAATAGAGGTTGCAGCACGTAAAGCATTAAATCCTGAACAGTTTAAATTTCCGTTGCCTTTAGCAAGGTATCGAGATTGTAATTTTAGTTTCAGTGGACTAAAAGATTCAGTATTCCGTTCATTGACAAAGAAAGAATCTGAGCACGGCACAATTGGGGATGAGATTGTTCCAGAAGTGAATGATTTATGTGCAGCCTTTCAGCTTGCTGTTGCTGAACACATAGCACACAGAACAGAACGAGCTTTAATATTTTGTGAAAAAGAAGATCTTATAAGCAGTCACAATAGAACAATTATTGTATCTGGTGGTGTTGCATGTAATGATACCATATTTCAGTCTATTGAATTGATTGGTAAGAAAATGGGGTATAGAGTTTATAGGCCTCCATCTAGATTGTGTACAGATAATGGAGTAATGATAGCATGGAATGGGATAGAGAAATTTAGAAAACAAATTGATATATTTTCAGATATTGATCTTAGTGATGTAACTCCTATTGCACCTTTAGGTAAAAGCTTAGTAAATGAAGTGAAGGCTGCTCAGATACCAGTGAGGGTAACAAGATTAAAAAAACATGGATTTACATGAAAAAACATTGTACATTTCTTTAATACTGCTTATGAATTTGCTTTCTGAACACTCTGACATCTATTTATGTAAGAGAAAGAATCAGTAATTGTTTAAATATTCTAAGAAATTATTATAATAAGAAAAAATAATATAAACAGTTTCCAGATTTTACATAGTTTTAATTAATTAAATCTATTACATATAGATTACTCTTGATGATCATGCATGTTCACAAGAAGTTTCTCCTTTATTTAGGTGTAGTAGTCTGTAAATCTGAAAAAAAAAACTTGTTTAATGAATTTATTCAAAAATAATGAATAAGTTAGTAATGGCAATCGACACACAACATGGATGTAGAATATTATATTTTCAATCCTTATTTTATTATGAAACATTTTTCAAATATTTTTGTTGTAAATTTAGTTATGCAACTATAGTTAGATAGTAACTAAAAGCTTTTTAATGTTTATTATTAGGAGTTTCATAGGCATTCCCCAAATCATCATCTGCTGCATCTTCTAGCTAGAGGTATTTATTACTTTTTAAGTATATATTATGCTTGTTAAAATCCAAAAACACTAATATTAGTACTGCAAAATATAACATATTGCATATGTAGTATGTAACATTTTGCATAAACATTTATCTTCCCCATCAGTAATATAAAAATTAATTGTGGATATTTTTGAATTTGTTTACTTTATGTGTTATTATATATTATATATATATATATATACTTTGCCTTCATAAATTAAGGAAACTATGATTTAAAAATGGCAAAGATATTTTCAATATTACATCTATTGTTTATTTGTTAGAAACCATGCACTTGCTCACATAAAGTGACCAGACAATTGCACATAAAAATAACTATAGCTACCAATAAGATGTTAGTACTTGGCCGGTTTCTGAATAGATAATGAGAAGTTAATTTTGCAAGAATTATACCCTGTTTACAGAGAGATGAAACTTTATTGTGTAATATATAGGAAGTATGCCTGTTTATGGTAAGATGGCATGTATTAGCCCACTACAGAGTAGGTGTAATATACATGCAACCACATATAAAAAAAGCAGAAGAATCGCATCAAACTCAAACAATATATACATAGATCTGCATCTCTGTAAACAAGGCACTTTAAATGCCATATTTTTTCTAAAATACTAATCAAGCTGTACCCAAATATCATTTATGTGTATAAAAATGAACGTATCATGTTTATGGTATGATAAATACCATACATTTGAATTATCTAAACTATGTTATACATTATCAAATATGTATGATCATATCTAAATTATTATGCTAGAAAAGCATAATAGTAGTAAAATATTTATAATATATAAATATACTTTTAGAATCATCTAGTTATATCACTGTTTTACACTTGTAATTATGATCATATATATTTGATAGTATAATTACCCCTATTTTAAATCAGTAACCGGCCTGTTCTTACTTTTTTGTAACCTAACTTACTATATAATTTATTCCTTTTCATCTGAAAAAAAATTACAATAAGATTAATGAAGAATAATAACTATTAATATAGTTCAAAAACAAACCACATTCCAAATTTATATCTAAAATTAATTCTAGATAATAGAAATTCAGAATCAACACCATTAGGTATGTCAACAAATTCATTATATTGATATATTCAATAGAATGATGCTCAATAAAATTCATGAACACCATCCACCTTGTCACATTTTATCACAATTATCCCAATTAATCTACAATCATAGAAATACATATAATTCATACTAAAGCCTAAAAGAATTTTGTAAACTCATACATTTTTATATATTTATCTATAACTATAGGCATATTATTGGGGGAACCTCTGAATTTTTAGTGACCTCAAATATGAGTGGAGCTTTTAAGTAGTACAAAGACATATCTGAGAATACATAATGTGAGTTTTTAAAAGCCAGGAAAATAATTTCAAATAGACCAATGTCTATAACTTGTGCTCACATTATTTAGGATAAAAGATGTCTTTGTTAAAATAGATATGATTTATGGTAATCCACATTTGATTTTAATCCATTCAGCTGCTTTAACTTAATAAATATATAGACATGTTTTATATAATTAGTACTTCAGGGTATAATGAAATTTGGTTTTAGCCCGTGTAAGTGGGTGGTTTTGTAATGCATTTCAGTAAGTATCGTAATAGATTTGTTATAATCATCATAACAAACCATAAATATGTCTCTCCTATGGCTTATTTCAATGATTTCTTCTGTAAATTTTACATGGAGCTGTTACTTACTAGCTGGTCTGCCATTTGCCCACGGAGTTATACGGACGTGCGATTCATCTCTTCGTAGGGCTTCTGTACGTATTTGCGGTTTTAGTGATTTACGCAAAACCTTTGCGGCGATATTGGAGTAGTTTATGTAACTAGAAGAAAATAACCCTTTACATTATCTGATGTTAGGGAAAAATATTCATATAATCTAAGCACTTACTTGAGTCCAGCTTGTCTCCAGGCACTCATTTTGTATATTGAATCAGAATTATATTAAGTGAAAAAGAGTATTCTAAGGAAACAAGTAGCGAATCTGAAATTAAATTTAGAATGAATTACGATCTTGAATGTGACTATGACGTAACAACTGATAATTTGACATTTTGACCAAGAAAGTTTAATGCACAAACTTGAACTTTATGTGCAAACGTTAGAGTTTATTTTAATAAAAATTACAAGTTACTTACTGTATTCTTGGATGAGATAACATGTGCTCGTAGTATCTCTTTCACACAGATTGCCAGTGTACGAAAAAATAATTGCCACAGTAAATACTACAACAAGAATTGCCTAAAATATATACTATGTTTAAGATATTTATTTTCTTAAAGAAATACTATTCATTTACACGGGAAAATATTTTTTTTTTTACAAATATTCGTATATTACAAGTTATGGTAGAATATAAGTTAAACACTATGTTGCAAAGGGTACTAATATAAATAAAACAAACATACACAAATTGTAAATAAATAATAAAAAAAATAAAATGAATAATTATTAATAGTATATTTAATTATAGTTTTATAGTATTGAAATGAAACCAAACAATTTATTTAATTACATAAGAGGAAGATCAGCTTCAGTGTCAGAAACCCCAAAAAACTAGAAATGTCAACCTGGAACCAAAACAAGGAAAAATCTAGAACTAAATATAAACAAACATCTGAAAACCGCACCCCAAGCCGGCTAGTCACCGTGGGGGAAGACGACTACTACCCTCCAAGTATTCCACCTAAAACACCATTACACAACAAAAAAAATCCGAAAAAAGATAATATAACCATATACATTGCAACATATAATACCCTCTCATTACGCACCAATGAAAGCTTAGTGGAATTGATGTTAGCATTGGAAAAAATAAACTGGACAATAGTAGGAATGAGTGAAGTTAGACGATTGGGCGAAAGTATAGAGGACCACAAACAGTTTGTATTTTATTATAATGGAGACACACCAGGACAGTATGGAGTAGGATTTTTGATAAGTAAAGAACTAAAGGGATATATAGATGAATTCATTGGTATATCAGAACGTATTGCAATACTAAATTTAACTTTACCACACACCAATATGAAGTGGTCAATTATACAAGTTTACTCGCCAACAGAGCAATACAACAGTACAGAAATAGACTCCTTCTACTCCTTGCTTTCAAATGCAATACACAAATATACATATAAAAATTTAATCGTGATGGGAGATTTTAATGCCAGAATCGGAAATAGAAAAGGTGGGGAAGAACTGATATTGGGTCCTTATTGTTCAGGAAAACGAACTAGAAACGGCGAAAAACTAGTTGAACTGGCATATGAGAACAACTTAAAAATACTTAACAGTCTGTACAAAAACAGAGTAAATAATAGGTGGACATGGATATCCCCTGATGGTCGCTATAAAAACGAGATCGATTATATACTAACCAATAGGAGTAAAGACTTTGAGGACTGTAGGACCATAAAAACTCTTAACTTTAATAGTAATCACAGAATGGTAAGAGCAAAATTAAACCTAAAAATTAAGAAAGATAACAGACCCTTTAAAATTAAACAATCAAATCAAGTGGAATCAGTGAATCCAAAAGACTTAAACAATAGGTTAATAGATTTTATAGAAAACACAAAACAATTAAATACTCAGGACAGATACGATAAACTACAAGAAATCCTGAACAAAAGTATTGTAAATCGAAAAAATGATAAAATCCTTAAAATAAAATGGCTAACAGCTAAAACAAGAGAAATGATACAAACTAGAGCTAAATTACTAACTACAACTAATAAAACAAAAAAAGTCAGAAATGACATAACTGAGATTAGTAAAAAAATTAAGTTAAATATGAGGAAAGACCGACAAAATCACAGATTAAAGACAATGGAGGAATGCATTCAGAAGACTGGGGGCACAAAAAGAGCCACAAAACAATTGTTAGAAAAAAGGGATTGGATACCAAATATAGAAGGTGATAACTGTAAATCCGCAACCAAAAGATCAGATATACTTACAATAGCTACAAATTTTTTTCAAAACTTATATTCTACTAAGAGCTCTATTATGCAAACAGACTTGACAAAGCAAAAGGATGTTCCAGAGGTCTTGCTCATAGAAGTCGAAACAGTTATGAAATCTCTAAAGAAGGATAAAGCTCCAGGTCCTGACAATATCAGTAATGAATTTCTTATTAACAATAAAGATACTCTTACACCAATATTTACACATATGTTTAACGACATATTAAGAAGTGAGTCAATACCAACACAATGGACTATATCCACCATTATATTGTTGCACAAGAAAGGGGACAAAAGTAATATGAATAATTATAGACCCATAAGCCTTATGTCGAACATATATAAAATCTTTATTAAAGTTATTTTAAACCGCATAACCAAACTATTAGACGATAACCAACCAAGGGAGCAAGCAGGTTTCAGGAGTGGATATTCAACTTTAGACCATATCCATGTTGTCAAGCAACTTTTCGAACAAAGTAAAGAATACAATATCACCTTTTACTGCTGCTTTGTAGACTATAGTAAGGCTTTCGACACCCTCGAACATGAGGCAATTTGGTATGCACTTAAAAATCAGGGTATTGATATTAAATACATCAGAATATTGAAGAACATATATGGAAACAGTAAAGCAAAAGTAAAGCTAGAAAAAGAAGGAAAGGAATTCAAAATAGAAAGGGGAGTAAGGCAGGGTGACCCCATATCACCTAAACTTTTCACTGCAGTATTAGTAGAGATCTTTCGTCAACTAAATTGGGATGAGTATGGACTATTAATGAACGGGGAATACCTGTCACATCTGAGATTCGCCGACGATTTAATTTTATTTTCCCCAACAAGAGACAATCTACAAGTAATGCTTAATGAATTAGATAAAGAAAGCCGAAAAGTAGGTTTGGTTATGAACAAAGAAAAAACAAAAATTATGACAAATGGGAAAAAAGGGGAAACTATCTGCATCAACAACAAAAAAATTGAATATGTAGATGAGTATGTATATTTGGGTCAAATAATTTCACCAACAGACTTAACTACAAAGGAGATTGAAAAACGTATAGGAAATGCCTGGAAACGATTTTGGAGTCTAAAGGAAATACTTAAAAGCAACATGACAAACACAGCCTTAAAAGGTACACTATTTGAAACCTGTATTTTACCAGTTCTTACATATGGTTGCCAAACCTGGGCTCTTACCAAATCCCACTTTAAAAAACTACAAAATTGCCAGAATGCCATGGAAAGAAGTATGATGGGGATAAGATTATCAGACAGAATTAAAACTAGCACAATTAAAAAACACATAAAAACTAAAGATGTTACAGTCATAGTTAAAAAACTTAAATGGAAATGGGCAGGGCATACAATTAGAGGGAGAGATAAATGGAGTAAAAAGATAATGTTTTGGTACACGAAAGACAAAAAAAGGAGAAGAGGAAGACCACATAGAAGATGGGTAGATGACATTAGGGCTGAAGCAGGGGGTATTTGGACAAGAATTGCTAGCAATAGAGACCATTGGAGACAGTTGGAGGAGGCCTTTGCTAATAAGCAAACAGACAACAGCAATTAAATAATAAGTTGTTAAAATGTTGTTTTTTAAAAAAAAAAATGTCTGAATAAAGGCTTATATTATTATTATTTTTTAAATTTCACTAAAATTCTCATCTCCCCTCTTAAGGAGAGGAGATGGCAACTAACCCCCGGCAGAAGCACAGTCGGCCGGGGTTCAGGGCCCCAGGGAGAGAAACCGGCGTACAATGCGGGCAGAATCTAAGAGCACCGCTTTCTGCATCTTTCCCGGGAGTGAGCCGCCTCGGAATACCAACCGTCTGAGATGTTGTTCCAGACTGGTTGGGATAAGACCGTTCACCGACATAACGATTGGGATGATTTCGGTAGATGTCACCCCCCACATTTCGGTCACCTCGTGAGCCAGGTCGAGATATTTTCTCTTCTTCTCGGTTTCGGCTTTCACGAGGTTCTCGTCATGCGGTATGGTGACATCCACCAAAAACACCCTCGAGAGTGCCCGATCCATCACCACGATATCAGGTTTGTTCGCAAGAACGGTCCTGTCCGTGATGATGGATCGGTCCCAGTAGAGCCTTACGCTGTCGCTTTCGAGGACCGGCATTATTATTATTATTATTATTAGTATTGAAATAATTTGTTCAGTGTGTGTGTTAATATGTGTGTATATGTTAAAAGCGATACTAATTACTCATTATTGTTATTTTACTACTACCTATGTATAAAACTTAAACGAAATAAAAAAAAATCTCCGCTGTCATCTGTCACATGTTGTCAATTCACATAATTTACAGCATTGCTAGAATGGGTATTTTTTCGCAATTTTTGGTAAAAAAATTTAAGTGAGCCAAATTTTGGGAAAATTTTTAGAGAAAAGTGACTTGAAGAAAATTGGTAATTTTTTCGAAATTTAGTGTAATAATTTTGGTACTTATAAACTGTAAATATGTATATAAGATATATAATTATAACAGAATATATGACCGAAAATATATAACAGAGGACGGAATAAAAAGAGTATGAAAAGTCAAAATAAAATACAAAATAACCTTTTCTTTGTAGTTAATCTTGTGACATATGACAAAACGTATTTATAAACAATATAACTTTGTAACAAGGTAAAAACCCTAGAAATTCCATCGATTTAGAGAAAAAAAATATTACACGTTTGGTAAAAATCTAAATTCGCATCTGTAAACCCTGAAGATCTGTCTAGTGTCTTCAGTCAGTACCTACCTATCTTCTGTATACTTATTAATCCATCCATTACCATTCATCGTTTTTGTTCTTTATTGGATTCACTTCTTGAGAATGTTTTGTCATTGTTGTATTCTCTTATCTTAAATTATAATTTTCTCTTTAAAAATTAAGTTCTTGTTTTTGCAAGCAAATTAGTGGTGGCCATAGTCTCTTTGATCTGTAGTGGTACCGTGAATAATTTTTTAGTCCAAACAACACGTTTTTCGGTCTGTTATAATAATATTTTTATAATGATTTTATTGTGACTTTTAATAAATTTTTTATCGTCACTAGAATTTTGCTCTATCAATGTATTTAAACTTACATTTTTTATTTTTACCTTTTTATTACGACGCAAAAATAACAAATGAAAATTTCGAATTTATTTTTTCCAAAGAACATGACTTTGAATAAGAAAATACTACTGTTTTTCTTGAATATAATTAATTTTATTTCTCAATAATATTAGCCAAATAGTTCTTACAAAATTATATATAATATGATTTCAAAATTCAGTACGTGTGTATTTAATTTATATAGTAAGTAGGTATTTAATTTATAATTTTGTTTCAGATTATATGTCTGTTAGAAAGCGGTGACATATAAAATGATTGACCTAAGGGTTTTGAAGAGGTCTACTCTTGTACATTTATGTTTTGCAATATCATATTTCACATCTGGTATCATATTAAGTTTTATCCAGGCCATTTTATACTTTGGTCTGAAGCCGTTTAATAAAATACTATACAGGAAAATAAATTACTATCTTTCATACTCATTTTATTGTCGTAAGTATAATAATGCTTGTTTTTGCTTTGCTTTTTAAGTTACAAGAATATTTTTTTATGCATCAAGAAGTAGCAATCAAGCTTTTTTCTCAATGGATGATAATGGAATGGTAACCCCGCCTAACAGTATACACTGATGGAACACCAGTAAGGGATGATAGGTGAGATGAAAGAGCAGGTCACTTAGCCCATCGTGGTGAATAAAGATGATAGTTTGTATAAATACATAAAATGTGGGAAAAAATTAAATCATCCTAAAACACTTTGTACCCAAAATGTTGAAAATCACAGACATTCCTTATAACCATTTATCCTTGAATGTGTGAAACCATGGGCTAAGTAAACAAAGTTAGTAACTTTATATATTTAGGCACAATATTTTCTTACCCCTTGTTCCAAATTTTTGCAGTTGACATTATTATTATGCCTTATTATTTATGGTTTTTAGTGGCACTAAAAATTCTTAAATTCTTACAGAATTAGTATTTATGTCAGAATGGTGGTCTGGGACAACAATGTCTATATACATAAAGAAAGATGAATATGATAAATTCTATGGAAAAGAACATGGTTATCTTATCATGAATCATAGTTTTGAAATAGACTGGCTTATGGGTTGGCAGTTCTGTGATGGCATCCAAGTTCTGGGGGTGAGTATTAAATTGTATTTATTTAAATGTGGTTTTTGATAAATATTTATTCAGCATAGGTAAACACTACCATATCCCATACTTCAAACCAAAGCAACCATTCAAGTAAAACTGGTTGACAGTACATACAGTTTCATTAAACACCTATGATAAATAAATACTAATGTAAAAGCAGTGTAAATGCTAGTAAAATATATTTCCATGTTTGTTGTAATTTGATATGTATATCATTTTGAGAATGTGTATTATGTATTGTATTGTGAAATCTTTATTGTACATAATTTATATTGGACACAATGCAAAAATTAAACCTTTCCCGAAGGTAATGTAAATATGTTGGATTAAAAAGGATATTGAAAAGAAGAGTAGGAATGTGGACATTACTCCATAGGCTGATTGGAAGCCACTTGAGTTGACTGCCATAACCAGATATGTGGTCGAGCTTTCGAAGGTTATAGATGTATCTAATACATTGGTTTAGCAGTCACTTAAGCTGATCAACAAGTTCCTGTGTGGGATCTATGTAGGCAACATCAGCATAGCCTAGGATAGAAAGAAAAAGAGATTGAGCCAGTAATAGTTTAATTCCGAAAGGAAGGAAGTTCTGCAGGTGCCTTAAGGAGTGTAACAATGCATGGATTTTTCGACTTACTTCATTTATGATCCCATGAAAGTATCTGAATAATGACAATTTCCAAACTTTTAAAAGTAGTGGAATATGAGATTATTTTTCCGTCATAAATAATGTTGGGAACTGCTAAATCCCGAAGTTTAATAATAAAATTAAATCTACCTATAATGACTGCTTGAGATTTAGCTGTGTTAACTAAAAGCCCAAAATCTTTCGTCCATGTAGCAAAAACGTTCAAATCATTATTAATTATATCTACAGCATTAGTTAGGTTGAAATTGCTGTTGCAGTATATAATTGTAAGTCATCTGCATATAAATGATACGAAGGGATGAGAGCGGACGTAATTCCATTAATGAAAATTGAGAACAGTATAGGCGAAAAAACCCCACCCTGAGAGACACCTGCATTAATCCCACACCAGTCAGAACAACAGTCATCAACACACCACACACACACAACACATACCAATTGGCGCCGACCAGAAAAATATGATCGGAACCAGGCCAGAGCCAATGATGAGAAATTAAATTTGGAAAGAATACCGAGAAGTACATCAAAGTCCACAATATTAAAAGCGTTATTACTTTCCGTATTATTATTATTTACTTCCACAGTATTAATTATGTATGTTTATCATTTTAATTATCATATAAACAATTGGTCAAATGTGACTATTGACCTCATAGACTGAGTGTTTTGTACTATAAAAAGTGAAGTTAGATTGTGTTTAAATATAGCATGTCAATTATTGAATTACATTAGTTTCTCAAATTGTATATAATTAAGAAGCAAAAATTATTAGTCATTAATAAAAATTTCGATTTTAAATTTCAGGCACAAGTAGAAGGTAAATTTTGGTAACAGTTTTGAGTTTAACTTGGAAAGTATACATTTAAAGTGCTTTATTAAGGTGCATTTTAATAATTTACAAAGATTGCTGAAATTTAATATAAATTATTTTTATAGATAGGTATATAAGTGTCCTTATGTATGTTTGATGGTCAAAAAACATGGCAAATTTCAACAATTTTATGTCAATCCGAATTATAAAATGACTGACAGACAGACATTGAATGATGTTGTAAAGGTATTTTATGTTGTTTGTTGGTTTGAGAAAATACGATTTCGTTATCATTTTGATGGTAAGATAACGCAGGTGTCACAATATCGATGATACAGGTATCGGTCATTGTCTGTAAATCGTATTAGGCTATTACATAGATAATAATAGTAAGCGATAAGTTTGAAGAACATAAAATGGATTTAATTAAAAGTTATCTATTGTATGTTCTAAAAATAGATATTATGTCGCCTTTTACCTAGAAATTAGATTAAAACAAGTAAACTTTGATTTTATTGTTACTATACTATTTAATTACTGATTTACAGAATAGTAAAAGTATAAAAATGTAAAAATTGGTTAAATTCGAGTTCTCATCTTTCCACTTTGTTGGAGTTTTAATGCATCGTTCTAAAAAACTTCAGTGTCAGTAGCCAGTATTAAAACTCCAACACGCCCTCTTAATCCTGGATTGACCAGCAGTTGTTTGACAGCTGATTGATTGCCGCGATATTATACTATAGCGATAGTATGCCCTGTCAGCTCAGAGAGTAAGCCACAGACGTACACTGCTTCTCTTACCGCTTCCAATATTACTATATACTCCACCTCAGTAAACGAAGCCTTTTTCACCAGTAGCCATAGTTGCTAAAAAATCACGCGATATGAAATTATTCATCAGATCATATCGTCCAGTCACATGATTTGTGGCTCCCAAGTCAACGAACTTTCTGTGTCTGCACTAGCAGTGTATGTCGACAAAACAGTTTCTAGAAAAACTCTTTTTGCTACGACAATCTCTTTTCAGGTGCCCTTTCTGTCTATACTTCTAGCACCATGGTTCTTTCTTACGGCAAGAAGTCTGCTTCGTATTCTTTAACTCATCTCTGTCTCCATCCACGTTACTCGTTCTCTGTACTCGAAGCTGAAGTGCTCTTCTTGCAAGAAAACAAGCACGCTTATCTTGTAATAATTAAGTCTTCACTAAACCAACTGATATTACAACTTCCGAGTGCTCACGTACCATTATCATGGATTCGTACTCCGATGGTAAACCTTGCAGCATAATTACCCCAAGAAACTCATCAAAAGGGTTATTCATGCTTGCTAATTGTAGAGCATACAACAAAACTTGATCGACGCACGCCTCCATACCAACAAAGTCCAGTTTGATTGAACAAAGACTACGTAACGTCTTCAATTTCATACCAAGATGTTTATTATCATAGGCACCTTCCAGAGCATTACAAGCTTGTTTTGCAGTTTTAGCTCCCATCAGATAAGAAAAATAATATTTTTCAACGCAAATCGATAATATATCCTTGTCGTCCAGCCGTTTTCTTATTTCAGGTTATAAGCTATCATCTGCACTATATCCACAAATACATTTTCATGGATTTTAAAAAAATAAAAGCATTCTGCATAGCAAATTTCAAATCTACATAGTTCACCCGTCTTTTAAGTTTTTCAAAGGAGATCGGCGAATTACTCTTGTTAGATATCATGAAAATTTTCTACCTACAAAGCTGGCCCATAACCTGTTGTAAATAGCAGGATGCAGTAATAAAGTATATATGTATTTGTAATATAAAATATTAAAGTTTAGTCAAAAATACAAGACATATTTTATTGCTATTAACAACACACTTTCCCGTATTTTAAAGTTTTTATAACTAGTTAATGTAATATGAACAAGCAAGATATTAGTGAAATAGGATTATCAATAACACTCTAAAGTTAACAAATCAAGACTAGAAGCTAAATAGCCGTAATAGTGATTTTTAAACTTCAAACTAGATCCTTGTAATTGAAATTGTTTGCCATGGCAGGGACTCTTACTGAATGAATGAAAATTTGAGAAAATACGCAACCTTATCAAATATTCCTAGAATCTAGAGACTAAGTATAATTTAAGGGTGTTGGACGCAACTATAAAGTAATATGTGTGCTATTCGTAATTGGATCAAGAATTGACTAATATATTCATAAATATTGTTTTATTATAGAATTGCAAGGCATATGCGAAAAAATCTATCCAATACTTACCTCCTATCGGTTGGATGTGGAAGTTTTCCGAATTTGTTTTCCTTGAAAGGTCGTTTGAAAAAGATAAGGAAATTATAAAACATCAGATATCAGAAATTTGCGATTATCCAGATCCAGTATGGGTAAGTTTTTTTTTTTGTTGTATACCATGAAGTTAGCAAACAAGCATACACGGACGCCTGTCTTATGCTTAAGGATGTTACGTTGCCGTGCGATGCTGTGCCGATGTGCGCGTTACCGACCCTGAGGAACCCTTAATACATTCATTTAGAAAAACCCCACATTGTAGTCTAGAGAAAACAGAAAATAAAAAAAAAGTAGTGAAGTAATTAAAGACTAGTTTTGAATTACTTTTTACGTATTTTTTTTTTACAGATTTAAATGTAAGAACTTTTATTTCGGTTTTGATGATTCTTTTTAACACTATTATTAATAATGACTTGGTGGTACTAGTAGAGTGCCGTATTAATAATATTCACAGCTGCACTATTTCCCTCACGATACGTGATGACTCGTAAGTCATAAGCGTCTATTACTCTTTATTACATTAACCGACGCGCGTCACAATTGATATCCGGGACTTATAATTGCCTTGTATATTATAATAACGAATGGAATGGGCATCGTTAGATAATTTAATTTAAAGGGCATTCACACAATTTTTGTTTTTAAGTAACTTCATGTGTACTGTTTCAAGTTAACTGTATATTATTATATACCTTTGCGAAAAATTTGCAAAATCTTAACTGAATTTGCCAAGTTTATTCACATATTAGACCTATATTAATTAGTCACAATTAAAGAGTATTTTTTAAATTATACTATAATGGATCTAAATAGTCCTAACCTATATATTTAATATTCAACTGCATTAGTATGTAGAACTGGTTATAAAATTTTTACTAATGATTTCGATTTGTATATTATAAAGTATTATCATCTTGCTGTAGTTGGTCCTTACACAATTGTCCTTTATGAATAATCACCGCTATAAAATAATATTAAAAACATTTTTTGTAATGAAAATGCGCGTTAAGGATTTTTAGGAGGACAGGTTTCGCATAACTCTGCAGTTTCCAACGACTGTTGGTAATTTCTTTCAAAGGAAAGAATAATGCTACAATTCAAATATTATTTTACAGCTATTATTAACTCCAGAAGGGACACGTTACACAAAGAAAAAACACGAAGCATCATTAAATTTCGCCAGAGAGAAGAACTTACCTTTACTTAAACATCATTTGACGCCCAGAACAAGAGGTTTCACTACAAGTTTACAGTTTTTCAGAGGAAAAATACCAGCCATTTACAATATACAGTTAGCATTCAGTGAAAGCAAGGTAAGATTGTTATTATTGTTATATGATATTAGCGGCCCGGTACGTGCTTCGCTACATATAAAGTGAAATAATAAAAAAAAACATGAAATTAATTTACTAAAAAAAAATTGCTAACTATTTTAATTATACTGTCAACACTGAAAAAAGTTTCAATTTGACAGCACAAGAAGACAAGGGGATCTTAAAAAAAGTTTGAATTTAACACAAAAATCCCAATTAACAAAATGATCCGCCATTTATTGATTTCATTTGTTACAAAAAATGTGATAAATGAAGAACCGCTTGATCGATTTTGTGCAAACTTCACATAAACCATCTACTAAATAGTCCGAACAAAGCCTAAACATTTGGTTTGGATAGGTGAGCCCGTTCTTGAGTTATAAAATTACAACGAAAAGTGGCATAAATTTTTTTATATATAGATAACTCAAGTTTGCAATCCCTTTAAGCTGTAAAGATCTATCTTCTATGTCAACTTTAGGGGTTTGATTTTTTCATATTTTATAGGGATTGCATATATTTTGACATTTGCGAGGGAATCAAAACCTATAGGGTTCTTTCTTTTGACCTAGAAACATGAAATTTGGCAAGAAGTAATGTCGTACAGTACAAGTAATGGGAAAAATCAGAAAACCGTAAATTTGTAGTTATACAACAAAATATTCTTTGTACGGAATACTCGGTACGCGAGTCCGTCTCGCATCATTTTTTTTACTTACGTGAAATGCAAAACAAGCTGACGCATATTAATAAAAAATGTCAAGTAAAAAATTATATTTTAAGTTACCACTTGTTCATACAAGACTGTGGGTACAAAAGAATATACTGTGACGCGTATAGTTCCCTAATATATTCAGAATAAACAGCAAATAACGTCTTCCTATCACAAATTAATTACGCTGTTATATATATAATTAAATTAATTATATATTATATATATAATTAAATATGTACTATCATATCTTCCATAATTAAATCTTTATTTATCTAAGTTATTGACCACTAAATTAATGGATCTTTAAAGGGTTATCATTCTTATAAGATTTCAATTCACAATTGAGGATAGTTCCCGGTTTAAGTTTCAGGTTTTACCACACTCCATCAGGTAGTCCTGATGGAGTGTGGTAAAACCTGAAACTTAAAAATATTAACAGTACCATGGTGTGTGAACATGACAGTATACCGTGGTTCTGTTGGTGTATTTCAGTATTATTAATGAAATAACTGCAAGTAATTGAATACGGTATTGAATATCTTATTATTGCTTGATATTGAACTCTTGTTAACGTTAGTAGTGAATTGTAAACTTTCGCATTGTTTACGTATATTAATGTTTCCATTAAGATAAGCTTACACGGTCAATTAAATCTGTTCAGTCCTGGAATAAGTTTCTTAATAACGATGTTATAATTCCATTCTCATAAGCCGCACCAACATATGGAGTTATTTATTTAATAAAAAATAATAATAAAAAAGCGAAGAATAACAGATTATATATAATATATTAGTGGCCCACTCCGGCTTCGCACGGGTGGACATTTTAACAATATTTTATATTTTTATCTGATCCTACCTAACTACCTATTTCATAGATGTGCCCCCCCCCCACCTGCCCCTCTCCCGCGCCGCTATAATGCCTGGCTAGCTAGCCACGCGGCCGACATGGCGCGGGCGGCTGACGGCGCCTTTTCTATGTATATCTGACTTTTTAACATATCTTTCAAATGGAATATACCTACGATTTGAAAAATTCAAATCTGGTATTGAAACAGTTTTGAATACATAATAATTTATTTGGATAAGGATTAATAAATAGCCATGAATAACATGTACAACGCGACAGCATTATTTTTTCTATTTCTATGACTTCCTAAATTCGTAATATCTATTTAATGGAGTAGCCGATTTAAACAGTTCAAAAAGTAATCTACATAAATTAAAACAGTTTTGAAAACAATATGATTTATTTGGATAAGGATTTAGTAGAAGTATGAATAACATGGTGTAATTTTGGTCGGTATTTCGATCAACTTTCCAAATGTAAAAAGTGGTTATTGTGACGTAACGATAGTAGTTGGACATATAGTATCGCGAAGTTTTTTGTAGTTAGTGATATTTTCTTCAATATTGTAAAACATACTTTTGTTCTATCACCAATAGTTTTCGCAGCGCACGCGACGAAAGATATAGTATTTTTTACACCTTGAGTTACGTTACTAAAGTTTTAGTAAAGATCTCTAATCTTTTCTAACAATACATATAGCCTATGTTACTCAGGGTGAATGTAGTTTTCTAATGATGAAAGAATTTTTGAAATCGGCAAAGTAGTTTTTGAGTTTATTCATTTCTTTTTATAATATTAGTATAGATGTAGATAGAACAAACAGATGTTGTTAAAAATTATACTTACTGTATATTGGGCAATTTATATCGTTAAGCGTTATGGAATATATGTAGGTAAATATGGAAGAATTCAAAGCAATATTGCAGAAACAATTACCGCATTTTAATTAAATGAATATTTTTTATTGGAATTGCCTGGTCATTATCGTTATTACCTGTTGGCAGGCTGTTATTTAATTATTGTTTTAAAATTGCCCTGTAATTTTAGATTCCGATTTAAGTATTAAAATGGTATCTTATAGGAAGTATTTATTAAATAAAAAGAAAAACCGTGTAGTCAATATAATTTTTAATTTATTTACAAATATATCTTAAATTTTCTATAGTGTTAAAAGTATAATACTGTCACAACTACACATCCGTTCAATCAAATCTAAATTACAATTTATATTAAATGTATTTGTGTAATTGTTACATTAATTGCAATTAAATAAAGTAGAATAAGAAGATAGATACAAAATAATAAACGCATAGTAATATAATTTTTTCTTTACATTTTATCGTTTTAACATTCGTATAATGTTAGTTATGATTGTGAAATAGTGAACTTTGACTGCGATGTATCGTAAGATCAACAGCCGGATACTAATAAATAAGCAAAGACTTATTTGCTTATATACAAATATTATGTGCACGCAGGAATTTATTTTTGACTAGTGACCCGCCCCGGCTTCGCGCGCGTACACATTACTTCACGTCACATTAGAAACCTCTAAATTTATCAGTGTTTCTCTTCAATATTATGCATGTATTATACATACAAACCTTCCTCTTGAATCACTTTATTTATTAAAAAAAAACCGCTGCAAAATCCGTTGCGTATTTTTAAATATTTAAGCATACATAGGGACGGACAGACAGCGACAGCGACTTTGTTTTATACTATGTAATGATGATAGTGATAATGATGAAGTAACGTCTTTCAATTTGTGAAAAAAGAGCTCGATAGATACAGATGGCTTTACACTCGAAACCGAACCTATGAAAAATATTCAACACAATGTAGTATTGTAGCGAATAAATAAATTGAATTGAATATGATTAAAGGTTTGGTTTCGAGTCTTGAGAAGCAATGAGTGGGGTGGATCACCATAGAAAATCATAAAGATTATTATAAATTTTTATGTCAATGATTCTATGAGTTAATCACTATTGGTAAATTTATTATCTTTCTTGCCTAAAGGTTATCTATATCATGCCTTTGTTCGATATCCTTTTTAGATAATTAACAAAAAGGAGGAATTAGTCTGTTTTTTAAATTATGTTACGCTATTACGTTGCCAATCTGAAACACATGATAATTTTTTTTACAAACGGTATATTTTGTTTTCTTGGTCTGGTTCCATATTAATTTTATGACAATTAGGCTATCGTTTTTGTTTATAAAGTGTTAATTACTTGTTGCGAAGCATAAATCATCTTATTTTAAAATACGATTCTGTTTTCTAAAGTATTTGAATAAATAAACGTACTTGTGTTTAGGTACCTGTGTATTTACCTACCTATGTGTATATGAAACGTCACACATACGAGTAAATGTGTTTTTACAATAAAGTCGCAGTTTTTTTTTTTGGGGCTATATATATTTATTAATACTATTTTTTTTTGTATATGTACTTTCAGCACATCAATGTTAATTTAATCATTTATTTGCCCCCATTATATTCATCAACGTATAAACAATAACAATAGGTACCTACTATATTCAATGCACCAGTCAATCGATTATGTCAAGATTATCATTCCGTTTATGTAAATTACCTTAAATTGGTTAAATTATGTTAGGTATTGTTAAAGACCCAATACTGTATTAACATCACAATATTATATTGGAACAATTAATGTCAATTCGATAAGCACAATAATGTTAACTAGTGGTCACCCAGTGGTCGAAATTCGACTATTGTATATATTATGATAAATTAATTTATTATGGTTATGTTTGACATTCAGTAAGACTATAGACAAATAATATTAAAAACACAATATAAATCTATTCTCAATTTAACTACAGACTTTAACAATGAACAAAAGAGTATATATATGTGTGTGCGTCAAATACATGGTAGTGTGTATATATTTTTTTTATTTATTTAATGTATTTTTTATGCATAATTAAAAAAAAATTAGCATTCTGCACTCTTTCTCTATATAACTATAATTTCATACTCCTCCATCCGTGCAATCTTTGTAAAAAGGTTACAAAATTTTTGCTTCATGTATTAATATATAGATATATCGAGTTGATTAATTTTTCGTCAAATACTCATTTAATTTTTTTAACATCTACTACACCTAATTTCCAGTTGCAGTGTTGGTCTAATTTAAGTCCTACAAATTTTATGTATTGTCCCTGTATATCTATATTCCATTTTTTACTTTTATTTATATAATTTAAAAATTGCATGTATTTGGTTTTATCTGTATTGAGAATCGCTTTAATTGTCAAATTTACTTTAATGTCATAATTAATATTCTTGTCAGTGTCAGGTATTACAATCAATATATCATCTGAAAATAAGAAGTACTGGTGTTTAATTATATCATTATAATGCCATTTATATGAAGCATTAATAACAAGGGTCCGAAAACACTGCCTTGTGCTACTCCGTATCTAATACGTTGATAGGAAGATCGATATGATACCAGTTCAAATTTATGGTTTACAAGAAGTGCCTCCCTACCCAAGCAAAACCTTTTTTATCCACACGGCCGAATTCAAGTGGACAAATCAGTGAGGCCACGTGTTCTTACAGTTTTATTTCTTTTTATTTAAGTATCATCATAATAAATACTTATAAAATCAATTAAAATATTTATTAATGTTTAATATACACTATAAGAATTATTTACTGCAGAATTTGGTATAATAACATTAATTTTATTTGTTTATATTTTACACTTTATTGTAAACAAAAATTACATTGTTATAATTTATTTTGAATGATGTACAACCGGCGAGCTTAACTCTGTTAACTTAACTTCTATCTGTTCTCCTTTAACCAAAGGTTGTCTGTAAGAGATTGCCCTAGCGATAAGACCGGCTTTTGTATCTTTATGTATATATTATAATCTGTACTTTATGCTACTGTATTACACCTAATTTTTTTTTTTATAAATTATTTATTTTTGTTTCTGGTGCAATAAAGAGTTAAGTAAATAAGAGTTCTCTTCCAGCAAAACCCAATTTTAATAATTTATTACTTTTAAAGTCGTCAGTCTGGTCTTTATATATAAGGGTAGATTGGCACAATACGTTTAAGAAAACTAACATTATTAAAAGAAATATCTATCACGCGCAATTTCTATTACTTAGGTACGAAATACTTAGGTATTTATTCTGTTGCCTTATTAATACATGACAGTAATAAATTATCGTACGTGGTAGTATATATCAGAAACGTAAAATTGAAATTATATCTAGTAAAAACTAAAAATTGTCGCGTTTACACAAATACGCAAGTATGAAAATACTTGTTGACCATGAAAATAATTCCGGAAATACTTACCTACTGAACAGTATATAATAACAAAAAATGATTGTGCGTAAAAAAATATGAATGTTCGTTTTCTACGTATACTCAATTGTGGCTGTTAAACGTATCGTGTCTCATTAGACCTTGTCCTAGAAAAAACTAGGTATCTACTAGGATTTTGTTTTTATATTTTTATCCAGATCGGTAATATATTCCAGTAGATTAATTTACAATTTAAATGCATGCAGACCAATTCACCGACAAAATTTAAGAAGGTACCAATTAATGTTATCAAACAGTTATAGCACTGATAAATACCACGACTGCTGTAAGTCTAGAATATCGATAGCTAATAAGGTATTAATGATCAGTGATTACGAAAGCATTAAATGTTGCATAGGAATTCTTTATTGGTATGTAACTAGGTAAATTAATATATATAGGTGTATGTGCACTAAAACAAGATTGATGAAAATTAATCCATAAGTAACTTAAATGGTTATTCCAACGAGAAATCTCAACAGGCAAATGACTGATAAAGTATACGTTATTTTAATACCAATCCACATGTTCAATGCCGCGAGATATAGTCAGTTACGAAATATAAGATATTTAATCGTACGGCCACTTTTCTAACACATATTGTACCTAATCGAACTTATAGAAATAATTATTCACCTACAACAAATCCAACTTGATGCCAAAACTGCGTATTTAATTTTAATGAATGTTCATAAATTGATTTGTTTTCGTAGTCCAAGTGACCTATACTGCATCTTATTCAAATAAAATTTATACTGTTTTTTTTTTTACTTTTTAGTTAATTTTTAAGATAATCTGGGAGTTTTTATTATTAATTACATTTTTTTGCGACATATAGTTTTTAAAATGTTTCATTCTTTAAAATTACGCACCTAGTTTTCGTATTATTATTCGCTTTAGAATTTCCGTGACATATTCTTATAATATTTATATTTTGTTAATGATATTTATAGTTGTGTATAAATTTATAACTTGTATTGAAAGGGCTCTATAAAAAGAGCGACCATTCTGTAACTAGTTATTGGGTGAATGTACGGTTCACCGTTGCCGTTTTATTGCAAATAGCAATGAATGGAGCAATTGTGCCGCTTCCTACTTCTGCACGAAGTTGCTTGTAGCGGAAATTTGTTGCTAAATTAATATTATTTATTAATATCTAGTATAGATACGAATGAATTCAACATATTTTGTTAAAAAATTACTTTGTAATAATCTCAGATGTCTATCTAAATTATAAATAAGGTGATAATTATTCTAAAAAAATAATTCAACGTTGTCATATTGCGATCACTACAATCAATGATTTCTTTATCGTAATAGAATAATAATAATCAATAATAGTAATCATGTGGGCCGTCAGCTTGTTTGTCATTCTAAGTTGCATAAAAAAATCGAAGGAAAGAAAAACTATAAGACTTAACTACCTACTTGACACGAGGTTACGATTGCATGTGCCCTGAAACGTAATTAAACTACTATCAGCGTTAAAACAATAATAGAATAACCAACTTACCTAATCTAATAAAAGAAATTATATATTGCCAACGCGGTGAAAAACTGAAGTTTATTATAACTATCTATTTAGTCTTTAATTCCTTCTACACAAACGTTGTTTGGAAGAAATTGCTCAGCTATAAGACCGCCTTTTGTACTACATTATACTTATTGAAAATTCTTCAAAGTCCTTTAATATTGGTGCAATAAAGTATTTAATAAATAAATAACTACTAAATAATGGACTTATCAGTAATCGCTATTGTAATTTATTGTGTATCAACAATAACATTAAAATTAGTACTTATTTATAAACTGCGTTCATTTTATCTAAATATTATACTTTTACAAAGATAAAATTCGTGTCCATTAGGTATGTGTATTGTTGTTTTATTTACAATTATCAGGTTCGAGTATAATCTATATAATATATATAATCGGTCTAATGGGGAGAGAGGTATTGTTAGTATGCGGTGGGGTCCCATCAGCACTTGCTGCTAGCAATATATTCCTCTCATATCGACCGCAGTTCCTCTTGTAAACCTTCGTGATAAATTTTTAATGAAATCGCCACGATGGGCCAACTGACTTGCCGTTATCCTCCTTGTTTCATCCAACACTGTTGCCCCGCCATTGTTCCATTAGTAAAGGCGGGTGCACTATTCCATCTTTATCTATTAAAAAACAGCTCTATTGCTAACAGTGTACCCTTTCAGTTCGACCTCCACGCAGTTCCCTCTGGAATTTATCATAATTCATTTTGGTGAAATTTGTGATAACGGGCTAACTGTCATACTTTCAATCTCTCTTATTATATCTCTCTGCTGTCTTGCCAGCGTAAAATGCAGGCGGGATTACTATTCCGATTTAAAAAAAAAAAACCTGGTCTAATGTAGAGACAGACACCCAGGCTGAGCCTATCAGGATAAGTTTTGACGGCGTCCCTCCACCTCTTTTTTTCGCCTCTTTTAAACCTCCGCGCTCTCGGGTATTATAATATTCATTATGTCCTATGTTATGAGATTAATTAAATAGAATAATAATATTTGCTTGAACACTTGGTATTTATTATTATATTTTTAGATTCCTCCAACATTAACAAGTTTGCTATATGGAAAGCCAGTTCATGCGCATTTGTACATCGATCGGATACCGGTTGAGAAAGTGCCTGAGGATGAGGTCGAGGCAACCAAATGGATGCACGATCTTTTCGTCGTGAAGGTAAGAATTGTACTTCAAATAAAAGAGCACTGACTAATGTCCATACAATTTTAAATGTAGCCACTAAAACCATTATGGCAAATTGGAATAATTAAAATTTAATTGGGTATTATAAATATGATAATATAATTCTGATACTTTTTTCTTTGCGGTGATTAAAAATATTGAAGCAAGAGGATTTGAAGTTACGTCTCTGTCATTCATATCATTATATCAGTCGTTGACTATCCACTGCTGAGCATATGTCGCCCCCATAAAAGGGTTTTTAGCAGTAGTTACTACGCTTGGCAGGAGTGTAGGTGACCTCAGTTATACTTTTAGTTATGTTTGTGGTGTATAAGCGACTAAGGATGCTACTGCCTACCCTACCCTGTCTTTTATGACATCAATGTGAAAAGACGGGGTGGCCCATTTTATACCAGAACCACACGGCATCTTTGTCACGACGTAGATCAACAGATCAATAGATATTAAAATTTAAAAATTATCTAATAAGATAATTTTAAAAATTTAATATCTATACTTTACATTGTTTAGTAATTAATTAATAAAATGCTATCAATAAGACATGCGGATAATGATCGTGAAAATTAATTACATTCCAGATATGAAGTCTAAATATGGGTAGCAATTAGAAAATGTTCTTTTTATTAATACTTAAATAATTCTCTGTACTCTAAACTTTTGCTATTTATTTATATAAAAAAAAAAACATTATTAGTCATTCATAAGTCCACATATATAAATCTGTGTCATGAAAATTGACAAAAATGTGTAACTAAATAGGTATAATGAAAAATACTGTCAATTGTAAACGTTATGTGAATCTATCATTCCATTTCTCTTATTTGAAGTCTTCGTCCAGTTTGTTTTGGACCATTTGGATTCGATTTATTACTAAATATTTGGCAATCTTTAATTACTAAATAAAATATGAAAAATACATTCGAAAGCTCATTTAGTAAGACCCACTGCTTCAGGATGCAGGTTAAAATTTTACCTGCTTCCAATTATTTTTTTGATTCGCACCATGAATGCCAGAATATGTTTTATATTAGTTATATAATGAATGAAATTACTAATGTCACAAGGTCTAGGTTTGTTAATTGTTTTTACCATCAAAGAAAAATTCCTGAATATATTTTTTATTTTTTGAGTATGAAACAATAATCTCCAGTTTTGTAAGCTTGAGCAAAAGAATAGTCCATAACAACGAGTACTTAACAGTGTAATTGATTTTGATTCTGTATCTACGTCTTATATTACAGGATAAAATGCAAGATTCATTCATAAATACTGGGGACTTCTTCACACAATCGGGCGTCGAAAGAATAGAGCCGTTTAAAGCGTCACGTCGAATCTATTCGTTAATCAACACGCTTGGCTGGGCGGTAGTTACATTGACGCCCATGCTTTACTACCTTTTTGGCCTTCTGTTCAGCGGGAAGCTTTTGTACTTCTCTATTGCGTCCGCTGTTTTCGCTGCCTGTAAGTATATATCTTATTTTACTGATAGAAACTAGACGATGTCCATAAATAGATCTTTAAGACTAATTGATAGTGCTTTTTAAGATTCCTTGTCTTGAGACCAAAACAATATTTTTTAAGAATTTTGTTTGTCTGTCTGTTTGGTCCGGTTTCATGAAAAAACTACTACACCAAATTAAATGTGGTGTTCCCAAATAGCTAACTTGAAATGTAGTGTTTATTTTATCTTGATACAGTTGCTCGGAAATTGGCCACTTATTTCTCTAAAAGAGTCACCCTCTTTTAGATAACGTAATTTTTCATTAAAGTTTAAAACAGTGGGATACAATTTTTGTGAGAACTCATTACTAATAAAATATTATTACTTTTCAGTTTATATTCTTCTTCAAAAGTCTATTGGGATGTCAAAAATCAGCCAGGGATCGTCTTACGGGACTGAAAAGAAGTGAGATGCCCTGTCCCAGTATTCATAACTATACCATACAGAAAAATGTTTAGGCGTTTTATTAGTTATTTTGGTTTATATGTGTTACAAAATCTATCTAAATGCGTTTCTGATAGGTCGACAGAGAATAATTGTTTTCGTAGCTGATTTGAGATAGACGTGACTAAAATATTCGCAATAATTTAAATCGTAGCAAATAAGTATACTTGTTGATGGTATATAAATCAGTTGTTTTATAAATATTTTTATAAAAATCTAAAACGGAAATAATTCTGAATCGAATATCTGAAGAGATTTTAGCGTGTACCTACTATTAATGTAAATTTTGAGATTTTTTTAATGTTTAAACGACTAGGTATACCTAAGTATATAATTTTTGATGAAAGATGGACAAAATATATTATCTAAGCATTTATTAAAATATACCATTGACGGATTAATTTTATACTCAGTTTTCAACAGATTTTATATAGGAGGAGGTTCTAGTTCGACTATATTTTTTTGGTACGATATTATGATTGTTTTTAACTTAAAGATTTACTCTCATAGTGTTGGTCCCATAGCGTTGATTATCAAGATTGAAATATTTTTAACAAAATCTCAAATCATTCATATTATTGGCAATATATAATGATATTTGTCTGCCCTAATATATCCGTGTTTTTTTTTTCTTAGTAATAGTAAAAATGTAGTTTTATATTTTTAAATATCAAACATACGCATATTGTTTTTTAATAAACGAAGTAAATAGTTATGTATCGCAAACATCTTAGATATCATTTTTTAATTTAGTATCTTGACTAAACTTACAATACATTACAAATTTAATCATAAATAAGAATACTTATAGATTTTTAATGCTTTTCTAACATTAATATTGTTTTCAAAATAGATTTTAAAAATCATAAGATTTGAAAAATTATACATAAAATTAATTTAAAATTGAAATGGTTTATACTTAGAGTTCATCAGGTATTTGTGGGAAGTACAACTGTGATATTTGTTATTTTAACACCGATATTATTGTATTTTTATACACGTATTATTGCGTTGTAAGCATTTTAACAATTGTGTGTTTTGTCCCTTGTAATAAAAACAAGTGTAAAAGAAGTGAAACGTTACAAAATAATGCATCAGAAAAGTACCCATTTAGCTTAATACAGGGCAAAAAATTTACCCGCTAATCCATGTATTTGCGGCTTTTTAATTATTTAATCCTGTTTATATGTGAATCCACATACATAACTGTATCGTGATTTCCCACAAATGTTATTTTATAAATTAAAGTACAAATTAACAAATAAAAAAAAAACAGTACTTCTCACAATGTGGTTGTACTCTTGATATATTTAACCAGCAAAGTAACTGCACAAAATGTAACAAAGCACAATTATAAATAAATTATTAAGATTTTCTTCAGACAGAAGGCCGTTATCAATTAAATACAAATTGAGAAATACTGCCATATTATCTATTATATTGCATAACGTTTTTTTATTGCGTAGGTAATACAACTAATATTTTCTTAGGTAAGTATTTAGCCAGGGGGAGGTGCTATTCTGTGGATGTAAACAAATTTAATAGATATAACCAATTTTACACTGTTTTTAATAATCTTTTTTTCAATCAACAGAGTTTAACTCTGTGTTGGTCCCATACTAATTTAGTCCGCTTGAATTTTTTTATGGAAAAAGAACCTTTAGCTTCAGCTTCTACGATTATTGCCAATTTATTTGGTTTTATTCTTCTCTGAGGTATCGAGTCTTTTATATCTACATTCTTTATTGTTCTATAATGAACTTGTAGGTTAATTTTGTTGCGTTTTAAAAAGAAATGTAAACAGGATACAATCTATATTAAATAAAATTTGCAGGCAAATGAATCATGTAAAGATATCTATTATCATTATTACCGTATACCAAATATTGAAAAAAGTAACTAAACCAAAAACGGAAATCGTGATTTGTGTAGAAATCTGTACTTGTAGTATAAATAATCAAGGTGTAAAAACTAATATATTCTCATAAAATATTCATATTTGTATGTATATTAAATGTTTTAAAAATGTGTTGAACTACTATACTTGATGTAATGATTCAACATTTTTAGTTGCCGATTGAAAAATACACGTATAGGATTCTACTTGCCTATACATGTAGGGAACTACTATGGAAGACTATGATCTTAAAACCAGAATAATAACTGTTAGTACATACCTGTGTGGTACATACAATTTTATGAAGCAGGTATAAAACATTGGTATAAAATGATCAAAATTATTATTTTGTGATTTAGAAAATTTTAATAATATTTTGACTTGGCATTTGTTTGTCATTTAGTATATTTTGTATAAATTGTAATTATTGGATACTAAGGAATCGAAGAGATAAGATGTAAATTTCTTGGGTAGGTATAATTTTCGACTTTTATATTGGAATGTGTGCCAACATTTGTTGAGATTTTTATTATTTATATACTGTATGACTAATTTCCTTGTTACTAGTTGGTTGATGGATCAATTTCTAGAAATGAAAATAAATCCTTTTAAAATCAATTTTTCTTTTATTGAAAACTTTTATTATGATGGCTTTTAGGAAAAAGAATACTAATAACATTCTTTTACTAGTTTTAACTACTACTTTACTAGTGAAGCTGAATGTATTTCTTATGGAAACAGCCACAAAAAATATTAAGCCTCTCCATACTAACTTGACAATTGAATGCACTGTTTACTTAGTATGAAGTAGTAGAAACTTATTTTTATTAATCTTTCTTTTCGTAACAAAATTTCACAATAACATTTTTTAATGGGTGTAAATGACATAGTAATTGAGCCAGAGCTATCGGTATACACTGGTGGGTACCAATGATAGGTGAGGATGAAAAGGCAGGTCAGTTAGCTCATCGTGACGAATTCAACAATGAATTAGTTAGGATAGTTTCCAGGGGGAACCGCTTGGAGGTCGACTTGATAAGGTACATTGAAAGCAATGGGGACTAACCTCCCCATTACTAACAATCCTTTCCCCCCACAATAACATATTACTATGCTTATCTTTAATTTTGACTACATGCAGGTGTAAATAAAAAACCAAATTTTAACATAAATATATTCGCTTATAGTAAATAAAAATGTTTTACTAATTTTAAAATGTACTATACATTATATATGTATACATTTTAACATAAATAATATTAATAATAACTCTTTAATTTGGAATATCCATTTTACTCAGTCTTAGTATGAAATCAAGTAAATACATTTGAACTTTTACTTCTATTGGTTTATTTGTTACAAAGAATCCTGGCACTCCTGCCTTTTCCAATGTAACTTGCTGATCACTTACCTGAAAAAAAAATACTGTTATCATCAACGATCATAAACACTAATAAAATCTAATTCAATATTTATTCAAGCCTTTTCCCTTCAACCACAAAAAATAATAAATGTTATATTTAGTTTTCCAGCAATCTGTTGTATTTCGTTTAGTATTATTTGTTGTCATCATCAGCATTAGTCATTATCTGTTTATTGCTAAACATAGGTCTCCCCCATAGACTGTCACAAGAAACAGTCCCGAATCATCTGCATTTACCGACTCCCTACAATACTTTTGAAATCAACACTCCATCCATATGGATTCTCCTAATGAGTGCTACAAATTGGCAACTTATTTAATATATTTTTTTTTTCTTTTTCAATTATAATTGTTTAAAAATTTTATTAACTTATATTTTATTATCATGTTAATAATATACAAAATAGTAAAAACATACAAAGACCTGTGCAGAGGTAAAATAAAAGTATTTTTATTTTACTTCTGTCGAAAAAATCCTATAGTGATAGTATATGCATGAAAATATATTTGGATAAGTAAGGGATGGTTAAAAGGTTAAAATTAAAGGTTTTCAAGTAGATTATATTTTTTATATCTTATGTGAATTCTTAGCCGATTCTAATAATTCTTTTAAAAAACTTTAGTTTTACCTTTACAATTTCATATTAGAGCAGAAAGCATAGCATTGCAAGCAGACATTAATTAGTGAAGGTTATGCTATGACGAAATTTTTGAATTTTATATGGATATTGTTTACAGATCTTTGCGCTAGTAAATGTTTTAAGTAGTTTTTTCACATACAGACATCTTGAATTATGGTTTTCTTTCACACACTGTGACACTATAATAATAGAATTTATTTCCTTCATTTATTGCCAGTTGTTGAGTAATTAGACCAAAAATTAAGTAATAGATCTATAGAGCTCCCATTATCCCTCACAATGCTGATGATTATATTTAATACACTATAACTATTATTTACCTTCTGATCCAACTGTATGACTAGTTTCATATCTGTTTGTTTAAGTTCATCCCTGTGTTTGCTCAACAATATAGTTTTTTGTAGTTCTTGCTGCTCTGGACTTGGTACATTTTTAATCATATTTTGAATTTCCACTGAAATTTTAAAATCATAATATATCCATTGATGAATTTTTCCCAATTGGAGTCTGGCCCCTTAAAAAGGAATATTTACACTCTTGTGCTTGTTACATGAGATTAGTTCATAGTCAAAAACTATGATTTTAATCAAGATGGACACTAGACAATTCAGTGGTAGGCAAGGATGGATAATCAAACACTTAGTATGAGTTAAATCTGTTGTGGAAATTACAGCAGGATCCCACTGTGATTGTAAATTTATTGAAAATTTGCAGCAAAGAAAAAATTATGGGATTAAATACCCTAAACTATAGATCTAAAATAAAATATTAACTTACATGTGTGTTTATTGATAATTTGTAATCGTTGTTGAAATAAATGTTTTTCAGTAACATGTTGAATCTCCATTAATCCTTTAACTATTTCAAATACTGTATCATTAAGGAGACAGTTTGCTAATCCTGAAAGAAGTTCTATTGGCACTCGCATTTGGTATTTTCTGTAAAGTTAAATTCAAAATTATAAGAATTATTTATATATATTATATATATTTATAATTTTCAGTAACATGTTAAAACAAATATATTGGGAGGAAGAAATCATTAATAATGCAGACTACCAGTCCCACTGTTGGTAATATACCTTATCAAGTAGACCTCCTTATGATCCCTCCCTGGAATGCACCAGGTGTATTCATCACAGTTGGCTAACTGACTTACCTTTTTATTCTCACCTATCATTCCTCACTAGTGCCCCACCAACATATACCGTTAGCACAAGCAGAGTTACTATTCCATTTTTTTTTTATGGGTGAAAATGGTATGGTAACCCCGCCTACGCTAACGGGATACGTTGGCGGAGCACCAGTGAAGGGTGATAAATGAGAATGACAACAGGCCAGTTAGCCCATCATGATGAATTCATTAAAAATTAACCATGATAGTTTCCAGGGGGAACCGCGAGGAGGTCGACCTGATTGGGTATATTGCTAGCAATGGGATTCTTAGTCTCCATTACTAACAATCCCTTTCCCCCCAGTTACTATTCCATTATCATACATTAAAAAAAATGCAAATATATTTTATACAAACATTAAGGATAGAGTAGTATTAATTTAATATGTAAATTTCTAGATTTACAAAAATAATTTCTGTATTTGACAGAATAATACTATATAATTAATATTCTACACTTCTCAAAGAACATACATAAAAATATATCTGTGGTTGATACAGGTACAGCTTTGAATGTGATTAATTTAACAATCAATGGAGTATTTAAGATTATTTGCCAGGAGGAGCCTGACCCCTTAAAAAAGCGTATAACCATAGATGAAAACTTCGTTACTGATACTGGGCACAAGACAATTCTGGAGTAGACACCTGTTGACACCTCCTACCAGGGGAGAAAGGGATTGTTAGTAATGGAGACTGAGAATCCCATTGCTAGCAATATACCCAATCAGGTCGACCTCCTCACGGTTTTCCCTGGAAACTATCATAGTTAATTCCTAATAAATTCATCATGATGAGCTAACTGGCCTGTTTTCATTCTCATCTATCACCCTTCACTGGTGCTTCGCTAGCGCATCCCGTTAGCGCAGGCGGGGTTACCATTCCATTTTTACCCATAAAAAAAGACACCTCTTACCAGGCCCTCCGTTGAATACGTCTCCAATGATGGACAATACTAACTGTGGTAGTTCTCTAGCCATATCCTGCAACTGTTCTAGTAGAAAATATAATTTTCTTTGTAGAGCTTCTGGTGTTGGCTCGTTGATCTCCATTAAATTGAAGTAAATATAATGGAGTATAAATATTAAAGTAAGGTAAATACAGGCTATCGAAATAAAATGTAATTCATAGAACACCGTCTAAGAAGACAATTAATTATTATTTTATAAATAAATATTCAGAAGTAGAAAAGCAAGTAAACAAAAAAATTTTATAAATTTAATAGACAGAAAAACAATAATAACAGATTACAGAGACTAGCAAGTAATCAACAGCTTTGTATAACTTCCATACTAGCATTTAATGTATGGATTTGGTCAGGGAATATTATGCCAACGTTTAGATAAATGAGGAAATCACAATAGTGCTTACACAACTTAAGTAACAGTGTTTGAGTGTATTTTACACTCAAATGCGATATTCCAAAAATATTTATATTTTACTAATATCGCAAAACCATCTAATCATAGTATCATTATACTCCTATTCGTTTCCATTTTTACTATCAGGCTGGCCAACATAACTAGAAAAGAAGGCTTTTTTTGTGTACATTAATGAGATATTCCTGACCAAGTCGTTTTGCATGGCTTGTATAAAGTGCGATCTCCTTTTCCTTGGTTATATAAAGTTTATGTTTCTAGATTATATATTCGACACAGTTTATATAGAAAGTATGCAAGCAAGTTGTATCTGAATTTGGAAGGATTATACGGCCATATAAGATTTTCTATACATTAACCTGTAATGAATTGACAAAAATAGCAACTGATGGTGTATCTTACGTCTTATTTCTACTAATGACATTTGCATAAGAAGAAAGGAGGCAATCATATGATTTACAGTATATCATTTATCTAATTCCTCCTTCTTAGAGGAGGAATGATAAAATAAAAACAGGAAACCATATGGTTTCCTCTTTTCTTTTTATGCTAATATCATTAGCAAAAAGAGGTCGAGAATTATATTTGCATAAAAAGAAAGGAGGCAAGTGATTTACAGTTAATTTTATTATTCCTTTTATATAATTCCTTGTTCTTTGATTTTGTTACTTACCTACCTATTACATAGATTATTTTATTGTATCAACCGTTAACTGTTCACTATTGAATGACCCCCCTATAATATAAAGAGGGTTTTGCCAGTAATTGCCACGCTTGACAGACGGGTTGGCAAATGTTTTAGTGTAAATACTTCTATTATTTATTTTACTCTTATATTTAGCGCACAATACATTACAGTATTTTTTTTTTAAATGAGGGCCTTTCAAATTCGACAAATTTTGAAAATTTTACATTCATAGTTTAACAAATAGTCTTAATTTTAAAGGATTTGGGGCAATTGTGTCATTATTTTTTACTGTGGTTTTCGAAATATTATTTGGGTTACGGTTTCAAACTTTAAATAAACAAAAATAATAAAAATTAACCACAATAACCGAAAAATGGTTACAGTTTGACCAAATTTCTAGGTTTTTTTTTTAAATGCCTTTAATTTTTAAACTGTGTGGGATAGATTTTTTTCTTATTTTTCCCATGATGGTTACAATGGTTCTAGGACACCCGTATAAAAGTAAGAATGGGTTACATAGATTAATGCCCACTAATGTAGGGATGTCATCTGAAAAATATATCGATATTTTTTTCGATATGATATTTCGAATTGTCGTATCGATATTATGCGATATACCGTTTCAAAATATCAATATTTTCGATATAAAGTATATAATATTCAATTATTTATCAAAAAAGGGAAGATAAAAATTAATTAAGAGTAGAATTAAATCACGACCATATAAATATTTCAATAAACTTTAAAAACTTTAAAAAAAAATTATGGATCCTAATATTTCTTATTTAACCCTTGCATAAATTAAATTTTATTGACTCGTTTAACTTGCAATTGATTTCTCTGTTATGTTAAGACCTGCGCGGCCTTTAAAAAAATCCTTTCAAATGAAACAGAGCTGTACCTTGTAATCCATCTATACTTCCAAAGGATTTTCATTAAATCTACTAACTGGAGCCCCTAAATAAAGCGTTATCTCATTTGAAAGGCTTTCGTCAGTTTTATTGGTTTTCTAATTCCACTGAACTAATTTGTGATGATCACTCCAGAGACTAAACTCTGTCTGAGAAAGTTTGTCTCATGAACTATCAGAATCTGATCCCATAGCAGCACACAAATTCTCTTGTCGATTTGATCTGATCATCTCTTTAATTTTACTTAAGGCATTTGAACAAGCTAGGGGATTAGAGGTTTTGGCTTTCGGAACTCTTACTTACCGAATGAAACACAGTACAAGTACTACTATTTCACGACGATATTCTGTAAAAGGATGGCACTTCGCCAGTCGAACGGCCCTATTTGTGCAGCTGCCACAAAGGCAGCTATCACTCCAAATCATAATGTAATATCATAATGTAAGCCTACCATAGAGTAATACCAAATCAGATCAAGTATTCGAAACGATTTTTTGTATAGAATAAAATATAACGATTTTTTTTATATCAATATTTAGTTATTTGATAATGTCAAATCAATTCGATATATTGGGCTAATAACGATATTTTTTGATATCGATATATACGACCACTACACTAATGTCTAGTTGAAAAGATTGTAACGAGTTGACAACTGTCATAATATAGAAAAATAGCCATGACTTGTTCCGTATAAATGATGAACAGTACTTTTTCTGTATTTGTTGTTTTTTGATATGTTTCAATTTTATCCATTAACCAAAAGTAATCACATTTATATTAATAAGTGCTATAGGATTATTATTACTTTATAGCGGAATTAAACAATTATATCACAAAAATTATCATGGCTAATCCTATAATGCTGTTTTTGTTTTGCCTTTGTTATTTTACTCGGAGTGTTGAAGTTTCGGATGAAAATAAATTGTTTCCTCATTTGTAAGTGTACTCAAAATCTAAGGAATAGGACTTATTTGTGATTTATCTTCTCTCTGCAATTTGAACTATTAAGTTTTACATGTCATATAGTTATATTACAATTTCTTTTTCTAGATATGTAAACCTACTTACTGCGAATAACAATTTAATCATACTCCATTTATTAAGTATACGTCCTAAAAGTGTGAGCAACTCTTTCTATGATTAACATTTGTTTTTATTTCAGAATAAAAATTTAAATTTTTTGAATATTGACAATTTAAATATTGCTAAACTTTGGTATGAATACTCTTTTCGTGATTGTGAAATATAAAATTATAATTTAAGGACTAATTTCATCTAATTTAGTGTTTTTATGATGTAGATTTGTTATTTAGTTAATAAATTATTTCTTAAAGACTTGTCTCTAATATCATTAGAAATCTAGGAATCATTGAATCATGTTTAATAAATTAGTCTTGTAAATATGTAACACTTAATGTACAGTATGCATTATAACAAGAGTCTGTCATAACTATTTATATTGGGTTTGTTCACTTATTCAACAATAGTAAATTGTTACGGCACAATATGATTAAATAGAATGTATTTTTTTATTTTCAGACAATACATTGAAAATAGTCATACTTTACCAGTGCCAGAAGTATGTACAGAATTATTAAATAATTTTGCACAGTCAGCATCAAATTTCACTTTGTGTTCTATAAAGAATGCTTGGCCAGTGACTCTTTGCAAGGAATGCATAGATCAGTATGTGATGTTTAAATCTAAGTATGATGAATTATTAAAAACAGTTGAAAATGGCACATCATGCAAAACAATTTATATTTCACATGATAGGTTAGATGCAGTACTGGAATATTATAATGGTATTTTGAATGTTTGGGAAAAAGGGAACTGTAATGGTAAGTATCACATTTATTATATTTTATTTTAATGTCGTATTTTATACAAATTTCTGAATTTTTCATTTCAGCTTGTTATGATTGGTCTGGACCAGTACCTGTGCTATCTAATGATACAAAACATTTTGATAAAATGTTCAAAGAAACAATGAATTGCATTGCTACTAATAGTACTACTACAAATATGTCGGATGAAGTTTGTGAAAGGTGTATGCAGTCTTATTTACAATTAGACTTATTCTATAGATCCCTAAGTAAAGATTCTATAGGGTTGGACAGTGTATGCTTCGATATAGTTGACTCTGTGAGTTTTTATTTAAGTAATTATTTTGTCCATTATTTAAGTGTAAATAAATTTTAAACTTTTTCTAAAATCTGATTATAATTATAGATGAATACTACTAGATCTATATGGAGTAAGGACCTCAATTGTTGCAAACTAAGAAAGACACCCGAAGTAATATTTTTAGTTTGCACAGGAATTATTTCATTTCTACCTATATTGTTTTATGTAGCTGTAAGGTTTTGTTCTCCAATTAGAGCCTTACCAAATATTTTAAAAGGTATGTATTTAAAATTGGAAGTTAATAATGACTAATTGGTTAAATTATAGAAAAATTTTATTAGCATTATTTTTTCAGAGTCAAGATTCAAACAATCTTTTTTAAGATCAAGTAGTGGAAGAATAAATTGATAGATCTAAGAGTTCAGAATAATAATGTTTAAGACAAATTATTGTTTCATTATATAATTTGTAAATATTGAAGAATTTATAAACTACAATATATTGCTTATCTAGTCGAGTGGATCGAATGGAAAAAGTGTTTCACTGCAAAGGAAATTAAAACACTACATTTTAATGTGGACTATATTCATTTAATCACTACAGTTGGTCAGCTACACATATGCAGTGAACAATGAATATATTAAAAGTCTACCAAAGAATATAAAATAAATACAATTACAATATGAACAGTATTTTATTTGACAGTTCCTTAATTCATAGGCACATTTTTCTCATAAATCTAAACAGATTCTTTATGCCATTTTAAAATAATTATTTATCTATGTCTTGCTTTTTTATTGTTACTTTTCTTTATATTACTGCTATTGGTGCTGTTACTGGATATTTTGTGTTTTAAAGAATTTGGTGTAGAATCACCTTTGGCCATTATGCTCATACTGGAGTCTTTATCTTTTGGTGTGCCTGGTCTACCGTCTAATCCTACTACTGATAGTATTTTGTTATCACCACTAAAAGCTTTCTGTAGCATTCCAGATGATGTTGCTATTTTCTGAGTAGCACTTTGTTTTATTTGAGAAGAATGACTGATTGCTTTCTCAATGCCATTTGTGTTTTGTTTACCAGCTGGTTTTGATGCAATGCTCTCTGAAGAGCCATGTATAGTTGTGTGATTCATACTTCCAATGTTCAATCCAGAGCTGATTTGAGTATCAGATGAGTCTTCATTTGTTTGAGATTCTGTTTCACTGTTCCTGTCATCTAAAACAAAATAATTAATGCTTTTTCACATTTTAATAAATATTTTGTTACTTTAGTTATTGTATTATGATAATGTATAATTAATGTAATGTCTAGTGCACACTCCAGGTAACAGAGCTTTTAGCTATGTCAAAAAATGTCAGTCTTCTGGAAAAATGACTTAAATAGGCCTATGCTTGGCATAAACCTATTATTATTATAGAATGAAAATGTATATTACTACTGTGATACTTCAATATACAATTATGATTGAGGGTAAATTTATAACAAAAATATATATGTATAATGAACTTACTTTTTGCTTCTGCAGGATCAACAAGACCACTAACAGCCTGTTAACAAAAGTAAACAAACAAAAGTAAGTCAAAGATAAACAATAAAGTAATAATCTAGGCTGTAATAGACTCAAGACTTGTAACTTATACTTACAGCAATAGATGTTATGGAAGACTTGGAGAACAATCTTTCTGCCTCTTTAAATTTTCTGTTACGTTTGTCAGCCTTGGAATTAGTACTCTTATTTGTTGTGAGGTATCTGTCCCAGCCTCTAATAATATTTCCATAAAGTTGTGTGTCTTCTAAATAAGAGCCTTCAAAAGCATAAATTTGTCTTTCTAAATTAGCCAAAGTTTCCTGTAAAAATATAAATAAGTTATGATTATATTGAAGAGGAGACTTGTAAAGAAAAACCCATATAGGGTTATAATTACAATATATATAGGGTTTTATCCGAGTTTCCTTTTACATTGGTGCACTACGTTTTTGCTGTTCCATTAATCAACTTATATCTTAGGGATGAAAATCAAGGGTTTAATTATATAGTCATCTAGTCAATATTGTGGAGATACATAAAATGAAATTTGAGTCATGAAAAATGTCAATCAAGTTTATTATAAACAGAACTAGGTTACTAACAGCTACTTCAGCCTTTCTTTTTACTAATTCAGCTAGTTCCGCTCTGGTATCAGCTACCGAAGTTTGTTTGGAGGCCATATTGGAATTTTTAAATTGCACAGTTTCGCTGGCAGGACTTTGTGGTGAAACAACCATGTCGTTGCTTATTTGTGTACTTGTTATCTTATGTTTCCATTATATATTACGCTCAAATGGTTCTCGCAGATATTAAGTAGAAAAACAAAATATTTGCAAGATGAACACAAACAACACAAAATTAATGTGACAGATTAGAGAGCCTAATGACGACTTTGTCGTCTTTTTTTTTAATATGTTTTACGGCTTTGGATACCAGTGCAATTGAATTTATCTGTAAAAGATATTTCTTCCAGTCAACCTAACACAGTGGCATAGGAAGTAGTGAGTGGGCAGTAGTAGTGCAAAACAGAAATTAAAATAAATATTTACCTAAATTATAAATCATTATATATATATTTGAAAGATTAGATTTTACAATGCTAATACATACATATGAATATAAACCTACATAAATAAGAATATATATACATATGTTAAACACAACATATAAATCTATACTTATAATAAATCTGTAGAGAGGTCAATTCTGTAAATAAAATATATTTCCAAAATAATTATCAAGAGGTGATTAGTGATTGATACTGATGCCAAAAATGTAATCAGTAAAATTTTTGTCTGTCTGTCTGTATGTTCGTTATAGAAACAAAAACTACTAGACGGATTTTAACGAAACTTGTTACAATTATTCTTCATACTCCTGGGTAGGTTATAGTATACTTTTCATCACGCTACAATCAATAGGAGCAGAGCAGTGAAGGGAAATGTTAAAAATGTCCACCCGTGCGACCCCGGGACGGGCCGCTAGTATCAAATAAAAGAATACAATGATGACAGTCTTCTAATATTTTTTTATATTTAAACAAAATTGGAATAGAATGATTTTAATCGTTATAAAAAAAAATGTTTATCGATTAAATTTATCTAAGACTATTTAAAATTATAATTGAATATTATTTGTAGTTGCTGGGATACGGCGCTGTGATCGACAGATGGACAGACTTATAAATTCGTATCTTACCTGCTTTCTCACTGCTCTGATTGCTTAATAGCTAGATACTGTTATTTGAAATGGATAGTAGTGCAGATGGGATAAGCACTCCGTTATTATCCATTAAAAAATACAAATTAAATAAATTTGCGAATTGTTGTTAAAAATTTTAAGTTCATGATATGTATCTATGACTTGCTATATGTTTCGGCAAACTGTAAGTAAAGTTAGCAATTATATTTAAAGAATTAAATATTCCTTTGTATTAGTTTATACAGAGCTCTAAAATAGGTTAAGGTGGAGAAAAATGGATTGAAACGTAAAAACAAATTCGAAACTATATTACAAGAACAATATGTTATGCACCAGTGCTTTAAACTTCAAGTCAGAGAAATGAATAAAATTAATTTGTGTGCCACTGAATGTACACATACTTCAGCAAATACATTTTACAATTCGCTACCTTTTCTGCTAAAATTCTATAAAAGCTATATAAATATTGTCAAAACTATCCTAATTTGATTAAAATATTTATATTCTAAAGTCGTCGTTCAAGTTCACGCCCTTCAAGATGGCCTAAACGGCAAAAAATTGCCTAATCTAGTAGCACTACCGTTGATTAAAAAACATTACGATTATTTTTGTGAAACATATTAAAAAAAATATTTTTGGCAGCGACGTTAGTAAGCGACAGTAGATAAATGAATGAATGAAACTATTGAAAAGGAAAGGCGTAGAGTTATCATTTGTCTTAAAATATAATATCACATGAACTTTCCTGAATGTATTGTTTAATTTACTTTTATAATTGTCGTAAATGGTTAAATAAATGTCGTTAATAGACATATAATAATGAATCATTAATAAATAACTGTGATTGCCATTTGTAAAACGAAGGAGAAGGTTATTTTGTTCGTTCTACACGCAGTAACAGAATTTGACTCATTGTTAATAACTTCCTCTCATGATCTACTGTTAGTCTCTATTTTTTAAAGACAATGCCACAGACATTTGCATAGTCATTATCACTAGGTAGGTCAAGTCCACGTCTATACAACTTATTTGGGAATTAAGAGATTTTATAACTGCTATTGACGTACTGAAAGCAAAAAATTGCATGCCTTTTTTTACATTTCTTTATATTTTGTATTTTACATTTCACTCTTTTAATAAATATCAAAGAAAAGAACATGTGCTGTCATAGAAATCAGTAATGTACCATTCACCATAATGTAATATTCACCATTCTAGAAAATTTTGTAAAATTCTATATTTTATATAGTTCTTTATTTAAAAAAAGTGCCAAAGGAGGAGAAATTATTCAGTAAGATTTAATGACCGCTGCGTCAGAGCTATGGAACTTTAACAGATGACCTACTTCCCACACAGTCTGCAGCGCCGTCTCCCGTAAATAACTTTAATGATGTCGCCCTAATAACAGTGCCTTAGGAGCAGGAGATACCCAGTGGACTCTTGATCGGTATTACGTCTTTAGCTCATCAATATGTGCATGTATCGTGGAGCTCCATGTTGCTGACATATTGAGAGTTACAAATTGCACACCTTTTTTATATTTCTTTTTATTTTGTATTATTATATTTCACTCGGTGGGAAGTCTTAATCACTGTAGAGTGAAATGTAGAATACAGTTACTTGGTCCTTTATAATCCAAAGAGACTGCGCGAGCTGTCTGACGAAGACGCTACTCACATCAGCCCTGTCGTGAGCTCGACGTGGTGCAATTCATGTCGAAACGTCAGCAATATAGAAACAGGTATGTAGGTACTATTTACCTGTAAAGGCTTTTACATCGCATAAAGTCCCGATTGTATATTTAAAGTATGTGTAAACAACGCGAAAGTTTAAAATGAACTATCTCTAAAGGTACTGGTATTCTTGGTGTCGAAATGTCTAGCACTATAGAGTTTCGAGGTTATCTTAAAGATACGGTCAAGCTGACGTCCAAAAAGCTCAGTGTTCAATAGAGCAAAACTTTACTTCACCTCAAGACAAAGACTATTGTTGTACAAGATGCAGGCCCGGCCTCTAATAAAGTACTACTCTCATCTATTAACTGAAGCACTTGGATATCAGCTCGATCCTCTTGATTCGGTTTAAATATGGGCTATGAGAATTGTTGACGATCTTGTTTGCTGTGAACTCTATTTTTAATCTGTAATTTATAGCATAGACTATACTATTGTAACATAGTCAATAGAATAAAACTTTTTCTGTGCAAATTATCGGGTTTAATTCAGATTATTTCATAAAATACCTGCTAAACGTTCAGATTTCAAGTTCAAGGCAAGAATTTGTTTCCCTTTGTGTGTTTTACCGCTTGTATAACGGATTGTGTTCTGAGGAATTGTTTGAAATGATACTTACAGCCACTTTTTATTATTTCACTGCTTGCCATTGGCAGGGGATTCATTCTCACATGCTTGTACATAAATAGTTACATACAGTGAGGTTTCAAGGGATTGTTATTATACTCAGGATGTGGAATAAGCTTCCTGCTAAGGTTTTGTCTAGATACTACAGTATAGGGATTTTCAAAAAGGGTATATTAAGGTTTCTTCAAGGTCGGTAATGCGTATGTGACACCTCTAGCGTTGCAGGCGACTATAGATTACAGTAACTGTTTATCATTAGATGGGTTGTATGCTTGTTTGCACCTTCGTGGTATAAATAAAGGTTCCGGGCTCGTTAGTAGGTCGGCCCATTTTACAAAACGAACTTTTCTAAATTAGCTCGGGTTAGGGTATTTTAAGTTATTCACCTAGATATTCATTGCTTGGTTCTTTATAAAGTAACAGAATACACTTCACAGAATACATTTCTAAGTAATAAAAATACACTCAAATGCGATACAAATGGCTGCCATCTCAATTATTCGTAGAACAGTTTTAGCTTTGAATTTCGTATTTTGTTTTATTTTGACGTGGAAATTGCGACTATATGTATATAATTAATATTGACACTGTTACGAAGTCTACTCTAGAAAAGGCCGGCAGCACACCTGCAATGCCGTTAGTGTTGTGGGTGATCATGGGCGGCGGCAGTCACTTACCACCAGGTGAGCCGCATGCACGTTTGTTACCTGTGTTGTAAAAAAAAAATGTATAAATTAATAAATATATTTAAGAATGTTACCCTTCTTTAATTTTTGCTAAAAATGTTCATCGGAACGTACAATATGACATAAAATTTATATATTCTTTTATTACGTGATTTGCGTTTCAGTGTGAAATATTTGTATTTTATTAATATCGAAAAACTATATATCTATAATATTATTATAACTCTAATTCAAAGATATACTCTTTGAATTCAACCAAGAGTATAAGAGCGCACTTTATATTAGCCACCTAAAACGACTTGGTCAGAAATAATCTCATCAATCTACACAAAAATCCTTCTTTCCTCATTGTGTTGGCCAGCCTGATATACAAAATGGAAGCGAATAGGGTGATAATTATACTTTAATTTGATTCATGTGATAAAAGGACTATCTATATAAATTTTATGTAAAATTGCATGTTCCGATAAACAATTTTTTAAGCAAAAATAAAACAAAACATAATGTTCTTAAATATATTTATTATTGTGTACAATATTACCTTGAGATCTCAATTTCGTAGTATTATTGACAGTAAACAGAAGTTTTCAACGCTTCCCGTAATATCTAGTCTAATTGTCAAATTAACCTCGTAATAAAGTTAACCATTAATTATATATAGTTGTAATTCTTTCGCCAAAATAAAAAGAAATATGAAATAAAAAGCTAAAACTGTTCCACAAATAGCATAGATATATAATAGATGGCAGTATTTTTGTTAAGTTGGCATTATTGTGATTTCATCATTTAACTAAACATTGGCATTATCTTTCCTGACCAAATCTATACATATACTCTCTGATTTTGAAAACCAGAGCAGTATTGACTCTTAAATAATGTATTGAAGATTTACTAATTAGTTTGACAAATGTGACATTTTTTATTTTTCGTCTAAATGAAATTTAAAATAAATTAATAATACTAGATAAAGCGATTTGATGAATAAGAAATAATTAAAAAATAAAATAAGTAAAGTATATCTATCCAAATGTCTATAAATTACATTCCTCGGGTGACACAGGTAAAAAATTATAATCATTTTCTTTATATTATCATCAATGTTTCCTTGTAACAATTTATGAAATATTGTAATTACAGTTGGATGCTGTTCAACTAGATGTACAGGTGGAGGAATTATTTAAACAGTTATTGTTTGAAGCCACTAGGTATTTGGAGGTAAATTTATTTTAAAATTTTACATATGCAGATATAAAATTTAACTATTCTGCGAACAAAAAAATATAGGTTGATAGCCTTAACGCCTCTAATCTAAATAGTACAGAATAACACATATGTATGCGTATGGATAATTTTCTACTGTTGACTTAGATCTGAACTAACAAGTGAAACGTTAAAAAACATTTGTAACTCATGTGATATTGAAAAGTATGTAATTACATAAATACTGGATACTTAGCATCCGGTATTACCATATATCAGAAATATGATACCTATTGAATTTATCAATACGAGTATTGCTATTAATCTGTATTAAAATATAGTAAAATTAACATATACTATATAGTATTAAAATTTCAGCAATACAAGGCCATTTTTTAATCACTATTAAAATTTTTTTTATAACGTATATCACTTATAGAGTACATAAAAAATAAAATTTGAGTATGTAACATTTTGAAGTTAAAAAAATGGGTTTTAAAAAATTTTATTACTGCATAGACACTAATAAAAGAAAACTGCGTATGTTTACGGGAATAGTAGATTTTACGCAACAAACAAAACAATACAAGCCATGAAATAATGAATGATTTTTTCCTTTTTTTCTTAAACAATAAGAATGGTCTAGCGAACTCACTGAAGGATGAGTGAGGGGTGTGAAGCGAGGCATTTCAACCCCGCGATGCGCAATTTCGGTCGACTCAAACACATTTGTCATTCACGCTTGCATATACTGTTTACATGTATAGGCCTTAATTTCTAAATTAATAGAGGATGTGATGCTAGCTTATTATCACGATATTTATTATCAGCAGGACAGTGTACCACCTCAATATGCTGACGTGGTTTGTAATTATTTATGAAATGAGTATGGTGACCTTTGGATCGTTCATGGGTGCCCGGTTTCACGGCTGCCTTGTTCACCAGACCTCACACCTTGTGACTCTTTTTATGAGGCGAAATTAACTCGTATACTTACGAGAGGCTCAAAATCGCGAGGATCTAAAATAATCAGTGTAATATCAATAATTATCATTAGACGAAGTGAGAATGAACCAATTCCTTTTAAATACAATAAAAGACAATGTGCAAAAACGTGCCAAACTTTGTTTAGAGAGCAATGTACTACATTTTTAACAATTATTAAAGTATTCGTAAATTTTGATTTATGATTTATTAGTAGTAAGGGTATTTCGTTTTTATTTTCTTATTATCTACCTAATTGTTGTACATAAGTTGATTAAAATTTTTTAAATACGCCAAACTGTAAAATACCTACTTAATTGTGATACATTTTTCAATTATTATTAATTGGGTCATATTTTTAATGAAATCACTTTCAAATCGCAAATACTTTTGCAGTTTGACGGTCCGAAGCTTGTAAAAGTATGAAGGGAAAATTTGCAACTTTTGTATCACTGTAGTGTAGGTATGAATGATTTAGGTAAATGAATTTAGAAGAGACGCGCGCGCGGCGCGTGCGATTGTGACACATGTAGACCATGAAACTCGAAATTTTGAGGATAACTTTCTTGTCACTTATTATCATACTCTAGTACTAAAGGCCACTTAAATAAGAAATGATTACTTCATTATTTTTATGAAAGAACACAATACGAAAATTTAGATAGTGATTAAAAAATGGCATTGTATATAACAATTTTTGAATTAGAGTGTTATGCAATTTATCTAGGTAGAAGAATTAACTTACAGAGGAAAAAAAAGAATAAAAAATACACTCTAGTTTTAAATTATGAAATATTTTCAATTACACAATAAGCTAGTTTAAATGTTATTTGGAAATATTTAACAGAGTTTGATATTTCAGCCTGGGTTTCTTCAACCAATTCTTCCAGAACTTGAACTTGTTATAAGAACATGGATATTCAGATATTCATTTTACAAGAAGAATTGCACATTTGGTCAGGAGATGTTATCATTGAAATACAAAACTGACAATATATCACGAAGTAAATTATACTGGTATTATGGTTTTACAATTGGTTTAAAGTATATCAAAGAGAGAGCCATGTACAGTTGGACATCAAACCAAAAAGTACAGAACTTTGTGTATAAAATTGAAACATTCCAATTAATAAGTGATATTTTAAATTTTCTTCGATTTATACAACATGGAAAGTATCCTGTATTAATAGATTTTATACTAGGTCTTGAATTAACAGCAGACAAATTAACAAGAGAAGATCTCACAGACTTCTCATGGACTCGAGAATTATTGTGGCATAATTTTATAGTGAGTATTAAGTATTAAATAAATTTAAATATTTTTAGGTGACCATAATTGGGTATCTAACATCCAAAAGTACCTTTACAAACAAGTGAATATTATATAACAGTGATCTGAAAATAAATTTAAGAAGTTAGAACTGAATTTTAGTGAAAATTTACTTTTAGCTTAATTAATTTATTTTTAGGGCTTTATGAAAACTAATTTATGTAAATAGTAAATTTATAAATGTTGATTTATCATAACAAACTTATACAGTGAAATTGAAATTGTTACCAGTATGTAAAACTAAGAATCTGCCACTAAATTTGTGTCACAAAATATTCTATGGCATATTTTGTGACACAAATTTTGTGATTCAAAGATTAAAAAATGACAAACAGATTTGAGCTTCCCATTAACTCAACAGCAGAAAACATCATGTTACTATAGCAGGCTCAATATTTTTCTTCCTATTTTTCCATGTTTTTTTGGTGTAAATATTTAGTTTTGTTTCTTATTGTTTATGTCTATAGAGCAGGAGTTCCAGAACTTTTAAGATAATGGAATGTTCACCAAATACTTTATATTTTGTGTACTGTAATTTAAATAAGAACAAAGAATTTTTAAACAAATATTTTAAAAATTAGATACTTTATTCTTTACTTTAACTATTATTGTAAAAAATGAAATTATATTACTGTATAAGTATGTAATTTAAAATATAAAGTGTTTTATTTATGTTTCAGGAATTAATAGGCACAGTAATATCACTTATGAATATGTTTGGATTGAGAAAGAAATTGACCACTGTTTTGAAATATATGTGGTGGCGAAATTATACCCGCACTTCGGGTTCTCCTACCAGTGCTACTATGACACAAAACACAGTATGTGCATGTTGCACAAATAAGCCAGTGTTGCCACATACAATGGGATGTTCACACATTTTTTGCTATTATTGCTTAATGGTGTGTTTTTATTTTCTCTTAATTATTTTAATGTTTTTTAACATAATGTAGTCTGACCTTTTCTTTTTTAGTGCTATTTATTATCTTTATACTGTCTATTATAAAAATATCCTTAACATTCAATTGCTAAGCATTTATATTAAAAAAAACATAAGGTAAACATTAGGTTTATAAGTTTTCCTCGGTTTAAATTAATTTTCATTATGGCGATATAATAAATAAAGAGAGACAAGACTGATAATAATAACTTTTTTTTTTTGCAATGATTTTAAGCAATTATTGCTAATAAAGTTTTTATTTTCAAAGATAGTAGTTGTATGAAATCTATTCAAAAATATTTTATTATTAACATCACTTAATAACTATAAGCATATTTTCTGTTTATTATAATAATTATATACATACAATTTATGTTTTTAGGCTAACAAGACAGCAGATCCAGACTATGCCTGTCCAAAGTGTTACTACAATGGAAAGCAAGTAAACAAATTTGTTGTGGTGTAATTAAAAGTAATTTTAATAATTGTATATTATGGGAAATGTTGGATGGGTATATATAAAGCCATAATGGTGCTGTGATTTAAATGATTGTTATATTTATTATTAGTTAATAATTGTTAATTCCAGGAACTTGTTATTTTTATAAATGTTTAAATAAATATTACAAAATTGTTTTACTTTTATATTGATTAATTTAGTTTGATAAAGATATTGAATGAGATATAAAAATTTTTATTTTATTTTAAAAGCTAATAGAGAAGAAAATAGGTTGGATTAAAAAAGAATCATTAAAATTGGTTTGTATATGTTAAAAGATTTGAAGAGGTGAAGAGTGTAATTCATAAAATATTGGTGTAATAAAGTGTTAAATAATAATAAGCGTATTTTGCTTTCCAAAAAGCGAGTTAAATATTATACAGGAAAATAAAAATATTACAACCGTGTTTAATGTTACAATATTAGTTTGTGTGTATGTACAATACATTAGCTAAAAACGTTAATCATAAAAAATATTACATACTTATATATTTGTCAACAATAACTAGGTACCTACTTATTTATATTTTGCTATTGATTTTTTTCAAATTTGATTTTCTAACAGAATATAAAATATCAGTGATAATTAGTATAACCTATAGCTTAGTTCATTTTAAGAAAATTTTTAGAAATTATTATTGAGAAATAATGTAAAAGTGTCTGTTTGAATATTGACATTATGAGATAAACTGCTGTTTTTGCGGTATAAACTCTTTAAAGGGCTGAATGGATTTAAATGAAATGTACTACACAACTAGGTCATGTCTTAGATTAACATACAATCTTAACTCACGCGAGCAAAGTAATCTGATATAGTTAGTTCACAATATTTTTTTTTAATGCATGACAATGGAAAGCTAATCCTTTCTGCGCTAACGGCATATGCTGGCGGGGCACCAGTGAGGATTGATAGGTAAGAATAAAAAGGATGGTATTAAGGTAATTAGCCCATCGTGAAGAATACATCAGGAATTCAGCACGAGGGTTTCCAGGGGACCACGTGGAGGTCGACGTGACAGCCCATGTAGCTGTGAGATGTGAATTGCTTACAGCAAATACTCTTATAGTAGCCTTACCAATCGCTTAAATACAACGCTACAAGATATTAGCGTTGAGTACAGATTTCGGTTAGACGGAGAAAACTTTACGTATAGAATTACGAGTAAAACAAAGGTTAATGGCACGACTTCACAGAATAGGTATATTTATAAAATAAATCAAATTCAAATTTTATACAAAATTGCACAATAAGCGTAATAAAAGATCGCTACATAGGTACTTATTTACAAAAATCTTAACTATAGATATGAGTGTATACTAAAAAAAGTAAATATAAATATTGTAATATTGCATTTAAATGGTACATATTTCTTTTCACATAAGAATAACAAAAAAATATTATTATACATAGTCATCATCATTGTTACAATCTATCTATCATACATTGCTATTCTTAGTCCTCTGTATGAATATTTCCTCATTAAGGTTATTCCTGATCTCATATTCATTTATCAATGTTACATAATTTTTTGATATATATAATATTATATTACGTAAGTTATGTACCTAATTATTAATTTAACCTACTAACTACTAATATAACGGATAGACATTTCCGTTGTTAATAACGCAACTGTCTAAAATACGTCGAAAGACCATATCGGTACTGTCGATACCTTACCGCGAGGTTTTTGCAAACATATTGCAGCAAATACCTCCATAGTTGACCTATAGTTACTGTATGTCTGTCTAATGAGATGTAATAAATAAACATTTAGCCATATTACTGATAATTTCTATAGGTCGTGACATAGTGGATTTAAAAATGATTTCTAATTAATACTATTAGCCCTGTCGGTACCATAAATGGCTAAGCTTGTTGCAATTCGATCAAGGTGGGGTTCTGGGTTCTAAATCTAATGTTGATTGTCTTTGCTGTTACGCACGTCGGCGTGGAAACCGGTCTCCCAGTCTGCAACGTAGTCCACTGTCCGCACTGACCCGTCCGGCTCCACCAGAGAATATTGACCTGGATATATCATAACAACTATGCAGATTATTCTGTTACATTTTTGTGTTATGATTACATAGTTCAACAAGTATTTACGTGTATAATTAGGTACGTGTCTTGAATGAAAAGGGTCTGTTTGTTAGAGAACAGCTTAAGCGTTTTAGTTTTTAGAAACAAACTGCGCTTCCTATCTATGCGAATTCCGTACAGATAAATAGTTTATTGAAAGAGAGATGGCCACTATTGAAGTCTGACTGATTTGTGTGTAGTGTGCCATATCATTTAACATATGTATTAAAAAATGACTATAATTCAATACAATAACTGTTAACTGCGGCTTGACTATGATTTTTTATATCCTAATGGGAACACATTGTTTGCCTACGTAGTATGCTAAATTTTATAATAACGGGGGAAAAAGATTGTTAGTAATGGAGCTAGTGGGCCTACTATTGGCAATACACCTCTGGTGTATTCTGCCAGCGTAAATTTATATATAGGTAGATGGAAATAAAATTATAACCGTGCCAATACTATCGATATATGCTGGCGGGGAATTAGTAAGGGATAGGTCAGGATAAAATTAGATGAGTTAACTCGTTGATGCGAATTTACTAAGAATTACGGTAGATTTCACGAGAAACTGCGAGGAGATCGATCTGGCAGGGTATATTCACAGTAACAGAGATTAAATTTATCTATTATTACAATTCAAATAGCTAGTTCTTATTTCCAGAATTAAATTACTTGAAAGCCTCGATTAAGAGGTTTTTCAAAAAATACTCGAAGAAAATTAATTCTTAAGTAAAAATAATGTGTGTGTGTATTAACAAGGGCTTTGCAAACATAACAAGTACGTGCCTCAACTAGGCTTATGCCCATAAAGTGTTTGCAGATTTTGTCACAATAAGAAAGAAATGCTGTAGCACATAATTTGTACATAGCCGACTTATACATAAACGATAACATAACAGCTTTAGAAAATACACTTTATATCATGAGGATACATAAAACATCTTAAAATCCCTACTAGTAATAGAAATTAGCAGCGATATTGTAACTTACCTTTGACAACTTCACCGTCTCGTTCTTCCTTTTGTTGTTTCACGTCTCCCGTATGTGGATCGTTGACGCTGTACTCAAAAGCGTATCGTGGATGGGCGTCCTGCAAACGTTACGATATGAAATCACCATTGACAGTTGCCCTTTGAGCTAATATCGTGAGAAATGTCAGCCAAAGGTTATAACTAGACTATATAGGACAATCGTCGACAAAACAGCGAAGTTGTTATACTCGTAATTATATAACGATTGAGGTAAATGTTGAGAAGTATTCTTAATAGCAATTATATGCTGACTAAGACATTGCCTGTATACGGATGACTTTATGGAGAAAGCTAAGTTTATTGATTGTGTCTAAAATCGAAAGTAGAATTTGTAATCAAATTTCTATGAAGAACGCCTTTTGCTTAAATTAGTCCCATTAAATAAATCATCGTGGGCCGTATGCTTGATTGCCATTTCAGTGGTATAAAAAACGTTCCATCACCGTTAGGAAACTTAATTTTCTGTGGCATCAGAACACATCCCTCATTTTCCAATAACATTAGTGTTGACATCACTAGCAATATTAAGAACATAGTAAATTAGAAGATAAGGTCCAGCTCAATAAATGGCTTAATGTGCTCAATAGGGCGAGGCAGTAAGTAATGTGCCTCATGTTGTAATTGTGAATACAGTCTGTAGAATTGGGAGGCACCTATGCTGTACAGTATTAGTGAACAATTTGGGGGGTATAGAAACAAATATTTTATCATTATCATCATTTTAGCCGTTCTTTATTTATTGCTGATAATACGTCTTCTTTATGAACTTTCATAGGAAACAGTTTTAAACCACCTTTATCCACTGACTTCTAGAAGTTGCTTCTTTATCTACTTGGGGTTTGTACCTAATAATTTATTTAAGTTTTTTGTTTTGTTATAAAACTATTAATTTGCCCTACAAGTTTTCACTTCCATGCCGGTTTATATAGCGAGGGCGCCGGTCTATTGGCACTTCAGAGTTTGCTGTTATCAGTTTGGGTTTTATGAGAATTCGCATCCTTTTTTTCAATTCTATCATGCAGCAAAATTCCGAGAATTGTCCTCTACATAGCTCGTTCAACGACTTGGAGTTTCTTAATAGGTATGACAATAACTGAAACCTATTGAAACTAACTTTAATCTTAAATAATCAAAGATGTGTTTAGTGGTTCTGAGGCATGCCTATATTATCAAAGTAAGAATATTTTAAAAGTTTTTAAAATATCTATGCGCTACGTACGTGGAAATTGAACTTGTTTATTCTTTTTGTAGTCTACAAACTAGTATTTTTTGTACGGAACAAAATCTTAAATTAGGTACTGTTGATTATACGAGTATAGTGCTTAACTAAAAATATAGCACCTACATATTTCTTAAACAACTTGGATAACGAGTACAATGGATATTGGCAAGAAAGGATTGTAATTTCAAAAGCTAAGTTACAAAATATCCCTAAATGTAGGCTAAGAGACACTTGTTCTCTTTTTGTTCAGTAGCTTTTGTTTAATCACTTATATCTCCTGATATTGTATATTTATTCACCATAAGAATATATGTAGGTATATTTAGATATATTCAGAATTTCAAAATACGTCCTAAAGTGTGGAGATGAAATAATATGAAACTGTAGTTATGTTTAAAAGCGAAATAAATTTTGTGAGTAAACCAATAATATTGTACTTATAAAAAAAAGTTTAAATTTACTTTAAGGTTAGTGGGGCATACATTGATACGAGTATATTGGGGTTTTCTTTTTGGGGGTAGTTCTATCAAAAGCGACTGAGTGTAGTATTGAAAGCAGTTAGACATAATAAAATCTACAAGAACTTCGTTTCGTCTTTTTGCAATACTTAATATCTATATAGAAATCGTTTATATTATTATTAAACGAAATAAATTGTAGTATTGGATTTTACTAATTTTCATTGTAAGCAAATGAGTTCGTTGCTTCTTTTTTGTTTTTAGTGTCTATCTTTATGCTAATTTTCTCACAAATAAACGTAGAGAACTAGTATGAAAGTATAAGTATTTATCTAGTTATTTTGATGGCATCAAATTAAGGCTACCCTAAGGCATTACGTAATTGTTTAAATGTGCATTGATTAACGAATATTGAATAAATTATATAATAATCATGTACATATGACATGCGTCTATTTCTTACATTTGATTGATTAATTGGCTTAAGATGTCAATGTAAAAAATCTGGATTCCGATAAACGGTTCATATAGTTACATCACAAAATTTGTTGTAGGGATGTGAGGCAACTTAGTAATTGGCCACCTACGTAAATATGTGCAAATTGATCAGTTTATTTTGTAGATAAAAACTTGGCAGAATTTGTTGAACATTCAAATTGGATAGTAGGTATCTAGCTATTTTTTTACGATCTCGCTGTCCGTTATATCACGCTTTTATAGGAATTTTCATAATAGGTTATTTTAAAGTAGTGTTAATAATAAACAATTTTGTTCCATAAAAACTGTCTTCAATATTGAAATTAGTATGAAACCAACAAGGGAGTAAACCACAGGGTTTACTTCCGCCAGTATTATCGATTGTAAAAATAATTATTATCCAAATCGATTTAGGGTTGGCATAGATGACTCTTTACGTGATATGATGCAAAAAAATACGGGCAAATTGAGTACCTCTTTTTAAAGTTGCTTATAAAAAAAGATAATAAATAACTTGACGATCGATTTACTTAAACGATAATAAGCGTGCCTAATTTCGTAGTAAATAAGAATAGAATAAGTACCTTTTAGAACATTATTCAAATTACCTATTTAGTTTTAACTTTAACAGCTTATCAAATTTAATAAAATGTATAAGAATAACTACTTACATAATTTTCCAGAAATTCTGTGTGCACATTCTTAACAGCGACAGGTGAAGAAGCAATGTGACCGGCTTGAGCTACAACGCCTGTGGCGGGAACTGTTACTGCGGATACAACAGGAGCACTTATATGGGAAACCGAAGCGATCCTCTGTACTGCGTGTTGAGCTGGTTGTGAATAATGAGCAATAGTTGGAACAGCGTATTGTGTGACAGCTGGAGTTGCGTATTGAGAGACAATTGGTGTAGAATATTGCACTGGTCTAAAATATTGTGTAGCAGTCCCTCCTACATGTGAAACAGAAGATGTCGCGTATTGAGATACTGGTGCAATTTGAGTCACTTGTGAAACAGCTGGAACAGTCTGCGTGTATCGAGTGACAGCAGGGATAGAGGTGCTATAGCTTGCCTGTGTAACAACTTGATTTTGTTGAAGTTTAAGAGCCGGTGATGCTGCATATCCTGCAGAAGGAGCTGCGTATACTTGAGATACAACAGGTCCTCCACTTTGTACACTATAGGAGTTTAGAGAAGCTTTTGCCAATGATCCTGTTACATATGCTTGTTGGGATACTGAGTTTTGAGTTAAGAATGTGGTTTTGGGTGGAGTTACAGAAAACTTGGCAAATAATGGAGCAGCTGTTATTTTCGCTATGATTGGTGCTTGGGCGTACGTTGCAAGCGGTGTTACTCTTCTTCCTGTTGAAGCAGCTGATGAGAGTCCTGCAGAGGTAGCGTACCCGTGTACTTCTTTTGTTGAATATACCGGCGCAGCGTTTTGAGACACTACTGAAGTCTGATATACAGGTGGTGATTGAGTAACATAGGAAATTTGAGGCGCTACGGCTTGATAACTTAATCTGTTTGAGTAACCCGCATCAGAGTATTGATAAGCAGGTGCAGATAGTACTTGCTGGGACACTACTGCTGGCGCAGCAGCTACTTTCACTCCAGAGGTGGTTAGTTGAATAGCAGGCGCGGGGTAGGAATAACCATTGTCACAGTTTTGCAGTTTTTGTATTTGACTGAGGTGGTAGTTGAGGTCTGGATCATGGTATGCTTGAATTGTCGTAATTGTTGTTACCAATAATGCTGTAAGTAGCACCTGAAATAAAAACAATAATTCATGTTTATGACAGTCTAAAATTAAGTATACTTATGACGGTTTAAAAATAATTTAATGGTTGGTACCTAAGTGCTATTTAGAGCACTATTAGATATCCCATCTAGTTGCATTATGCATAAAGTAAGTGAGTGGCTAAATTGTGTTTCGCATTGTATTATTTTACTTACCGACTTCATTTTTGCTCAATTGCCTGTTCACTAATAAATTTTATTGTTTTCGTTACGTCATATAATTTGTTAAGATGGTTTCGGTTTCGGTAATATTTACATCAAAATTACCGAAAACTTCAAGCGTATTTGCCAAACTTAGGCGACAGTCGAAATGAGAGCAAAGTGGGTCTGCAAAGACTTATATAGTGATCTCATATGTGTAAGAACGGGTCATACTTTTAACGTTCGCTAACCAGTGGTACTCAGTGGGCGCGGTCCACGTGTGGTAGATACACTAGGAGTAAATTAGATAGACCTATCAAGATAATAATAATATTCCATAAATTTTTAGTAACATTATCGAAAATGACAAATATATATTGCAATAATAAATGACATATTTAAAAAAAATATATTCAATAGAATAATAAATTGTAATTAAATGTTTTTACTTAAAGGCATCGTAGCCTGTTGGTTTGCAATATTAGCGACCTTGATGGTTTGGCGACTTTATATCGCTTCACCTTCCGATGGTTGCGGGTTCGATCCCTACATAATACAAACATTTGTACTCATGAGCATGTCTGTATTCGTATGGGTGTTTTCTACGTACAATATATATGTGCTTACAAAAAAGTATTTAAGTATGTATGTCTGTTGTCTAGTATCTATAAATAATAATAGCTTTGTTCTTATGTTTTGAATTAGATGGCACTGAGTAATGTGCCCAGTGGCGTTTACATCACATTCATACACCATGAAATACAAATCGGGCGGATACTATTTAGCGTAACTAAATTTCTTATTTAATCGTATTAAATTTCTAACTTACTTTCCAGTAGAAAACACCTTTAAAGCTCTAGTTAAGAAGGTAATAGTCTCGTTCCTTACTAATTCCGAAAATTACGACTTAACGATAAATGTTACGAAAACGATATAGGAAATACTTCTGATTATCTCATTTTTTATTATTGACATGAATCTGAGAGCACATTTTATTAACTTATATTTTGATTCATATAATTTTATATTACATTAAATTTATGATTTATATAATTTTAAAATACATAAATAAATGCTTTGATTAAGAATGTAGCGAGAATCTCTTTGCTTTGCCTCAATGAAATGCTAACAAATTGTCTTTTGTTTACATAAACATGTCTAAAATTCTATTACTATTTTAGAAAACACATTACTTATCTTTTTAAAAATCTTAGGATTTTGTATTAGACTTGTTCTTTTTCATTCAGTACTTTGAGGTTACAATGCTAATTTTCGAACTGTTTGTTAAGACGACGATGCACCTGACAAAAATTGGTCACCTTAGCTTATATTTGTAGTCATAATAATATGTAGGTATCAGGGATATTACAGTATACTCGTACTTACATAGCGTGTTGCTCGCGGTGTACAGAACCTTGAATTCCTATCAAGTACCTATAAGGTACCTTTACTGTTTGTTAGGAACTGATAATTATTAAAATGTCAATTAAATTTGGACAGGAAAACCCCTAAAATAATGACAGGGGTAATAACGGGTCATTTTACTTTAAGTAAACATATACACAATAGGGGCCACAGACAGCTTTGTACACCATGGTTGTTTCGATGCCGAAGAAACAGCTGCTGACGTAATCTTAGAATGTGTAGTTGTGGTCTCCTAACGTTCACATATCTAGAGAATGGTGAGGTTAATCCGTGAACCATGTGAAGACACCAGGAAACTTGAAAACAGACAGTTGTGGAAAGAGCAGGCTATGTTAGCTACGGCTTTAGACATACAAATACTTTAATAAGGGCCTAAGTACGGAAAAGGGAGTCCAATTTACATTTAAGTGGCTTTCTTTAAGTGGGCGTCTATTACTAAAAAAACTAAATACTAACAATATCCTAGATCTAAGCCTAGGCTGTGCAATTAAGACTGTTCTGTGTGTAACTCATTCTTACTTTCTCAATATTCACAAGTAGTTTAGTAATTTTTTCAAATTAGATATAAATATTAATATAATTAGAAATTTAGATAAATCTATACTTATAAAATCGTTTGTCCTGACTATCTGTCGCAGTGCCAAAACTACTAAATTTTGAAATCTGAAACCTTAAAAAAAGGATTTTTCAAAAATTCTACTTTAAAGAGAAGCATCATGCGTGCAAAGCTGTAGGTAGATAGTTGTATTAATAAACTTGTCTGGCTGAGGTAGAAAATTACATGTTATTAGAAACTTTCATATCTCTTTGTAGATTTTAGAATATCGTGTAACTTAACTTTTATGGTATATAATATAAATTGCTTAAATTTAGCATATAAAAATCCTTCAAATGTATCCTTTCGTGGTAAGTGTAGGTGCATACTGACAGAAAAATTAATCATTTATCGAGTACCAGTAATACGTCAATATTGTTTTATCTATATTGCAAAATCTTAAACAATTATTAAGTTTAAGTTTATTTTCTCAAAAAACAAATATATTTCTTACACATGAGCTCTGTATTAATTGAATTTGAATTATCAAATCATCACATGTATATAAAAATTCACGATGTTCGTTTACGCTAGTCTCGTAAACTGCTCAACAGATTTCAAAAAAAATTATAAATTTGTAATAACTAACTACAAACTACATTAAAGAGCTTTATTATTTTATTATTTCCAAGTTCCGATTTTTTTCAACTAGCTTTTAAACCGTGTTAGTTGTGAGAAGTATTTTCAGCATTAGAATAATTAAATAAAAAAATAAAATGAAACATAATCAGTTCCATCCTTTTGTTTGTAGATACATAAATAGAAATCTAAAAATAATAAAATAACTAAGGGATAATAAATAAGGTATTTATTTTCTATGGGCTTCATGTATCATTCTATATAATAATTTTCTGTTGGTTATTGGGTAAAATAGGTAAACTTAAAGATTATTAACTTTATTAACAAATTTTAGTCATTATAAATCAAAATAATATTACTGATATTGAAGAGATTTGATGACAATGATTAAAAAAAGGATTAAAAGTGAGGCGCCGATTCAACCTTGGTGTCTCAGGAGCATGAAGCCGGCAGACTTTATTCGTCGATGTGGATTGTGTAAGTGAAAGCTCAATGATATTTTATGAACAATAATATTATTGAAGCAAAAGGTCTTTTTTAATGTACACGTGTTTTTGTATAACGTCTACGGTCATATGTATTATGTAACATTTTTATTGTTTAGTCAGAATGATATTAGTTCTAATTTTTTAGCTAGCCAACTGTATTTAATTCTCAGATTACTTGTTGGTTATTATAATTGAATTGTTTATGCAACAAAGTACAAAAGTCTTTATATACATACAAGGGTATAATATAAACGTTAATGATCATTAAAAAATGGTCATTTTCAGAGCCGACCTTACTATTATCACGAGAAGAATACATCTTCTTGACATTACTCCTCCCATATAATTTTTTTTATATCGCAATTTTTTCTTATTATTATTTATTTAAATTAATCATTCAATGTGAATACAGAATTACTAAGGAAATACACTCCTATAATTCCCACGTTAAGGAAATGACGAAACGTCCTATAATTAAGCGGCCCTTCTTGATAAAATAAATGATATAAAGTCAAGGTTTTTTATGGAGTGTTCTGGTTTTGTGTTCAATGTAAGTGATTAGATTGGTTTGTATCTATATGTTAGTACAAATAAAAGAATGAATAGTGATAGGTTTCTTTGTACTTAAAAAGATAAAGTAAACGTAACGTTATAATAGTTTTAATGGCAGATGAAATATTAATATCGGAACATCGGACAGGATAATACAGATAAATATACGTAGGTGCATACCTATGAGAGACTTTATTTATTTATGTAGTCTCTGTCTTTATTAGTATATTTTTAAAAACTATTTAAGAAGATACAAACATTATGGCAGTGAATTAAGGAATATTCGCATGAGTTTATTACCTACAATTTCCTCATGTATTAGTTACTGTTAGTAAATTAATGTCAGCAAAAGAGGTTACATACAGGCACCAGCCGGGCGCCTTGCATAAGGCAACAAGCCCCTAAGCTTCGCAGCTTACATGCAAATTACGAAACTCCACGCATGTTACAGAAGGATTTAAACCGTTTTATATCTATTAATACTATCCACGTGAAGTGAGATAATTGCCAAGAAAATGGTGTCGATTTGTGGAGTAATTGAAATAAGGTGGACAGGTATTTCATAATGGTTTCGACGTACGCTGAGGATGTGAGAATGATTTTGTATTTTATTTTGAAAATAAAGATATATTGAAATATTTCGTCTTTACAGGTAGTAAACGTGAGATAAATTAGGTATGTTAAAAGTTTAGTGGTATCCGTGTTTGTCGAAGTAAGGGGTGCCGGAGAAACTATATAAACACGCGCACATGAAAGTGCTAAATAGGCCGTTAATTTTAAAATCTTACAGAATATTAGTGCAGTACCTTCACACACCCTAAAATACCAGCCTTACTAAAATATGTTGGACAGTTATTTTTTATGTCATTTAGAACGACAAACAAGCTGACGGCCCACCTGATGGAAAGTGGTAACCGTCGCCTATAGACATGAGCAGTACCATGGACATTACAGAGTTACATAACATACTGTTAGACATAACATATAATGTTTCGCCCATGATACCCTCCATGCGTTATCACTCCTGAGGACTCAGGTGTTCTACCTCTGTACCCTGTAAATTCACTGCCATATTCCACCCTTTAAACCGACAAACACAACTGTTTCACGGTAGAAACACGAATAATACAGAGGTGCCTAAGCAAATGATTTTTGTAAAAAGTCTCGCTCTGGTGGTAAAACATAATCCGTTATAATTGCTACTGGTGTTCTGTGACTTGTTTGTTTTCATTATCTGACCTACTTCTGTCATGAGGATCGATGCCCGCGATAGATAAAGTGTATACATACTAAGATGTAGACGATGCAGCCCAACATGCTACGGAATTGGCAGGTTTTAGCAGTTGACGTAGATATGTCACGAGTGTATGTTGCAACGCGACGCTGATAAATGACAGATTATCTGCATCAATAACACATTGTTGGTTTATAGTTATAGAAAAATTCTCAATAAAGGTAATTTGTAATTGGTAAAATGAGTTCTAGTCATATACTAATCAATAAAAGAGCAAAATTCGTAGATTGAAGAAAAAAAAACTTATTTTTTTAGATAACAAGGGAAAGTAGTGTTTTTTCTTAACTTGTGAAATTTTGTTTTAGATAAATCAACGTTTTAAAGGGTTACAAGAGTGTTCATTTGATATGTATCTTTGAAATATATATTAAAAAAAGAAATTTGACACCAAAATAATAATATGTAGTTCTTTAAAGTGTACACGTGGTGCAGTAATTAATATCGGCAATTGGCGCCAAAACGAGTCGCAGGGCAGTGAAGGCATATTTTAATTTTTGCGTCTGCTGATCTGCTCTATACTTATTTATACATTATAAAATGAACTGTGCCTTGCATTGCGAGGACTATGTTACAGCGCACGTTTATCTTCATTGTTCAAGAAATTATAACCTGATAGTTCTTGAAAGAGGCAGTACTTTTGAGTTATAAGTATTAAAGAATAATCTATCACGTAAAAAAGCGATTCTAAATTATTAACCAGAAAAGTAGTTATTGTAAAGTGTTGTGTGGTTAACTTTAATACTTTAATGATTTAGTTCTGTAACTTTTTTTGTAACAACAAATGTGGTGATTGTGCATTTTCTATTAAACAGTATCAACGCAGACTTGTTAATTGCGAGCCACATTTTGTTAAATGCAGAAACATTGCAATAAAATTTGCAATACGTTGATCGCATGAGCGATAATTAAACAGTGATTTATCTACTCCGCATAACCGGGTGATTCTGATACGACTTACGCCCAGTAGCCGAAACCTGATTGTTAATCAATACACACGGAGTGTTTGTTTTATTGACTAGTTTTTATATAGTAATCACTTCATAAATGTAATTAGTTTATATAACATTCTAATATCTAGCGCGAGGTTCCCAATGTAATTGATCGGATTTATTGTGGAGCTACAAGGCTAGTTCATTAAGCGAAATTATTTAATTATTATTAATCAGGTAGTTAATGAGTGCCTTGAATATTTTTCAAGTTTATCAGATTTTAATAATTCATTATGGTCATTTCATACATCCTGAACCGGAATGAAAAGTAGCAATAAAATATAATTGTGTGTATAGATCAAATTTTATTTACAAATCAAGATAATTGGTTGAGTAGTTGGCGTCAAAATGTAATAAATGAAATAAAACATATAATTTATGACCACAAACAAAAACAAATAAATATGTATAAGTAAAAATTTACCATGCCATGGTTACGGGTTTCAGTTACATTTCTAACTAAATCTTTGCAAATTTCATCTAAATATGTTCCGTAATGTTAGCATAAAAATGTATCCAATAGATAGATACTATTTCGCATTTACGAGTACAATACTAGCTGCATTGCTAATTGATCACTTGAGAAATCGTAATGCATATTCAGTGTCGTTATTGGAATACGTTCAAATTGTAAATTGTACATGATCTGTTCATACAGACACGATACAATACGGTAGCTGCACTTGATTTGTATTGGTGTATAGTATCCACCCTAACCTGTCACGTTGTAGATTCAAAAGATTTCGCTTTAGAATCTGAGTACTTTCAATATAAAATAGATATAGAATACATGGCATCAATCAATACTGCTATTAAATAATTGCTGTAAAGAAAAATGTACTTTTGGGAACATATACGAGTAAATAAGCAATGCTTTCGTAATAGGTACAAATTACAACGTAACAGAAGGAATACATAGTGAAATCTTGTGTATTTGAGGTTTATAAAAATGGAATATTTTATAAAAAATAATGTCGTTTATACATATAAATTGTACCATACAATTCTGTAAGAAATTAAGATATTTTATTTATTTATAATGTTTGCGATGGTAGAAAACATTTATGTTTTAACTCGTTGATGTCTTTTCTACTAGTGTATCAAAATGTGACATTCTAGTTGTCATGTAAAACTAATAATTGCATCTCGTCTGTATAATGGAACAGGTCACGGCGCGTTCCACTTAGGTATGCTATTAAAAGGAATGATAACATTGAATTACAATGTTTGCAGTGGAAATTTTGATATTTATAATAAATATTATTTTAATTTTGGTAGGAATGTACTCGTATAATTTATTATTAATATATGGAACAGAAAATGGAAAATATTGAACTATTTTTTTCTAAACATCGAGAATGTCTCTATGTACACTATTCTATAGTGTTCTACGAGTACATGACAGTTGTCTAGGATTGCATTAGATAAGACGAAATCATTATATATAGCAATTTCTATTTAATCTGCTATCTTTTCAAATTACTATTAATGTGATTAAAATCGCATTAGTCGTTAAGATTAATAGAATTAGATACTTTAAGCATAGTTATGTTATCGATAATTTATTGAGTGATTTGTGTAGTAACAATAGTAATAATTATTATATTATATTCGTAATAAAAATAATGACTTAGTAGTATCATAGATCAATGTATTACGAAATTTTAAAACAGATAACTGTTAAAAAAATGGGTAAAGTGCAATACTAGTAAAGATTTTAATGTTTAAGATATGACCTTTTTTATATTTGGTAAGCTCTTGAGGAAAGTATAAGAAATGTAGTTTTCTGAAATAACTTAACCAGGTTATGGTTTATTGTGCATGCAAATAATAATAATAATATTTTAAAATTCTTATAACTGATTTTACATTAGATATACTTATTGGTAGTAGAGTTTGATATATAAGATACTAGCTGTAGCTCGTGGCTTCGCCCGCGTGAATCAGTACATAAAATATCCTATGTGCTAAACTGAAATATAACCTACTCATCTACCAAATATATATAGTTAATTTTCGATCTGTAATTTTTGCATTTAAGAGTAACAAGCATCTATATACCTATCCATTAATCTATCGTTATAAACTTTTGCATTTATGTGTATTAATAAGATAGAGGGTATAGTAAAATAGATGAAAAATAAAACCTTTTATCGATTTAGTTGTAGTTAGTTTAGTTGTAAAAGTCAGAGTAGTTACATTAGAGGACTAATGTTCACCTTTTAAGGAGAGTGATCTGTGAATCAATTATTAACATTTCACAAACATTAATGAAAACAAAATGTACAGTTATCCAACAGTGGGAAATTATTGGGTAGATTATTATTAAGTGATTGAATACGAAGGCATAACACTCTACTCCTCAGTACATACTATAGGTATCACTAAGTATTTCGTAATATCCAGGGATACATTGAGTGGGTAGTCAAATACAAACTAACTATAACTACCTTTTCAAGACATATACGAAAAATTAAACATAAAATCAAGGATTCGGGACATAGTGAGTCAGCAATTGTGTTGATGATGTTTCAACATCTGTATGACGATTGTGTCTGTATTGTGCAAGTCACTTTTCATTCCGACTTCTATTGCGTTTTTAATGAATTTCGTTGTGAAATTTAATTTTGTCCTGGGGCTGTGCAGCTTCATTGATAATAATTAGTATAGCAATCTACATTATAGGCACACAGAAATTTGGCTACAAATTTAAGAAATATGGCGGACTCGTGAAAGTAAAAAGAAACAGTGAAAGATTTAACCTCATGTTGACACATTTAAATAATTTACGAGTAGGTATATATTATAACGACCTTGGTGGTGTAGAATTTTAATATACTGTCGCACATTCTGATGGTTTCAGGTTCGTATATATATATATATATATATATATATTTAGTATATAAAAAATCGAAACAAAACTCTTTAAATAGGCTTATGTTCTTCTTTAACGGGAAACGACTCAGTTCGAGATATCTTTTGATCGTTCTAATTTTAAATTTATTTTCTATATTAACTTAACAACAGTTGGAGATCAATGATTAATGGGAAAGGCAAGGCAGAATCCTTATTAGTGGATTGACCATTAATTAGTCAATAATAGTGATTAGTCCTCAGCATTAAGTTAGTTAGGGGGACATTGTCAATAGCTTCCACGCTTGGCAGGCATAAATAAAATATAAAAAAAAAACTAATAACATTTAAGTAATACTTAATTCAAAAAATTATATATGGAACCCGATTAAGCTGCATAGCATGTATTTTATAGAGGTTTTTTTCCTTCGCTGGCGGAGCACCAGTGAAGGGTGATAGATGAGAATGAAAACAGGCCAGTTAGCCCTCATGATGCATTCATCAGGAATTAACCATGATAGTTTCCAGGGCAACCGTGAGGAGGTCGACCTGGTTGGGTTGCTAGCAATGGGATTCTCAGTCTCCATCACTAACAATCCCTTTCCCTCCCTATTTCATAGATGTTAGAACTGTATTATAAAAATGCTCTAATTATTCATTTATTTTCAAAACATACACTTAGTAATCACAAGATAATATTAAAAGGTTTTAAGACATTGAATTATCGGTAACTACATTAGTAAACGTTTAGAGCATAACATCAAATTACTATAATAACTTAAACAGATTTAGGTAATAAAAAGTCGTGACTAACAATAGCTGCAATTTCAAAAAACAAATATCTAAGCAGAGATCAAGGTACGATTGACTGTTGTGCAAAAGAAGATTATGGCTGCGGAGGCTTGGCTTCGGTTTATGATCGATTATCTCGTTCACGATGTGGGCTACTGTCACTACTATTTTACATGAGCTTGATGTCTTTGATACGGTTTGAGTCTATGTAACGTTTAGCGTTCAACATCCTCCGTGATAGGGTTATACATGTTGACCTTGATAAAACATAAAATTTTTGCAAAATTATCAAACGACTTTAGAATATTTTTTATTGGAATGACGATGCGAAAATAAATAATTAGAATACAAATGTTTTTGAATTAACTGATTATGTATCAAAATATAATAAATTTGTTTTGTTCATGGTATTTACATATATGCTTAGTACAAAAAAGACTTAGTAGAGAAGCTTAGTAGAAAAGAAATATTTTGTTACGTACAAATTTATATATGTCGCTAAAGTTATTTAATTACATACAAAATAAATCTTTGTAGATTACATTTTAGGACATATGTATGTCAAGGATTAAAAATAAATAAAAATACTTTTATCAAGTCTTGATAAACGATCCATTATGTTTGTTTGCATAAAAAAAAATTGTACTTATATTAAAAAATCTACACAAATCGATGCTGTCATTTTCATTAATACGAGTATATGGCCCTAGAGTTGGTGAACACTGTGTGTGTATGCACGGAGCTTTGTTTGTGAAGGTTAACATCACAAACAAAATATAAAGTACTCGTAATTCGAGCACCAGATTTAATTGGTTTATTTTTTTATTGTCAATAACTAATGATATGACACAATAAAATGTAAGTCTCATTCAGTTGAACCAGTTTCCAAATGTGCGGTCTCTGACGTACTTGGGTACAATGACTTTGAAAGTTGAAATGATATACTTTTTAATATTATTTTTGTTGTTGTTAGTTCAGTGTTATATTACAATATCTATATACATACTTTTTTATATACTTGCAAATGCTGGTTCACTTGATAAAAAATTCCGTCTACCTCTCGAAACTCTCCACCAAAGAATAATTATTTATTGTTTTCTTTAAAAGATTACCGTAGTAAACTTTTTACAGATGCAAACAATTGCAAGAAATGTTCATACTATAAAAAAATGGGCAACCTTAACGCTAAAAGCGTTTTCTTCCAGCCAACCTTTAGATGGAGAGGAGTAGTTAGATTAGGTCCAAATTAAAAGTATCCGTAATCGGCGAGCGTGTATGAAAACATTGATGAATGTACAGAAAACAAAAGAGGTTTGTTTGAAGCGAAGTATTTGGCATTCCAGTGTTTCTGTCTAGCTTAATGGCAGACAATCGTGTTAGTAAGATACGCTATAATTTTTATGTCTTTGATTTTATGGGAAAAGTATTCGGTTTCATTAATAGAACACTCTTAATACCATATTGATGATTTTAATCTCACTCTGTATGTATCAAAGGCAATAATAATAATAATAACTTAAATCACTTGACTATCTTTATTAGTATAATTATTGAATTGTTCGTCAACTACTTTTAGAGTAAGTACGAAAGTACATAGAGGTCGTTGAGTTTTAAATTAAGACTGGCTTTAATATATGTTTATTTGGTTCTTGTAGCCTTGATTTGATGTAACAGATAATATACAACCTGTGCATGTCGAGACAATATGTGGTGATGACATATGAGTATCTATTTGTATCGGGGATTAGAGATCAAGCTGATGCGATGTCATGCTGGGGATATGAAACGTGCATAAGTAGATAGATAAAAGAAGCGGCTTAAATCTTGATAAGGTTACGAAAGTAACTCTGAATTTTGTAATTCATAGAGTTATTATGTATTTGTCGTATTAGGAATTTACATTAACAACTGATGTGGAAGGAATTTTTTCTAGGGGATAGCTAGTGAATCCTGCTAATGTTATAGAATTGTGCGAAGATATTTGTATTTTTTAAATCGACTTAAAATGGTGGTGGTAAAAAATTATTACATAACATACTGCGAGATCTATGATGTGTTGTTTTTATGAGCACTAGAGTATTATAGCAACATGCAAAAATGTGTTAATTTTCTAGTAGTAATTATCAAAGTTCTAGTAGTAATTAACAAAAATATAAAAAAATTATAGTTGGTCAGATAATGAGACATTCTGCCGTTGTCCAATCGTATTAGAAAAGGGGAGAAAGGGATTGTTAGTAATGGAGACTAAAAATTCCATTGTTGGCAATATACCCAACCATGTCGACCTCCTCGTGGTTCCCCCTGGAATCTATCATGGTTAATTCCTGATGAATTTATCATGATGGGCTAACTAGCCTGTCTTCATTCTCATCGATCACCCTTCACTGGTGCCCCGCCAGCGTATACCGTTAGCGCAGGAGGGGTTATCATACCATTTTCACCCATCAAAAAAAATCGTATTAGAGAAAAAACGTTAATATGATAGAATGTTTCAATTTGTACTACTTAATTTTATTTATTTATAAATATGGTTATATTTTCATTGATTTTATTGAAAGCTACTAACTATATTTATAAAATAGCGACAAGTCTATAATAATAACAGCTATTGACTAATACAAAAAGATTAAAAGAAGCAATAAAATTAGCATAGGTGTTACTTGTAAATCTAGTTAAGTTATAATTGGGTGTCAATTAAACATGTTGTGTAATACTTACTGTAGAAGTGTAGATACAATTAATGAGTGGTTTACTTAAGTGCAAATTCTACATATATTAATAATGTCATACCATTTTTCAAAGTCCTGCATCAACTTACTTACGTCACATTTTGAAATCTCATACTCGTATATAGTACAGTAATATTAGTAGATTTGAATGTGACTACGTAGACTTATCTAATATTCGCATATGGGGTCAGCTAAGCCGTCGACCCATTGGGATCTTTTGTGCTTAACGATATCCCGCGGTTTAAGATTCCTGGCTCTGGATAAACCGTTCCCAGTAGACTCATACGTATTCTTGCTAATGAATCACAGTTGCACCTTAAATGTTCCGTGGATTCCGATTTTTCACCGCACAGTTTGCACAGTACAGTACGTACACTTCATACGAAATATATATATTTTAGATACTGTTTTCCTTTAGATTCAAAAGAAAATGTCTCAGATAAAGATTATATCATATTTAACTTTAATAATTCTTAATAACGTATATATTATATTTGCTTGTATATCTCGTTATATAAATATTTATTTTAGATATATATTCAATGCTACCTAATTATTATTTTATTACGTATACAGATAAAGATAATGCTTTGATTAATTATGTAGGAATTAGCGTAAATATCTGCAACATATAACGAACTACTATTTATTAATGTACGAACTATACGTAGGTACTTAATAATTTTATGTTTTATTTTACATAAAAGCATCATCATCTTCATATCAGCCGTTTACTGTCCGCTGCTGAACATAGGCCTCCCCCAAAAGAGGGTCTTGCCGCCACCGCCGCCGTTTAGTAGTCGCCACGCTTGGCAGGCGGATTAGTTATCGCAGTTAGCTTTTGGTGATATTTTAGAGGGACGCTACTGCCCATTCTTGACCATAGAGTGCCTTTAGTAGCTTCTTATGACACCCACAGGAAAGGAAGTGGTGGCTCATTCTATGCCGGGTCTACACTTTCTTTCACATAAAATACTAACTTCGATTGTTATAAAATTAGTACAGGATCAATATGGGCGTAAAGTATATTTTGATAACAAAAAGAATCATCAATATCGGTGATGAGTTTATGAAATTTTAGGTCTTACTGTAACTTTTCATCGGGTGATATTTGACCAAGCACGAAATCATCGTTCAAACAAAAAAATGCATACAGACAAAAAATAGCGGTGTATTAAAATATAGTCTACTTATTAAAATCGTTTAGAACTTATATAATATGTGTAGCGTTAGCTTGTAAATTCAAACTTACGCCACCTAGCGTCACTATAGAGTATCTTTAAGAATTTTGGCGGTTAAACCAATAAGCAAATAATGAGATTTGGTACTAAGAAATATTAGGTATTTGCTTAAAACAAGTGCTAGTAGTATTGCATAGAAAACAGAGATGTATCTAGTATCATATATTACAATATAAAGATCTACGGCAAAGTAAAGTTTTTTTATATTTTAATTTATAATAAAACGATATAATAAGTATACTTAATTGTTTAAGAAAACATAGGTATATAATAAATTACTTATTACTGATTAAGCCGCGTATAATAGCAACTCCATAAGGGGCCTACACCGATTTTATAGGGGTGTTCTTCTGCAAAACTCATATAGCCTTTTGACTACGGAACAACAAATACCCATAAAACAACGATAGTCACTGACCCGTAATCCAACGCAACTGATCCAGCGTGCTATTAAAAAATAGCACACACACCAAAACCAAACTGACGAAGACTGCAGGATATGGAGACATTTTTTTGTGAAAAAAATAAATAATTACCACACGTGATAGTTATATTTTCATTAAATTTCAATATATTTTAATAATAATAAATGACGAATATATATATTTTTAAATACAAAGAGATTCGTTTTTATTAGTGGCCAGTTATATTTGCAGTACTCCAATGAATATCTTGACGAGAGTACATGGTCAATGGTGTTCGATGTTGTTATAGATATCTGAAGCATATTAGACAAGAAACTATAAATTTGTAAAAGGTAAAATATCATAAATAATAGATTTTGTATAAGTATTCATTTTAATTTTATTCGAAATATATTGTCAAATTTCTCATAAATCTATTTTATTTATTACACCGTTCTATCCTTTCCTTGTATTAAATTCTCAGTTTGAATGAAAATGACAAAACGGTGTAATAGTTAAAACAGTTTTGTAGGATGTTTTAGTTTTAATGAATAAGGGGGTATATCTTTAGTTTAACTGCAGTAATAGACGGCTGTAGGAATAAACTCACGTTATAATACTAGATTAGTAGCATAACGTGGGGAGTCGCTATTATACATAAACTATTTGGCCTAAGATGGATTAGTTTTAAATTGTCAGGAGATAAAGCGATAAGAACATTAACAAGACGGATAGGTATAATGAGCTGATACAAATACAAGGATTTTTAGTACTTGTCTTGTTTATCTAACTTAAGGTTTGCATACAGTACTATTAGTAATTGACAACAGGACCTTTGTCCATGCAAATACATCCGCTGCCGAGCACATTGTTTTACATTATCAGATCACCTGACACTATAAAAAGGGAACTCATTGAGAGACGACCCTTCAATACATACCTTATTCTAGCGAAGAATATATTGTTCTAATAATGAATTTGGTATATTTTAAGGCACGTATAATATTTATATAAATCATTATACACTTAAAGTTGTAACTATCATTATAATAAAAATAAACTGCATAAAAATAGATGAAAGTAATGTATTTCGTCCTAGATCTGATTCTGTGTAAAATTAAAAAAAATAATGTGTCCAATGCAATTTGTTAATCTCCGTATATATCGATCATGTGACAGCATGGAGTTTTCTTGCATTGTATGTATACTGAATCGTTTTATCGCGAATGTTTTTAAATTATAATATATATATATATATATATATAATTAAATTTTTATTTAAATTTACAATCAATATTTAGCGTAATGCGTTTAGATGTAAATTGTTTATTGCCGACGTTTCGTTCAATATTAACTATAAAAAATTTATTGTAAATTTGTATTAAAGCCACTATTCCTAAATTATTGAAAAGTTTGATTTACTTCAATGTAGATTTATTTCAATTATTAAAAGCAACGTATATTAGTTCATACGAATATCAGCAGAATTAATAAATACACAACAGCAGATCATATAGATAATATTCAAAATTGTGTGCAAATGAAGACGAATATGCAATAAGCAAGAGATGTGACTATGGTGTTAATTTAGATTAAACTAACTCTATAAAGTTCAGACAGTTTTATCTAAAATGAATTATTACTTCCAGATGTTACTGCTTACGAATGGTTGGGTACTAGCAGAAGGATCGCCTGTGGCAATGTTGCAACACGCTACTTCATCACAAAGCATTGTATTTCATCCTTCATCAGCTACCACTTCTCCGCCATCTGTCTCTGGTATTTATTCTGCAACTTTAATAGTATATTAAAAATTAATAGATTAGCATTCTAAATTAGTATGTATAACGTTAGTAGAAGTAGTAAAAGTTGAAAGAAAAGATGAGCATGTTACACTGTGGTACTTATTAGGGTTAATTGAATTTCGAAAACAGAAAGATAGTATGATAATCATAAAAATCTCGCTAGAAATAATCTTTATTTCATTTTATTTTTTATTTTTATAGCTCAGTCTCCGGAAGATCTATATGCTGCGAATGAGGTACTTATATATTATTTTTTATTTATGTTATGTACATGCGTATACTCAAATCTATATCCCTTGCTTGTTTTTATTTATTTTAGTGTATCTCTATTTACTTTTAATTGTCGTCTTGCGTAGTTTATATGATTTAAGGTTTTTGTGGTTAAATGCCTCCGTTTCAATTATTTACAGCCAAAATATGAATACAAGTATGAGGTGTCAGACCATCAGACTGGTGACAGAAAAAGTCACTGGGAGACCAGGGACGGGGACAGAGTGCGTGGAGTATACACATTATATGAACCTGATGGTGCTTTAAGAACTGTTGAATATTCAGCTGATGCTATTCATGGGTATGTATTGTGATGATTTTTATAAAATAAATAAAAAATATTTGGCGATACTACTTGTTTTTGCTACATCACGTATACAAGAAACAGTACAAAGGGTATCAACATGGGTATCATTAGTCCAATATCTGTCTGTAGATAAAAACTGTGTAACTTCATCGGCATAGGTATAAATAATATATGTATAGAAAATTCGAACATTAAATGCCTTATAATCAATTTATTTTTATAGGTTTCCAATTAATTTGTTATTAATTAGATATATTTCAAAGCGGTTTAACTATTTTAGTGTAAAAGAAACGTTTTACACAAATGGAGTTTTCCTGTTAGATTGTGGGAATATTTTAATTTATTTGCTTATTAATTAGATTAGATTACTATTATATTTATTTATTATTTATATTTACAGATTTAACGCTGTGGTCAAAAGAGATGAACCGACAAGACACCAGCATTCACATCATGATTTTTCACACAAATCATCCACTAATAGTAATATTCAAGATAGTTATAACGCATCTCCAAGTCTTACTGGTCTTACAGAAGAAAGAAATGGATATCTGAGTTCTACCAACGAGAAGAAACATTCCGGGTATCATGCATCTAATACGCCATACGATTCTACAATTGGATTCACTGTAAACCATTCGACAAAAAATAGTGGCAGTAGTTTTAAACTATTTTAGAATAGATAAATATGTAATTTAAATATCTATTAAAGATATTATTAGCTAAGGATAATGAAAGTAACTATTTATATTTGCCGTATTATGGAAAGGTTATTGTACTTTACATACATATGGTATTTACACTCACATTTATTGTAACACTTCTAGTATTGCAGGCGTCCATAGGTTACAGTGACTGTTTACCATCAATAATGCTGTATGCTTGTTTGCCATTTATTTGCCACGTGGTATAAAAAATAAACATAGATTTCACTTGCTACTCATTCCGTTGTGGTTTATTTTTTAATATTCTTCAAAGAATCTATCTAGCCGTAATGATATAGATTTCAAATTTGTTATTAACTCCATTTTTTTTTGTTACTTGTTTACGAAAGTTTGTTATGTAAACTATTTTATTTCTAGTTATTTTGTTTAAAAATATCTATTTGAAAATGTCTTTTATAAATTTGTTATCCATATTTATTTTTTTACAACACAGGGGGCAAACGAGCATGCGGCTCACCTGATGGTAAGTGACTACCGCCGCCCATGATCACCCACAACACCAGCGGCATTGCAGGAATGGACAGTCGTTCTTATAATATTCCCATCGAAATATATTTGTTAGCTAGTATTTTATAATCTCATTTAGTTTTATACATTATGTACTAATATAAGATGTAAACACAATAAAATACCTTTGTTTTTCTATATGTTTTATTTGTTAGCGCTAACAATTTTTGCTGTGATAGTACAGATTCATCTTTTTTAGATGTCGAAGTAATAGAAGTCGTAATAATATTGTCAAGCTTAATGGTGATGATGATGAGAATGATGCGGATGATGATGATGCGTCTTATGATGAACATCAGCATTGAATCTGGAAATACAACTTTCGATTAGTTTTAACCGGTAATTTTAAATATTAAACTCTGTAAGCAAGTGTAGTTTTTATATCGAATGTTACAAAAATACATGTTTACAAAAAAAAAAGAACTATTAAACGAGTGAATACATACCCATGGTGATCATCAGCGGTGTAATGAACGGTGCGCACATTGCCATCCGGCTCTACGAGGGAGTAAGTTCCCCTCACTAAGTCGCCATGTCGCCACTCCGTTTGCGACTTGTGATCGCCGGTGTGTGGATCCGACACATGGTATGAAAATTTATAAGAAGGGTACGAAGAGGCCTGTACAAAAGATAATGCATATATACTATGATGTTCATGATGTTGTACTGCTGGTAATATCTATAGACTACGGTTATTATTTTGAATTAGTTGTAATACTTAAAAGTATTTCGTAAAGTTTATTATTGTAAAGTTAAACCAACTTGCATAAAAAAACCTTACTAGAAACTGTATGCAGAAATTCTTTAAATAACGTACTTATGAATATTAAGATAAAAATGATGACATTTGGTAACGGTGTGGTTCCGTTTGTTTACTTAAATTATAGGTTATTAAATAATATCGTGGCAATTAGTAAAATAATTAGTTATTTAATAAAGAAAAAAATATTTAGATTCAAATGAACTTAAATTTAAGCACTTTTGAATAGTCATTTTTTTATATTTTTTTATTACTGCCCATTCGGAGCCTAATTTTGCTAAGAAGAACAGGCAAGAAACATAGCTGTTGCTTTTGTCAAAAATTTAATTATATAAATAATTATTTTTTGTGAATACAAATTACTAAACAGTATCAGATCTATATATATATATATATATATATATATATATATATATATATATATATATATATATATATATATATATATATATATATATATATATATATATATATATATATATATATAATAGTATTATTGAGCAGTGGAGTGCAAACAAAGTAACTTACGTGATCCCAATGTCCGTGGTCGTCACCACGGTGAATGCCTAGATGTCCACTGTGATGACCAGCGTGGTGGATTATCTGGTGGTGAGCACGATGCAAGTTATGATGTCCAATATGATGGACGACTTGATGGTGAAGGTTATGATGGCCGTCTGTACGAGACTGGTATGATATTGCTGTTGGATGACCCTCAATACTGGCCACTAGCAGGCAAACCACAGCAATCTGAAAATATTACGAAACAATAATATACATAATAAGTAAACATAACATAAACAAACAATATTTCGAATTTTCGAATTTTAAACAAAAATGTGTTTAAAATTCGAAGTATTGGAGATAAAATGTTAGTAAGTGACAACATATAAAGAAATTAATTTATTTTAATTCTATTTTTTTCCATTCTTTATGTAGAGTTTTAAATAAATATATGTAATCTTATTTTTGTTAGTTTATTTACTTGGGACCACATTTTCGTATAATTCTCCTGCTCAGCTTGACTTCAAGTTATAAAATAAACTGAAAAAATCTTCTTTTATATATACAAACCGCTAATTGGATGCTATATAAGTAGGATGACAGTATAGATTTATAGCAATAATCTAGGCAATTATAATCGAATGAGTAAAGCGTGAGTGGAGACTAAAGTTCTCTTAAAAATAAGTGTAGTAAAAATTAAAAAGATTTAATTTTTGTCTTGGTAGATTTAAAATAAAAAGGGCTAGTTAAAATTATTAAAATACTATCTATATCTCACGGCTTTACTTGCATGATTTACTATATATATGATCATAAGTCATACATCTGTGTATTAAATTTTATTAAAAGTTGAGCTGTTAAAAGTTGACAGAGTATTTAAAAAGTATCCAAATATATTTATAAGTTTTTTTATAGTTTATATATTTTATATTTAAACAAATAAAAGAAATTACAAAGTTTAATAGTTAGTTTAAATGGTACCGTATAAATTATTAATCAAAATTATTTATTTAATTTAAAACACACATCTGTTACTATTAATTAACTTTCATCATTTTAGTAGAATTAGTCATTATGGCCATATAATGACTATTAGTGAAAATATTACAGTTTTCCAATACCAATAAGATAATTTCATATTTTTCAAAAATACTTAAAGTAGTGTTACGATTGTTTCAGTTGTTCATTGATTATAGTTTTATTTTTAAGTATTATTAGGAATAGTAAATAAGTGTGTAGCTCACCTGATAAAAGAGGTTATCACTCTCTGTAAACATGAATTTCCCAAGAAATAAGTTACCTGTTCGTGCTACACTATTTCTGTCAGAATCGAAGTCATTTTTCAACCGACTTCAGAAAGAAGAAGGTTCCCAATTAGATTGTATTTTTTTAGCTTAACATATTAGGAATTTTAGATATTCAAGTATTATTTATTGGTATGTCGATATCGACAGTTAGATGGTATCATCACAACACATACCGAGTCTCATCATAACAATGTATGTTTGAGAAAGCGTAGTTTCCCTGCATAGTGCCAAGGGTGTACATAATAATTGATGCACAAATATTTGTTGATCGGAACTGATTAATCCGAGTAATTGTTTGATATGAATCTGCCATTTACACGCAATTCATTATACCAACTAATTACTAACGTCAACACACACATACCTTCCTTTAAGTGAGAGTTGAGCATGTTAGCTTAATAAGTTTAGGGCTTTTACGACCATGTAATTTTAGATATAATACATTTAAATAAATACATATAATGTTAACAGAGATTTAAAAGAGTAACTGTTGAGTTTGTTGCGGGTTCTTCTAAACAGGTAACAAACTTTAAAACCCTGTACTAGATTAAAAAATTACGATTTAAAAGTACATGTAAACAAGTCTATTTGAATAAATTTGAATCTCATTTTCATGTTCTAGAATAATTAGTAATTATATAATTATAATATATTATTATATTTCCGTATGTCTTTGCAACGAAAGGAAAAGGTTTGTAACATTATGTTTTATGATGCTTATGATATTCTTTATGTAAATCTCAGAATATCTAATATTTAGTTTCCTCATTTCATTAAATTCCGATAGTTTGTTTGATCCTCTACTTTCAATTGGTTAAATAATTAGGCCCATCTCTTATATTGGATTTTTTGTTAATTATCTACCCGGCCCTGCTTAATACGAGTAGATAGAATTTTAGAAAATAATATATAGCTTATGTTATTTTTAATGACTTAACTTTCTATGAAATAATTTTTTAAATCGGTCGAGTAGTTTTAAGTTTCTCCTTTACAAACAAACAAACAGACATTTAAATCTTATCTCTTTATAATATTGATATAAATTAATGATAAATAGGATATTCAATAAATTAAGTGACCATTGAATATTGTATTCACTTATTAATTATTTGTTTATAAGAGACACAGCAATATAACTGTTTATAATAACAGAATCATTAATTAGCTAATATGTAGTTATTTTAAAAACGAAGGCCTGTTACTCTTATGGGCCGTGCCGGGCATCCCGCAGGGATCTGTGTTATCCCCGACGCTATTTCTGCTGCATATTAATGATATGTTATCCTTAGGTAACATTCATTGTTATGTGTTCATGTATTGTAACAGCACTGAGGATGCCCATATACAGGTCGTACTAATGTCACTCGTTCCATCGTGGAGGACAATCGTGAATAGCTTGTGTTTAAAATCGAGAAATTGTTAACTGGAGTCTCTGATTGGGGAAGACAAAACTTAGTTCAGTTTAACTCCGCTAAGAAATAAGCTTGTGCGTTCATCGCTAAAAAAAAAACCATTTCCTGTGGCTCCACAGTTCTGGGGCACGTCTCTTAAAGCATTAAGATCTTTGGTGTCGACATCTCTAGTAATGTACAGTTCCGTGGCCACCTCGAAGATAAGGTGAAGCTGGTAACCAAAAAACTCGGTGAGCTCAATAGAGCGAAGCATTACTTCACGCCGGATCAGCGATTAATGCTCTACAAATCGCAAATCCGGCCCCACATGGATTATTGCTATCACTTATGGGCGGGAGCACCTAAATACCATGAGAATTGTCGACGACCCCAGGCTTGCAAGCGGTATTGAACCCTTAAGTCTTAGCAGAGATTATAGTTCACTCTGCGTGTTATACCGCTTGTACAACGGATTGTGCTAAGAGAAATTGTTCAATATGATGCCCACGGCCCCTTTCTACCATCGTGTGGTTCGCTATCGACAGGGAATTCATCTTCATATCCTACAGGCTAAATGGTCACGTACAGCGCGGTTTCAGAGATGTATTCTCCCACGAGGTTTTCCCAAGAGACTATAGTTTGGGGTTCTTCAAAAGGGGGGTAAAGAGATTTTTTCAGGGTCGACAACGCGCGCGTAATACCCCAGGTGTTGTCGGGGTATTACGCGCGCGTTGATATGAATAAAAATAAATCTTTTCTTAAATTTTTGTTCGTTCAGGCTATACACTAGAGAAATATATAAATAGAAACTGTAGATAAAAGAAAGGTTTTGTAAGAGATAAAATTATTTAGTGATTTATTTATTTATATTACCTGCAGTTTACAGATGATCAAACTCCAATACACTACAAGTAATAATAATTTTTGTACATGTCAAGTTATTTACAATAATTAATACTAATAATTAACTATAAAAGATTATGCTTATATTCAATTTTCATAAAATGTCAATTCTGTAATTTAATTCCACTATAGTAAATAGGAAAACGATAACCATATATAATACAATGTCAAAATCAATTTCAATTAAAATGTCAATATATACATTAGAGCAAACATTAGAGAACATGCGTCAACCAATCTTCCTATTGGTGTGATGGCGACTTTTTTGCAAGTTATGCCGTTGAAGATGATGAAGGGAATGCTGATGATAAGTCTTGCGATGAACACGAGCTCTGAAACTTAAACAAGTAAATTACTTAGTTCTGTGTAACAAGCGTGTGTTACGAAACTTAATAATGTGCGGCTATTAGTTTGCTGATGATGATGATAATTCATATTAGCCGGGTGAAATAGTGTTGTTTGGTGTCCATGGATATTGATTAGTAACATACAAAGAGACACGATCTGTAAATACAAGAATATATATATCTACACAAATATGTACACATAAATATGCAAATTCTTCTTATGATGTGTCAAATCATCAATATCATCATAATCATGTCAGCCGTTAACTGTTAGGCATGCGGGTTGGTAACCGCAGTTGGGCTTTGGTGATGTTTTAAGAGGAACGCTGCTGCCTATCCCTCAACCATTAAGTTTCCTTAATCGCAACTTACGACAGCCACTGGACAGGACAGGGTGGCCCATTCTATGCCGGGACCACGCGGCAATGACGTGTGACACTGAGTATAAATTACGTTTCTTATTTATTAAGTATAGAATTAGTGCAAACTTTGAGAAATATGGATGATTTTGAGAATATATAATATATAAAATATCTTGTTAATGGTATATTTACTTGGAGCCACTATTGTTGTAGACTTCTTGGTTTGATATTAAAGCGACACAGTCTCTTCACTCGTCGCGACCGAGTTTTCGATTATGATGCTTTTTAATTCGTTACGTGGAAAGACATGTATAAATCTAAGCCACGATAAAGTAATTCAAGTATAATTACTATAAAATAATGAAATATTAATTTTAAAATCTTATAAAAATTTTGTCACGATCTATACTACAGTTTTTAATAGCTATATCTGTGTAACACAATAAAAGACATCGGTGAATTGAGAACCTCTTTTGGTAGTCATTTTAAAATAAGAATAAATATATATTTATATACATAAGAATAAATATTATAAGACTAGTATTAGGTATAATATCACTACCGATTAACAAACGTATCACTGACATGTGTCCGTGTAAGCTTTAGAATCAAAACTAAAGTGAAGTGTCTTTACGTGGTAATTACAATGCATTAATATCCATGTACAAATATTGGTTCATTAACGAATCAATACCAGTAACATTTTTTAATGAAAGAATTTACTTTCGCATGTATAGTGCTTGTCATCTGAAAGTACGTACGTTTGAAAATTTTTTATATAATATTTTTTAAATGTAATATTAAAACGGCGGAGCAAATTCGAATTGTATCGTGCCATGAGAGAGATATAGCTTACAGATCCCTCTATTATATAAATTTACTTGTATCTAGAATTACAGACAATTATAAAAAAAATTCTATTATGATATTACTATGAAAATATATTAACAACACCAGCGGTTTGCATGCGTATATCCAATATATTTGATATATACAATAAGTAAATTTCCTAATTATATATTATAATATATCAAATTTAATTCAAATCTATGTAACCATTAAAGCAAGATTTAGTTGAGAGAGCAAACGTATAAAAATTTTAAAAATATTTATAATATTTTTAAAATGAAATTCTTTTTATAATCAAAGAATGTTTACAAAATGGATTTAGAGTTCAATGCGGGAGACGTTGTAAGTGTAATTACATTTATAATAATGATTTTAGTACAGTTCAGCTCTAAAGATCATAAGCCAGTTTTGATATTGATAGATATATGTTTAACCAAGAAACATAAAAGTAATTTATAAAAATATTAATAAAACAACATATAAGAAATTATATAGTATATCTATGAAATTTATTCAGTAATATTTATGGAATAATAATCATATTACAATTTTTGTAAAATAAATTTATTTTAATTATAGATTTTTTATTTGCAATTTAGATTAAAACAAGGAAGCTACTTGTAATATTATGAGGAGAAAGTGGATTATATATTTTTTGTAATTTGTGAAATTATTTCAACACATATTATAAATTAATAAGCAAATAACTGTTCTCGTAGTCTATTTAGGTTACAAACATTAAGGGAGAGATTTTTAGTGTACTCCGTGCAAATGGCTATGTCCACGAGGGGCGGAGTATTCCCAGTTTCTCTGATTGTCACGTATATATTGCCTCTGAAGTTCCACTCTTGCTCTGTTTCTACGTGAGAGGGCTTCCAGAAGTTCATCGTAGTTTCTGAATTCTTTAGGCTCCTGTGTATGGACATTCCTTGGCAAAATAAGGTACTGGCCACCAGGACCTCGGGTGTAGTCCCTGCCTCCGGTCTTTAAATATCTATAGTCGAGTAACAATGTAGGTTCGTGGTAGTCAGGAAGGTTGACGCTCTCAATGATCCTGGTAAAATTAATGATTGAATTAAATTAAGGAAAAGTTACGACTAAGAAGAATTATGTTGTGCTAGTATTATTCAAAACTTCTATCATACAATCAGTTCACTAGAAAAATTCAGCTTTTTTTAAAATAGTACAGCAGTTGCTGGGAAGGTATATAGAGCAAAGGATTACAAAAGAGGTGGTAAACAAGCATACAGTTCGTTTGTGCCGGTCACTGTAGCCTACGGATGCCTGGCACGTGCGCGTTGCCGACCTTGAAGAAATCTTATTATACTCTTTTTGACGAACCCCATATTGTAGTCTCTAGGGAATACCTTGGCAGGGTACTCAGTCTACAGTCTGAGTGTTCGTGGGAGAAAATTTTCCTGGAACCGCACTGTACGTGACCATTTAGGTTCAAGCGTGTGAGGATGAATTCTCTGTTGATGGCGAGCGGTGCGATGATAAAAAGTGGCTGTAGGTATCATTTCAAACAATTCCTCAGAATATAATCCGTTATACAAGCGGTATAATACCGAGAGTTATCAATCCTCTGACTTACATGCTACTTAATGGACAGTCTCTAATAAGAGGAGAATAGAATTGATACTTTCGGTAATTATGTAATATTAACTGTTTTTTTTTATTTTTTTTTTGGAAGGCAATTGTTAGTCAGAAAAGTCAATAATATTTAATAAATTTATAAAAATAAATCGATAATGTTAGCTATTATTTGTTTTTTTTTTTATTTTGAAGAATATAGATATTTTTCATTGAAAGTTATTACTTTTTTGCATTTTTCTTTATGAAACAGAATTTTCATTACCTACCTAATTAATTGTACTGTTTATTTTGAATGACAATACTAACCGATGTCCACGAGATAAATCAGGGATGCCCTGAAACAAAAAGATTGTTAAGTGTAAATAAATTCAAGAAATATTTTTTTAATAAAGAAATTTGGGTATATTATGTACGTATAGATAGGTTGGTAGTAGAGTAATTGTGGTTTTATTTCCAACAAACAATACATTTGATTTTATATGAATATAGATTGATTAATAATAATAACAATGAAGGTTATATACCACGGTCGGTTCACGCAATCCGTATGCGCCGCTTGGGGCAGCTACTTGTTCCACTTCAGGCTCTCCAGCGCACAGCGCCGCAGCTGTAGCTAAAACTACAAACTGAAATATTTTGTGAAATAATTATTTTATAATCTTAATCTTTGGATATATTAATAGAAATAAGAAATTATACAAATTTAAAATGTTTGTCTATTTTGATACAAGACTTTGAAGTTGACGACTAACATAAACACTATGCAAAGAAAGTATTTATAAGTAGGTAGGTATAAATAATTCGACTACCATCACTTATTTGAAGCCGATGAAAAATAATAGTACATATTATCTGAACTATATATTGTAAGTGCATTAAAACTACAAGTGAAACTACAAATATGTGTGTAGTTTTTAGAGCAATGTTTTCAAAAACTATAGTTTGTTAGTTTAGTATGATCATTATTATAAGGTTTATTAAATTTAATAGTATAATGGAAGATATGGAAGGCCATTACTGGATAGTTCATCTACTCTGACTGACGGTAGGGTCAGTAATCTTTAACTATTATTATTTCTATTGTTTTATAGTCAATAAAATAAATCATATTAATAACATATTACATACTTTTTATTACCTATTAATATAACATATATATTTTAATTTAACTTAAAATTGTTTTCTGATAATCGGTAAAGGATAAACTTTTTGAATGACTTCAAAAAGGAGAATATTTTCAATTTGTCCTTATTTTTCGCGCTGTCTTCGCCAATTCTAAACATTTTTTGATTTTTCTTTTATAATTGATTTCAATTTTTTAAAATCAATTTTATTTTTAAAGTTTATAAAATAAACTTACCCAAAACATGTTGTCGGCTGAAATACAAGAATCACTATAGACTTATGCATCAACTATTTGTATTCAATCTGAATTTAAATAGAATAATTACGAATATATAATGTAATGATTAAATAAACGGATGTTCGTGTGTTCAATGCATTATTAAATCAATTTGCGTAATTGATTGGCTGTATACTACAGTTTAATGCTTAAATGATTTACATCCTAAAGAACTTATAGATAATTTTATAGTGATGCATGGAATACGGTATCTTCATTGCTAAAAATAATAATATAGTTATCATTGTTTTATTTTTTGATGTTTTTTCATTATTTATTATTTTACGTAAAGTATAATAAAAAAACCAAATATTCTCACCGTAGCTTTATAATACATATACGCAAATATTATGTATATCCGCAGGAATCTTCAACTGTTACTTAAAAACAGTCATCTCAATAATCTTAATATTAGATATGATAACAAACATGATGTTTCGAAGTATCGTTTAGAAAAAAATATAGGTCTTTTATGGCAATGGGCATTAAATATTATAATAGGATACCGAAAGATATTTAAATCTACTTTTTAATAAGTTTAAAATTGATATTAAAAAAATATTTATTGAATAAAACCTATTACATACTAAACGATTACTTAAATGACAAATGTGCGTGGGTAAGTCAATCATGCACGGGCTTTCAACGACCAATCTTTTCAATTTATAAGCGCATTTTTTTCAATAATATATGTTTTTAGTTCTGATAAAAAAAAAAAACAAGATTTAAAATTTTAGTATTTAGTGTTTCTAGGAGTCTATTTTGCATTGCAACTAGAATTTTTCACTCTACTAAAAAAATGTCAGCTATAATTGCTGTGAATTAATATAAGATTAAGACGGTGAAAGAGCATACTATATTTATTGCAAAAATAATTGTCAAAATTGAGAACTGGCGACGAAATCTGGATATAAAGCCGCTAAAAAGCTTGAAATTGAAAAAAAAATTGAGAAATTGTAGACTTATGGACCTCTTTTTTTTTAAATAAATACAGACTTTTTTAGATTCACATTTTGCTATTTGAAATACATATACATAATAATTACTTATTTAATAAAAATAAAAATTTTGAAGTCAGGAAGCGATTAAAAAAAATTGATTCACTATGTAGTTGCATATACGAGGTTTGTCCGGAAAGTACGTATAAAAGTTTTTTAAAAATTTTATTTTACAATTATTCAGGTAAATCAATTTTATCCCCTTCAAAGTACTCCCCCTGTGACATAATGCACTTGTGCCAACGCCGTTTCCACTGTGAGAAGGCTCCTTGAAAGTCCTCTGGTTGTAGGTTTCTCAGCTGCCCCGTCGTAGCTTTTTTTATCTCATTTATGTCCCCCAAATGCCGCCCCCGAAGTACCAATTTGGTTTTTGGGAACAAGAAGAAGTCACACGGGGCCAAATCCGGCGAATAGGGGGGTGTTCGGTCACCGTAATGGAATTTTTACTCAAAAACTCACGGACAACAAGAGAGGTGTGGGCAGGGGCATTGTCGTGGTGAAGAATCCAACGCCCCTCTCGCGCCAATTCTGGACGAACTCGTGCCACACGAGCTTTGAGGCGTCTGAGCACATCGACGTAGAATTTTCCATCAACTGTCTGGCCTGGAGGGACGAATTCTTGATGGACAATCCCCCGAACATCGAAAAAAACAATCAACATTGTCTTGACATTTGAGCGGGATTTTCTTGATTTTTTTGTTCGTGGTTCCCCGGATGTCTTCCACTCTTTGCTTTCACGGCCATTCTTGCCGAGTTTCGAGAGAAACTTGATTACGACGCGCTGCTCTTCAACGGAAGCGGGCTCCATGCCGACGGGGTTTCGTTAAGAGGTAACTTCACAGATGGCGTGACAAGCCAGTTCGCACCGCACGGCGGTCAGACCAGAACTGAAGCATTGTTAGGGACATAAGGAAGGGGTCCTGCGCTTACCTGGCCTCCCCACTCCTCTTTCTCGCATTCCAGAACACTTTTATACGAACTTTCCGGACAGACCTCGTAAAATATATATAAAAAAACTGTTTTAAAAAGGAAACAATGTAGATTTTTACACAGAAAATTAACTTACGAATTTTGTCTAAGTCTTTAAGCATAAATCTAGATATGTAAGTTACGCGCAAAACAGGCTGTGAAGTGACTTTAATACAGTTTTGTCTAATAAAAATAAATATAAATAAGTCTCAATTTTTAACTAATAACACATAATAATGCTCAATACTATGCACTTGCTAATATATTGTCATAGTCGTAGAATACTGACAGATCTGACAAATATTACATATATATATTATATCCATATAAGATGTACAGCGTACATCTTATAAATTACTATTTATTATATTTATATACATATACATATGTATCTATTTACAATTTGTGTATGAATATTTTATTAGTATTCTATTTACTTTATATTCATGCAAAGTTCTTTTTTTCTTGTATCTTTCCTGCACTAGCTTTTTTTTTAATGGATGATAATGGAATGGATACCCGCTTGCGCTAATGGTATACACTGGCGGGGCACCAGTGAGGGATGATAGGTGAAGATGAAGCAGGTCAGTTCTGCCTATCGTGACTGACAATAAACCAATCACAATAGTTTCCAGGAGGAACCGCGTGGAGGTCGACCTGATAGAGTATATTGCCAGCAATGGGATTGTTAAATCCGAATTTGGAATGGAACTTCAGAAGCAGGAAAACCAATGAAATAGATTATTTCTAGATAGATAAAAAATACCAGATTTTAAGTTTACCTAACCTTCAGGAATGCAACTGTGTAAACGGTATCCAATTTGGCGTATTTGCGTGATACCGGAACAAACATATATACAGGAAAAATTTCTAAAACATGTTATTTTGGCTTCTAAATATCTCCCATGTACAGATAACGTCTAGTCACAATATCATTATATTAGTAAAATATCTTCTTTTTATAATTACATAAAAACAATGGATTTAATAGATAATTCTGGAAAGACGAGGCGTTACTGTTTGCCCATTGATCTGCATCTCTATTATTCAAAGAGAAATAAACCCTATTTTTTTATTATTACTACCTATTTTATATTTTATCCTACTCTGCGTTGGTTCGTACGTGGTCGCCACTTAAGAACTTTTCTTTCCCATTGGTTATCTTGATAGATATTGAAATGAACAATACGATAGCAGGAAATAAGTATTTTTTATACAAAGATGGTGATAATCAAGTATGTACTACGCATAATACTTACAACACTCATACAAATGTGTACGATGTTTGCTTCTCGTCAAATGGACGGACTTAAGAATTACTCATTGGTTATCGGTCTTTGTATCACGATGCGTTTAAGAAAGAAGAATGTACCGTATGAATAAGACCAGTAATAACCGCCATATGTAATCCTTATATATATCCATATGTATTTAAACTGAATTATAGCAAATAAGCAAGTTGTTAATTGTCTTTCTTTGTCAAGTCTCTCTTTGGTAGCAAGTACAATATTTCTGTTACAAGAGGCATGAAACTATAGCACTAAATAGTGAAAATGATGTATGAGTAGGCTGTATAAACGCTATGATTTCATTTCTATATACGATGTTTAATGATCTTCTTTTACAACCGGTAAGGTTTTCTCGCTCTTTGGTTTGTGACTCATTTTGTTCTGCAGAACATGGATTTTTGTTAAAGAACAAATATATTATTTCATTGATAATCGTTAAATAATAATTAGTTGAGCTATAGACAAAACTGCTGACTAAAGGATATTCAAACGTTAAACTTGAAACTATATAAATTTAGACAACTTCTTATTTACCCGTATTTGAAATAGACTTAAGTAATAGCTATTGGCTGTTAGATTGACATAAAAAAATAAATACTGCATTTCCAAATTCCTATTTTATAAAGAGACTTTAAATTTTTAGGGATTAGAAAGTTCAAAAGAAAGTTCTAGTAAAATATCTGTAACTCACAAAATTATTAATAAAAATGAAATCAAATATATGTGGTTATATTTTAGTGTGGGTAAAAACTTATGACTGTTGATAATTGAAGCGTATTTGTTTTAATAATAATTAATTATTATTATAGTTGAGATTATTTCAGCTTGTATATTAAATAATACCAAATTAATTAACTCTCAAAAAAAAAAAATATAATTGCAAGATGATATATGACATCATTATTCTATTTTGATAAAAATCACAATTTAATTCCATTCACGTTATTCATGCTTTCAGTCTTGATAGTCTGGATTCGTTCTGTGTTTCCAAATATCCAATGACATTACTCTTCTGCACGGTCTTCAGTGTTGTCCTCATTTTGTTCTCTTATAGAGACTTCTGGAAGATCGTCCACGTGATATTTGTCGTGAGAGTTATGGATTACGTTATGGTACGCATGTATATGAGGAGCTGAGTATTCGACGTCGGCTTGGAAACTGCGAAACAAACATTAATTATGCTTTATACATTTTTTTTATGATATTTAGAATGGCAAATAAGGTGACGGTTCAGCTAATGGAAAATGAAAACCGTCGCCTATAAATATGAAGAATATCATGGTTATCAAAAAATAAAAAATACAGAATACACTGTGATACTCATAGTACTTTTTATGCGTTGCCATTCCTAGGGACTATGATGTTATGTCTCCTTACCTTGTAACTTCATTACTATATCCCACCTCACCCTACTCTTTAAATCGAATCGGAACTATATAAGCAAAGGTGCTACATGGCAGAAACACGAGTGGGACAATGGTACCCATGCAAACGACTTTTGTACAGTCTTCATCTGGTTATTTTTCTTAAACATCTTATTGGTAACATCTAATGCTCCTATACATGGGTCTATCATACCTCAGTAAGAGAAGGATAGGTATATGTGGTATAAAGTTTTATTTCTCCGCGAATGGTGATTAGTCGGCTCATATATATTTATTCAATATATTCAATAAATAAAATAAATAATATTTTTTTTATTTAAGAATCATAAGCAATTCGTAATATTCATTTTTATTATTTTTCCAACGGGTATGCAATTTTAATCGAGAGGAATGGTAAAAAAAACTCAGTTGTAGCTTTTTTCTAACAAAAGTTGAGTTTAAAAAAATATAAAATGTGAATGGATACAGAGACTATTACAAACTTAATATAGATAATATATACTGTACTTTAAAAACAGAAAAACTTATTTAAAAATTAGCTTAGCCTAAAAAAGAAAAAGATTACAACTTGATAGATAACTAATTGTAATTTAGTTTACAGTTTAATTTTCATAAGACAAAGAATAAAATGTCGTTAAAGCTTTGAGAGCGGATTGATTAATTAAATACAATTTGTAAGTGTTATATTACTGGTCAGGTATTTATTATAACACCTTTTTTTGTGGAAGAGCACTAGCGTTATACTTATAATACCAATATTTCTAATAAAGTAAGCATAATTACCCGGTGTGTTTGTCTGCGTGATACTTGACCTTACGCAGTCTACCCTTCGGTTCTCTTAACCAGTATTCGCCCTTCACTTCGTCTCCATCTCTGACCTCATGTTGACCTTTGTAGTCCTTGGTATATGGGTCTGCTACTTTGTATGAGAATTCGTATGAAGGATATGCATGAGCCTGTTGTGGAATTAGAATGTTATTATTTTCTACAGAGCTGAAATATACATATATAAGATAAATAATAAATCCAATTTGTTAACATTTGATGAACTGTCTATGGCGTAGCGGTAAGTAGCTTTTTGTAATGAGGTCCTAGATGTAATTCTCGGTCAGGTCAATTCAGAAAATTATCTTTTCTGAATTAGCTCAGGTAATCGGGGTTATACCAACCTCAGGCTGTTCGTTGCGTATTTCCTCATAATACAGGATATCTTAGTTTGTGGACCAGGTGATTAATATGATTGAGTGGTTTTTCTCATTATTATTTTATTTAATATACGTCTTACTAGAATAAATGCACGATATAATTATTGTCACATGGTGGTGTATTTAGTCTTCTCCACTTATAAAAATTCATATAGAAATATTATTAAAATGTCAAAATTATATCCTACTCACGTACATCCTATTTATTGTTGTATAGTTGAAAATCAACAACATTATCTACTCACGTATTCTTCATGATGTTCAGGCTCCTCGTGTCCGATATGTGACAGGTCTCCATGATGATTTTCTATAGGCTTGTGGTTTATTCGGATTTTCTGCTCGGAGGTAGCATGCCGATCATCGTCCCCTAGGACGCAGACGACCAAACACAGCACTAGGCCTAACTGCAGGTATAATATAGAGATTAATGTAAATATTTCAAAACTAAATGTTTCAACCAAATGTTTTTGGTGTATGTTATAATATGCTACGAAATATATACTTTACAATGTGAAAATAAAAAAAAAGAAAGTTTTTTATTTTAATTTCAATCATCTTTGATTCATTTATTAAAAGGATTTATTATCACTATATAATTAATTATTTATTATTTTATATATATTATTATTCTTATAGTTATAATTTCACAGAAGATTAAAGTAGTTTGTATTTCGTAAAAACTATATGTTTTATTAAGTGATAAGTTTTGGAATTATTATTATATTAGAGAACAAAAATAATACGTTACAGTTACTTTAATTAATGATTTATAGCCACAAGACCGTAATTATAAAATCTAAGAAGTTTTTATGTATCTGACAAAACTTCTGAGAAAGTAATGGAACAAAAATAAAAAAAAAATACAACCGAATTGAGAACCTCCTTCTTTTTGAAGAAAATTGAAAAAAAGTAAATAAATTTTTCACCTGATGGAACATTGCGTAAGTTATAATACTTTGTTCTCAAGTGATATAACAATCAACGCATCTTCAATTTATAGAGGACATGATTATCCAAAAACATAAAATTCCAGTGTTCAGGATATCCTGTAATCTGTACAATGGCAATTATCTTGGCATAGTTTCTCAATGGGCGTGTATTGATTTAGACGGATTGTAAAAGCGAAACTTAACTTTGGGGGTCAAATTGATTTATTGGATTACTCCAATTACATAGATCAATAATGTCTAGATAGAAAGTCTGCGTATAAGCGCTGAAATAAAATAGTCATACTTAAAAAAAAATGGCGCATTTAAAATTCTATAATGATTATCTTGTAATTTTCTTGTTACATTATAATATAATGATCTTGTAATTGTTGATTTTTATCATAAAAGGTCGTCATTTTATTTATTTATTTTTACTATGCTAGTAATTATTTGTAATATGGATGGAAAATATATTACGTCGAACGCAAATACAAATTGGGATAAGGGTAGGAAGATGATGATGATGACTATCATCATCATAATCTTTATCAGCATATCAGCCTTTAATTGTCCACTGCTGATTTTAAGCCTTTCCTGGGGGGGGGGGGGGGGAGGAGTTTGTCAGTAGTTGCCACGCTTGTCAGGCGGATTGGCAACCGCAGTTAGACTTAAGGATATTTTAAGAGGTACGCTGCTACCCGTCCTTCGCTCTAACCCCACGGGATAGGAAGGGGTGGCCTATTCCATAGAATCCCGGCATACCGGGACTACACGGCCAGGATGATGACTATGCTAGTAATTATATATGAGTTCGACCGCGTAACCGGAATACATTGACCGGTATAAAAAGCAGCCGTCTTAATGTGTTCATCTCCATCCCAAATATTACTAGTGTACAATTGTTCGAAGCGTTTTAAGTACCAGTGATGACAAAAAATTACTTTTCTACTGTATATGTATTTTTAAAAGTAGTATAATTTTTATACTATCGTATTCTTCGAGATCGTATATTTGAACATTCAATATAATAAAAACTATGAATTAGCCAACAGTGATCATTTTTGGGATGCTTTATATTTGATTCTCCATCTAAACTTATAAGATCTTAATGTAATCTTAATGTAATTCACTGAATGTTATTTCATTTTTTATTACATTATTACATTAATATCAGATTCAAGTGTAGTTAGGTGCTGTTCACTATGGTGAGTTTTGTTTATATATATTGAATATTCTAGTTATGGTTAAACATAACATAACAATATTCTGTGTTGGTCGACAAGTTTTAAAGAGCAGAAGTTTATATTCGGTTGTATAATTTATATTTAGAGGTCTTTTAGTTTTTTTTATTATTGATTTCGTAGAATTTTGTCAAAACTGAAGACACTTTATTTGTGCAATTAAATCTTAGTTTATTATTAATTTTATCACAAATTATAAATAAGTAAATGTATATGACTTTCATGTATAAATGGCATAAATTTTTTAAACAATGATTAGTCATTTATTTGATTTTATTCAATACTACATGCCCACACAATCAAACGTTTAATAAAATCTTATGTACAGTTTTGCAAGTAAAATGTGAGGGAGGTTGTGTTTTTGTCAGAAAGTGATGCTATGCATTTATTATAAATATAAATTACTATGATATCAGTTTTTATTCGAAGCATAGATAAGTCACGTAGACATGACTTAGATATTATTAAATTGATTAAACATGGAAAAAGTAACTTATGTCTTTCTCCATTGTAAACACTACTTGTGCATAAAATTTTATAGCAACTAATTGTATCGTTAAAGTGGTATGAAATAACATTAGACACTTTTATTTTATCTCATTTCATATTCATTTTAGTATTGTCTTAGTAAGGATTGATCAGAATATTGGGTCTTACAAACTATAATTTAAAAAGAATATTAATAAAAAAACGATATTCAAATACATAGAAGTTGAAGGTACATTATTATTTGGTATATTATTTTAAATAATTAAATTACGAATATAAGTATTTTTTTATCATGGCAGTTTTACTTGCGACTTCGTCTGCGTGATCGGGATATGTTTATTGGCCAGGATAAAAGTAACCTTAAGTCCTTCTCCGTTTCACGTAGTATCTGTATACCTAAATTGTAGCGAATGATTAGGTTGTTGAGGCGCTATAAAATAACAAACAAACTTATTCAGTTTCATATTTATAACACATATTAGTAAAGATTGATTTATTTGTAATAATTTGAAGAACGCCTGTAATGATCGCGATAGCAAATACTCAAGTGAGTTGAATATTTATCGGTGTTGTAAGGAAAAAGTTTGGTTCAGAATTCGTGAAAATATTATATAAAATATATCTTTAAGCATTTAAGATATTATTAAGTATTATACAAATTTTATATACAGAAATTTTTTATTATGTGTATTTAACAAGATACTTAACTCATAATTATGTAGGAATAGATGAAGCATTCCTTAAAGATAATTTAAAATGTTCAATTTGCGTATTACTTCAGTATTTAAAGTTCTATTGTAATTTAATTATTAAAGATAAACTTTTGTAGAAAAGTCGCCTGCATTGATACTCCTATCCTATACGTGATTTTGCTATGCATAGTTATGTTTATAATCTGTCTATGGCAGTAAACATACAAGATACTGTGGTCTTCAGGAATGGCAGCGCATGAGAGGCACTATGCTCTCAGAGTGTTCTATGATGTCATAATGTAATAATGTTTATTGTAACTGTGGACACCACTTTTCATCAGGTGTACCATCCGCTAGTTTGCTATGCAAAGTTGCATAAAAATATTGGTTATTAAGGTAATGAGAACAAGAAATTCACATTATTAGCGCTAATTTATTATGAAAATATTTTACAAAACTGCATAGAAATAGGATTTAGTCAGTCTTTCCGAAGTATTAGACGAGGTGGCGTATCACATCCTTATGATATCGGTCGGTGATATTGAAAATGTCTATATATGATGATGATGCGCAAGATGAACATGATGATGAGGCGATGAATGGTGTACAATAGCATTAAATCTGTAACAATATAAAAATTAGTATAAACTTTTAAAATTTAAATTATTTTTTCTATAAATAGACTATTTAAATATGTGTCGATTACATGACACTAACTGAAACTTAAACTAAAACTTCCTTGACGTGATCGGGTTAAAAAGTAACAAATTTTTCATCCTAAATACTCAATTTCTACTATCATCAAAAGATTGGTTAAGCTGATAACGTATATTAACAATTGTCGCTAAGGGTTTTATTATTATTTTGTTATTGCTTTTGTTAAAATACAAACAATGATAAGGTAAAAAAAATGCAAGTAGATATGACAAAGTAACGGCAAATGTGATTGTTTAATTTATAAAATTTATAAATTCGTAATGGACTGTGGCCGTTACCGTACCTAACAGCACCCCTTCTAATTAAGATTAATGTAATCAACTTTTATTGAAATTTATCAGACTCTATAGCCTATATTTTAAATACACTATCGGGACTTAATGCGATGAAATATTTTGCAGGCACTTACATACCTGCTTCTTTAGTGCCGATATTTCGATGTGGATTGCACCACGCCGTGGTCACGACAGATCTCTTTTTATTTATTTTTTCATTCATTTCATATTTAATTATGTGTAAACAACGCGAAAGTTCAAAATTATCTATAGGCTGTGTCTATTAATATATAATATACAATACATTAGAAAAACATTCGAACTCCTTTCTTTTGGTAGTTAAATAAAAATGTATACGACATATTAATTCTACATTTTCAGAAATAAATATCTGTAATAATTAAATCATATTTACCCTGTATGATCATCAGCCTTATATTCGACCTTCCTGTGTCTACCGTCAGGCTCTACGAGCTCGTAACCTCCTTTTACAATGTCTCCATGCCTTACTTCATGTTGAGACTTCACGTCTCCAGTGTGGTGATCATGCACGGAGTAAGAAAATTTATACTCTGGGAAAGCCTGTAAAAAAAAAACTTTAAAATAGTTCTCAGTATTATACTGTAAAATAAAATAAATCAATTTAGAAGATTAATTAAGAGAATAGTATTTTTTACTGGTTAATTGATTACAATTATTTTGTTGAATTATTATTATATTATTTTTATTTCGATTTCTTTCCTTGTATTTTCTTCTTAATTTTTTTAAGCATTTCATATAAACTTCAATCTAATAATATAAGGGATGCATTTTATTCACGAAGTGTCACAATGCTCTATAATAAACCAGGTTATAAATATTTATTAGTATCTTACGCAGTATACGTTTAGAGAAAATATGTTATTAAATAAAACACTTACATAATGATCATAATGAGGAATATGATGAATTGGAGCGTGGTGAATAATTGGGGCATGGTGATGAATCGGTGGCAGGTGGATTGGTACATGATGTATTGGTATTGGGTGGTGGGGACCGTCGTGCTTCTCGTACTCTTGGTGGGAAATTGCGGGATGATGAATTATTGGTTGGTGGTGATGGTGTAGCGGAAATATCGCCTGGCTGACAGCTGCCAATAGGCAAACGCCTAGTACCTGAAAACGATAATATCAGAACAATGAAATAGAGTTTTCAATAATACGATAATCTAAGAATTATTCAACAAATACTATATTTTTTTATTTGTACATCCAAATAAAAAGGATAGAGTTTAAACTAATTAGCCCTAGCCCTAATTCTTTTATTTTACTCCCGTTATTACTATGAAAATAGAATAAGAATACACAATGCATTTATATGATTAAGATCTTAGTAACTTTATATCTGTCTATAAAAAATTAAATAATAATTATATGAATAAAACTTTTTTCATTCAATTCTTTTTTTAAATGTAACTGTTGTTTAATGACACATAGTACATTTTATTAAAATTTAAAGTTGCTTATTATATAGGTGAGACTGCATATGAAAATATTTGTTGTATGCAGAAAAATGAGTTTTCTCTGTGCGTGTGTTTTGCCAATTACAGATTAAGCGAAGCTTGTTATTATTACATATATTTATTTCTATGCCAGCACCTATGTAACATTGTAGTCATGGTTTCCAAACCATAACGTTATAACATTAATATTTACATTTTAATAGGTAGATCAGTATCAGTATATCTATTTAGTTAGGACAGTCCCTTAGTTATGGATGAAACTGCAATGATAAACTTTTTTGCGCTCTTGGTTCACGCTGGCGGGGTATAATGGTGAGGGATTATAGGTAAGAATAACACAAGTTATAATCTTATAATACCTATATTATATAGGTATTGTTGTACTTCTGAAGATCTAACTTAAAAAATTATAATTGTTTCAATTTGATATGTAATCTTAAAATGATTTCTTTCATTGATATTTACGACCTCTGAAAATTACGCGTACGAAGTAACCGGCAAAATGCTAGTTTTATATAAATATAAGGTAATCATTTATTTAATCATAATAAAACAACAGGCTAAAATAAAAAGGATTAACTCTAAGTCAATGAAACTTACTTTTAACAACATTTTGAATAACAACTTGTGTTATGTATGCACTTATTCCCGCGTAACCCGAAACGACAATGTTTAGCTTAGCTTTGCTTCATTAGTTTATATAGAGTTTATAATTGTGGGAATTATTAGAGCAAAAATTCATTGATCAATTCTCAGGGCATGTGTTAACAGTGGTACTCACACTGTAATGTTCCGTAAAGAATGTGTTGCGTACTTATCAGGGAGCTACTTAACTTTATTACAGGCGTGTGTATTACTTTGGGCATAATTTGTTAGTAATTTCGTCAGAAATAAAAATTATATCAATTACTGAATAAGTGAGATTTGCACAATTTCTTTTAAATTAATAACTTAGTTATAATAAATAATCACAATATTATGATATTCTAACCGTAAATGTCTATATTCCTTTTGAATCTTTACTAGGAATGTGACAAAATATAAAATATAAGTTAGAGCATATATAAAATATAAGTAATATAAGTTAAAGCAACAATCATAAAAAGTATATAACTATAAAGACTGCTAGTACATCTTCAATAATCTTATTTATAAAAAAAATCTAATATTTCACTGTAGTAAAATATGGTTTCAGTTTAATATTTATTTTCTATCTGTTCTCCTTTAACTAAAGGTTGTCTGTAAGAGATTGCCCTAGCGATAAGACCGGCTTTTGTACCTTTATGTGTATATTTCAATCTGTATTTATGTTACTGTATTTCACTTGAATTATTCACTTGTTATTGTAGATTTTTATTTATGGTGCAATAAAGAGTTAAATAAATAAATAAATAAATATTTAGATTTTACATATAAGAAGGATGAAAGCTTAGGGACCGTAGATATAGTTTAAAAATAAGCTTATTGTGATAGGCTTATATAACTACGTATTACAATAATATTCCAGTAAGGTAAGGCATAATAATATGTTTTTATAATAAGAATTTCTATCAAATTTTTTTTTGTAAGGTTTTGTGTAGTAGTAGTACCAAAGGTACTATTTATGATAGTACATTGTTTAGAGTAAAGACTCAAAGTTCAGTCAAACTCTATATAACATTTTTCCAAACACATCTTTTTCTAAAGAAATCTGATATAGAAAATAACAGCCAAGTTCTTAATCTATAGTTAAGTCTTTTTGATACCTTGATAATATAATGGTTTATTACACTACTTCAATTTGGAATTCCGGATTTCCGCACCACCTACTCACGAGTATGTTTGTTTTAATTAGTCTGGGTGTTTTCTATATATAATACGTATGTATTTACAAAAAGTATTTACGTTATAGTCAGTTATCTTGTTAGATACGAGTATACTAGGGTGTTCCCTAGTATGAGCTCTACTTAATTAGAGACTAGGTGATCCTAGATTTTTAATTACATTTGCATTTCTGAATACTTAATTATTACAATATTATTTTGTTATATCATCACTACATGCAATAAAGGAACAATATTTTGAATTATGTTTATATATAATGTTTTTAGGTTATAAACTATAAATAAGTCTATGAGAATTTTGTCATAACAATATACTCAACTTTTGTAACAAAATTATAATAGTTATGTCCAATTTTACTAGATATTTATGTTAAAACACATAAAATTTGAACATTGTTGATTTTAGACTACTATATTGCTCAAGCGTAAATTATAATGTGTGAGAATGTATGTACAATTAATGTTTCATTGTACGGTACGTGAAAAAGCTTGACAATGCACATAATATGAAATAGGTACACTTGGTAATATAAATAGAAATATACCTTCAACTGTATTGTGTTACAGTAAGGTTCAATTACGACCATAATGTGTTCGACTATTTTTCTTGTCGCGTGCAATGCGTTTATTTATCATCTGTATATTATCATGGATTAGCAAATAGCGGCTTAGAAATTCGCACATGGCCATGGTGGTGAGAATATATAGTCTAACATGAAATGGTAAGCAAGCTGATGGAAAGTGGTAACCGTCGTGTATACACATAAATGGCAATATGGACATCATAGCATATGCAGTAACGTCTATGGTCCTTAAAAATTTGTAGTAGTAGCGTTTGCGTACTTATTCAATAATTTTGCTGTAATTTCGGACCTTATATTCCGACTTTATATTTTATATATATAAAATAAATTAGAATATTCCGAAGTAACATAAAAATAAATACATTTTACAACTGCCGTATTGAAGAAACGATTTTATTGTAAAGTGGGATAATTTTTATAGTCAACAACTAATACCTGTAACACTAGCGATCTGGCCTGATAGAATTTTTGAAAATAATATATGAAATGCCTATGTTACTCGCTGATAATGTAGCTTTCTATAGGTGAAAGAATTTTAAAAATAGATTAAGTAGTTTTTGAGTTTATTCATTACAAACAAACAAACAATCAATTCTTTTATTTTTATAACATTAAATTGTTGTTTCTTTAATATTCAGAAACAATTGAGCATAAACATAATATCTATATAATTATTAGATTTGGAAATTTAGAAATAGGAAGAACAATTATGAAAATATTCAAAGTGATATCATTAACTATTAGGTATTTCGATTTGTCCTTGTGATATTTGTTTCATTATAAACATATATTTTCTACGTTTGTAGGCTTATGCCTTCACTTTGACTTCTCACGGGGTCACCGTTCTCTTTACAGGTTATTGTTAATACCTAAAATAAATGTCACAGTAGGTCGCAGTTAGGGATGGCATTGGAACAAGAATAACCTTATGCCTCGAATTGAACTGTTCGTATTATAAGAACTATGTAGGTACCTAGTTTGTATAATGCATTTATAAAATATATATTGTATTTAAGAACCTGGCTGGAAGAAAATGCATAAATAAGTGAAAAGATTAGAAAAGAGAATTTGAGAACAATTAATCATCATTACTTAATGTCAGCGGTTGCCACTTCAGTATTGTCCACTGATGAACCTAGGTTTCCCCTCTGACTGACTATTATAAGCTGAGCTTTTTGCGTTCATTGATCACTCGAGTATTTTTCTTCTCTAGCGATTGTTGATCTTTTTAGAACAAAAAGTATTTTCTATTTACAATAATATCTGATATTCAGTAAAATTTTTTTTCAACAATAATTGTTGTTGATAAGTTCGATTATTGAAATGAAGTACATGGCCTTTCATAAAGAACTTTCATATTTACGTGGTTTACTTTTAAATATTTTTTTTTTAACTTTTTATTTAAACCTTTTTATTTACTAATAATAATATTGATGTAGTTTAGGTACTATTTTGTAAAAAGTTAAATAAAATATTTTTTTATGTTAAAATAAGTAAAACGTCAAAATTTGTTGATCTGTCTTTACTTACATAAATAAAATAATTAAAATTTGCGTATATTTGTTATATTTCTTTACACTTACAACTGGTAACTTTGGATAATTACTGTGCTATGGAATAAAGAAGGGCTGTTTTGTATTTATGTTTTTAAAAATTAAGAAAATAATGTTACATTATAATAGATTAAAATCCGTACTTATATTATAAATATAAAAGTGAATTTGTTTGTTTGTTACCTCTTGATATATGTCCCTGTTGTGCGGGTGTAATCACAACTAAACATTTGTTTATCCTATGCAAACTTGTGTAAGCAATTGTCAATTGGTTGAATGAATGTATAAAATATTACATTGCAAATATCATACCTTTTTGTAGATACATAATTAGACTCAATATAAAATTGGGCTAATTACGATATGTACGCAAAAAACATCATATATCCGTGTGTACCCATGTACATATAAATTGCAAAGGTGTTTACTGTATTTGTATTGTCAAGTCTGTTATTACATGGTAACGAGGTGTTACACAATAATAGACTATAGTAATGATAGTTTTTAGGTCAATGTCTGAGAGGGCAAAAAATAATTGTAGATAGTACATGACTGATAATATAGTATATAATAGCCTGCAGGTATTGATTTTCGTTAATAGTTCTTTATAGGTAAGGGTAATTCATTTGCGTATGGTGAACTCTCTCGGATGATTTATGGATGAAAATGGAATGGCAACCTGCACTAATGGTGTGCCCAAATATGTGTACATAGCGGACTTTATGCTAAAAGCATTCTCTCCCAGTCAACCATAGGGAAGTGTCAGAATACTCGAATGCGGTACTATTAATTATTGATATACATACATACTAAAATTACATATATAAACGAATAAATATATATGAATAACATATACTACATTATACACGAAATTGAGAATAATATAAAGGACTTACTGCTCGGATAAAGTAAAAAAGTGAGCGAGAACGTTTTGTTTTGAAAGACGGTTTAGTTGGTAGTCTCTTAATGGCATCAGGAATCGCATTCCAGAGGCGTGAAGAATGTAGGAGAAAAGAGTTTGAAGCGTAACCAATACGGTGAGAGGGGAAAGACAATTGGAAAGTATTATTGGAACGAACGTTACGATCGTGAGTTTCAAAAAAGATACTGGAATTTACTCCTTAAGTGGTGGATTGTGGTTGTGTGGTGAATTCACCAGATATTAATTATGACGGTTTCCAGAGGGACCACATAAAGCTCGATTTGACAGGATATTACTAGCAAATAGTATTTGGGCCACTCGCTTGCAGTTGGCTCACTGCCATTAAAAGTTAGTCTCTTACATATGGTATGATTAATTCAAAATTTTTAAATATTACACTAAAGGTAAAAGTATAGAGGGAAACTTGGAAAGAGATGAATGGTCTGTGTGAAAGAGAACCAAAAAGGGAGTAATAAAACTGAGCTGACTTATAGCAGAGACAAAAGTAAAAGAAAAATATATTACGCCTAATTACGACGACCTCAAATAAATAGAATAAGGGCAGGAAACTTATGATGATAACCTTAAAGATGTATGTGTACTTGTAAAAATTATTTTGTTTTCCGTTATATTTCATACATTACATCTGTTTGATATTATATATTTTTTGTTAATTACCGACGTCTACATAATTAATATAGACATGTAGTTGTTACACTTTACTGACTATGAGCTATTCAACGTGTTATTACACCGGATTTTCATGCGCGATTAACTTTTAGATTCCTACGTTT